AGGTGGAACCTCATTTCCTCAGATGGAGGATCAATAAAAGCAGCATCTTTATGAGGTACTTCACATGATGTTTGTGTAACCCATGTCACCTTTAGCTTTATGTTTTCTGAGTAGAAGTCATCTTCTCGATCGGCATCACTCTGTTCTTGGTACTCTTGATATTCACTAACATGTTCTGCCGGTAGTATCGATATCACTCCGATTTGATGCCCATTCTTATCATCGAAGAATTCTCTTGCATATTGACTCTCCATCGGTACAATATTCTCTTCAAAGTTTCTATAATTATTCCAATAAGGGATCATTCCTCCTCTTCTCCAGGGCCTTCCTCGGAATCTCCTTTGGAATGCTGGGAATCCAGTGTTCGATCCTTCATCGTATGACAATCTCTCAAAGACATCATTGCTCTGAAGTCTGCTTCTTCCTCCTCGAGAAGGATACATCTCTCTTCTGACCCATTACCTTTGATTTCCGCTAACACCAGAACCAACGGATTTCTGTTGACTTTCTTCAATCATTGGTTGAGCCGTTTGATCCACTTTGTCGTTTTTCCTTTTATTCTGGCTCTCGATCTTCTTTAGCTGTTCTAATCTGAAAGCTTTAGCAGCCGATTTATCGAACACCGCACTGCATCGTGGGCATAACGACACGTCTTCGTCTTTTTCTTTCTTCCTATTCAAAAACTCAATTAGGGAATCCCCTGATCGAGGGTAGATCTCCTTTTCGAACTCCTTCTCGAATTCACTCAGATCGAATTCCATATCTTCTTCAGACACGTCCATTCTGACATGTTTAGGATCAATGTCTTCAGTAACATCGACCATGCCTACAAAGGCATAATTCATCACTCGGGCATCCTCAGTCATGCCCGTTTGGGATTCAATGTACCGCACTTGCACTTCGAATGGACTCGTATCCACTTTCATCGACATTTCTTCAAATTTCAGTCTTCCTTGGTCAATCGCATCTTGGATCGTATTCCTGAAATGTATACAATTATTAGTCCAATGTCCAAAAACGTTATGAAATTTACAATATTTTCGACCATTCCTTTGTTCTGCCGTAGGCAGTTTATGATCTTCACCCAACTTAATTTGTTTGTCTTTTAATAAAATATCGAAGATTTTATCAGCCTTTGTCACATCGAAAGTATATGTTCGATTTGTCATCTTATCTTTTACTTCATTCTTTTGTAGCAATTTACAAATATATGGGGCTCCTACTTTGAGCTCTGCTATATTTACTTTCTCATCGACAGTCTCTTCCACATCATTCTCAGTCGCGAGATCTGTTTCATGCACATCATTTATATATGCTATTCTCTCTTTCTTCATCGGTTTCTCAAATTTCTTATATCTTTGTTTTTCATATTCAATTTGCTCTACTCTTCTCACTTTATCAGCTAACTGAGCCATATCATTCAATAGTAAATTGACTAACTTTTTCCTAATCGAAAATTCTAAGCATGCAGAGGCCATTCTGACTAATTCATATTCAGGAATTTGAGTAAAGCATCTCGATTTCATTTGTCTAAATCGATTCAAATAATCATTTATGCTTTCGTGATTGTATCTTTTTATATTCATCAAGTCGATGAGACTTACTTGAGTTTCTCCTCTAAAGAATTGCTCATGAAAATTTCTTTCCAGTTGTAACCAATTATATATTGAATTGGGTGGTAACGAAGTAAACCAAGTAAAAGCATTCTTAGTCAAAGAATTAGGGAAATATTTCATTTTTAATTCCTCACTCATCGCTAAATCCCCACATTCGATCTGATATCGAGCTACATGCTCAATAGTTGATTCACCAATCTCTCCAGCGAATTTGGTGAATTTAGGTACTTTGTATCCTCGAGGTAACTCCGTCTCGAGAATCGCATTTGGAAAGGGTGACACAAAGTATGTTTGATTGGGTGGTCTAAATTCCATCCCTTGTAAATTCACTCTCTGTCCTAACATGTTATTCTGATTGTGTATATTTTGAAATCCTTCGTTCAAATTCCCATAAATATCATTCCTCACATGTTGGTATTCATTCCCCATATGCTGATATTGATCATTGTTTCTATTTCTCCTCAATAGATATGGGAAATTAATGTTAGCATTCTGGTTAACATGATTTTCTACCCTTGTTTGTCGAGGTATTGTCAATGCATCTCCGATACGTGACATTTGATCTGCTAATATCTCAAAACTAGCAGTAGTGTTTTGAACTAATGGATTTAAAACTGTATTCAACTGTTGTGATAACATATTCACCATCTCAAAATTGCTCTCATCCATTTGTTATCTAAGTATCCCTAATGAGTTAATGGATATCCCAGTACCAGTGTTTTCGATAGTCTCAAAATTGGATCGATGATAATCTCTATCGAATATGTATCTTCCATGTTCCAAATTTCCTCTATGATCTAGATTTCCTCTAAGATCTAGATTTGGAAGTGTTTGTTGTGTGCCTAAATTCTGTCCACTTCCTGAATTCAGGGGCATTGCTAGGTTTTGAAATGTCCCTAAATTTGGAGGGACTCCAAAATTTTGGGGCATACCTAGTGTTTGAGGCATTCCTAAGTTATATCTTGAATTCCGATGTGCTGAAGAAGTTTCAGCTCCACTTATATTATTAAGTGAAAACCCGGGAGGTCTTACACTCATATATGGCCCTACATATGTGGTTGTGGGGTTTCCCACAGTTTGCATATTATTTGGTACCACCACACTAGATCCTACTTGGGTATTTGCTAAGGTGCCTGAATTTTGTTCATTACCCACAGGTGTCGACATACTCGCAGTTGTCGATGTTACAGGCATATTCTCATTATGACTTTACTCCCCAGTATTTGGTGAATGTACATTATTTAGACCCTCACTATTGCTCTGGTTATTTGAAGAATTTTGACTCATTCTTATAACCCTCCCACTCCTTAATCTCATACACTTTCGAACTAACCAATTGTGTATTTTCAACACAAGTTAGTCCCCTACTTGGCGCGCCAATTTGTTTCTTGTGGAATTTAGATCGATTTCGAATCCTAAGATATTTTGATCCTAATCAAAATTCTACCACGTAAGTTCTTTTTGCTTAGGCTAGCAAATTAATTTTCAATCAAAATGTGTATGAGGATCGAATTCTACCCGATTCCAAAGATGTTATTTTTGGTGTTTTGTATTAGGAATACTCGAAGTAAAGAAAGCAGAAAATATATGGAATCGAAAAGTTGTGCTGGAACTTAGACTGCTAAAAAACGTAAACTACGAAAATCTTAAATTTGCTTTAAGTGTAAAAGACAGGAAATCGAAACAGCAACAATGTAATTACTAAGAAATCGAATTTGTAGGAAATGTAAATGACAGTAAATCAAAGGTGCAATAAATGACTGGAAATCGAAATTGCATTTCTGTTAAAGGACAAGGAAATTTAAACGCGGAAACTTAACTTTGCTTGAATTGAAATGACAGAGAATCGAAAGTACAAAACATAAAATTGCTGAATATAAGGTGCATCAAAACGAATTACCAAGGAAAGTAAAGAAAGCGGTAAAGGTACTCGATGAGCATGAAAATCCAGATTGCCAGAAGCTTCATGATGTTCGTCATTTTCCGGTAGACTTCTCACTACTGATTCTGTTCTCTGTCAATTTTCTGCCCCCCTTATTCCTTCCTCCTCTGCTCTATTTATAGGGCATCATTCAAGCCTTCTAGGAGCAGTTAACAAAACTGCTACCACGTTCTTCGTGCGCGTTGCAGTTTCTTCTTCTGTGGTGTCAAAACTGCACCCACGTTCCCATAATCTTCAACCTCTGCCACGATTTAAAAATTGTTTCCTATGTGCGTGTTTAACTCCTTCTCTTTATGATCTGGCCATGATTTTGATATTTATGCGGGTTAACCTTTCTTTCGATTTAGACTTCGATTTTATCGAGAACTTTGGATTACTTTTGATTCCTTTTCACCTTAGCATCATATACTTCTAATTTCTTGGTTTGTTCCACAATAAACTTTTGACTATTATTTCTCTGATTCCGATTCTAACTTTCGATTTTATGTGCCATGCCCTTCTAATTGAATATCGAATAATTTCTCATCCACCTTTTCACTTTACCGATCAATCACATATTTCTCAATTTTTCTTTCCTTCATTTTTCGATCGCTTTTCTCGATTTCCTTCTAACACATCCTCATCCCATTAATTATTATAACAGTGGCACATAGGATTTTGTTCTAACAGGAATAAAAAACTGTACCCCATTGGCAGAGAAAACAGCCAACTGAGAGAATGTACCTTACTTTGAGAAGCGGGATAGCAATTGATTTATTGGATAAGTTATTTATCATATCATTGATTAAAAAAATTAAATCACAAATCTTAATTGTGTAAATTCTCATAGTTAGAAATGTAGTACGTATAATACTAATTCCATGCATTATTATCAAATAATTATCAATTTTGAATCTTGCACGTAGAAAATAAAATAACTAAACATTTTGATAACTTTATCCCCTTGTGTGAATCCACCTAATTTTGATTTTGATTCTGATTCGTTGAGATCCAATGTAACTTCCAAATACCGAGGAACTTATACCGAGGAACTTAAACCAAACTTACATCTTATGAGTTTTAATAACCCTACAAAATTTAGCAAAATAAATAATACCGGAAGTAAAGTTCTTTTCCAAATATGGCAAATACAAGGAAGTACTCTAAAGACACTAATTAATGAATTATAATAAGTCAGCAACAACAAACATTTTGTTTCACTACACGACGTCTTTGAACTCAATTAAAGACCAAATTCTTAGAAAAATTATTTCACCAAGAATTCTTTTTCTCTTCAAAATTTCTTCAATGTTCTCAGTCACCCTTTTCCTTTTTTAGAGTTAAAAGCCATGTAATTACTAGTTGAAAAGGTAAATGTAATTTTTATATGTTACAAATGTTCCCAAGCCGTGATTTCCAATGCATTCCAACATGATTTTCAATAAGTAAAAAACAAACTTTCTTTACCCTTGAGCAACAGAGGCTTCATGTTTTGATTTGAAGTACGTGATCTGCCAAATCTCAACATCACGTCCTCGAGCATATTCTCCAACATACTGTGGAATTTGAGAGACGTCCATCCGCTTCCCCACAAAATTAGACATGCTTCCAGACTCGAGATTTTCACTTTCTGCAATAAATTACATACATAAAGTACCATATAATGAACAATTATGTGAACTTTTAGGACACAATAATTATGTGAAATTATTGCACACTAAAAATATATCTATGAGCTTACCATCCTCATCCCTAAGATAGCTCCGAAAATGTGAATATCCATTTGCAACAACATCAAGGTCTGACAGCGAGAAGTTGTAGCGCTTTTCCAGCGCCAGGTATAACACCTACAAATAGATGAAATCAAATAACTAATATTGAATAAGTGATAGCACGGAAGGGGGGCTCAAAACAGATCATGACTGCAACACTTATCGGAGTACCTATTTTGGCCCTGCCCCTCCCTCTTTTTTTTCGTTAACATATACCTTTGTTGAACCCCTTGACATTAATCTTTCTAAGGTACTGAAAAATGCATCAGTCAGCTCATCACTATAAATAACATCAGCAGCCACCAGCAAAGAAGCATTGTCTGCTGCTTCAATTTCTCCGGAAGTCCAAGAATACCTGGGAGATGCATAAAGTGACAGTGACGCACACCTGATATACACTTCTAATAAAAATTATAAAGCAGTAGTTATTGTTCATGCCATAAAACATCCCTGTCGGAAGTTAGAGACTCAACCCTCAAAAGATAAAGAAAGAAGCAATTATCTCTTGGAGACTATTTGTCAAAATAATTATCTTTACTTTTGACCGCAAGGAGCCTCTTCTACTTTTGCTTTTGGAGGCAAGCGATTGAACCAATCAAGTTCGCGTACATGAATTTTGGCTTCATAATTCAATAATCCAAAATTAAGCTGAACATTTTTTGCACAGTTGTCAAGTATTTCAGTCCCATAGTCTGACAAAATAATAAGCATAAGTTGTATATCAAATCGTAAACTTTAAAAGAACTAAACAACCTTGGATAATAGTTTACTACTATTAATGATGGAAACTAATCCTCGTAATTCTCTATATTTAATATTTATGCAATATAATCCCCATTTATAATACGAGAATATAAAATTTCACCATGATAATTTATAGAAGCTTAGAACTCAAATAAAGGGCACCATACCTGTTAGGAACACTGTATTCGCAACACGAGCAAGTAATATACCCACTAAACCTGATCCAAAACTTGACATCAAAAACATCTCTTTATAATAACATGATGTCATTTCAAATTGTCAGATTTAATTATTCCTCTTCATAGATCATCAAAGTAGACATTAGGAGTGCCTCAAAGGGTTTTATTAGATAATCAGCAGTTGAACTATAAAATGGCGTCTATTGCTTTCCTTTTTGTAACAGTCACAGAAATTGTTTCCCTGTAGCCCAGTTTGGATTACCTTCTCTAACTTATGAGAGCTTTTCAATTGTAACATCCTGCTGTTAAGACTATTCAATGGCAAGAATGACAAACTCTGTTACGTGTAATATAGGTGTATATGGAGATGTTACATGAGAGAAGTTCTAAAAAAGTTAAGGCGGATAAGTCGTTTTTAAATCGTGCAAGTTTGAGTCATTTTAAATTCCTGATTTCATTTAATTCTCTTGTCATATTACTCTTCATGGAGAAGTTCATTCAAACTAGCCCTAACTCTCATAGAAGATGTATTTATGTGCTGCTGAATTATCTATATCATTAGAGGAATGCTAATTCCAAACAGAAGTCCATATTTAACACTCTCTAATGTGGATAAAATCGTATTATGCTAGCCATCATATATAACCCTGCCCTCCTTTTAATTCGTGGGGCTAGCGTGCAACTCACCCAAATACAGAGAAAAGTGTTAAAAGAAGAATCTTAAAGAGTATGTTGTTAGCATTTCTCACCTCATAATTACAGTTAATTAGAAGTCAGAAATGAAGAGTGGGTCCAACAGCATATTTCACTCAACCATTAGTCTTAGGTTTCAACATGTTACCGAGCTTCTCTGACTAAAAGCCCTAGTGAAAATTTGGGGGTTAACAATTTTGTTTAGAAAAAAAGGAATTGGTTGCAAAAGGTAAGGAGAAATACAAACCAGTTCCAGCGCCAAGCTCTAATGCAATAACTCCATGAAGTTCAGAGGAACATGATGCTTTATGCAATATAAAATCCGATAATACTAGTGCAGCTTTCCAAACCTGAAGCGAATTTGGGGCAAAATAATAAAAATAATAATAGTAAAATAAAATAAATGCATGAATAGAATTCAAAACGAAAAAGGTTATCAGTGATCAGAAATGGATTGGAATAACCTGCAGCCCAACATTTGGAATTGACGATGTGATGTTATGCTGGATTCTGACGTAAAAGCTATCACACGAAATTGGTGTGTTATCTGTAACAATACACAGTTTTGCTTAGATGAGCGTCGATGACAATACGCGCAAAAAAAGTGAAGGAAAGAAACGGGGAAAGTAAGGATGTGTTGAAATTGCGAGGGAAGCAATAAAGAACACACTGGGACGTCGTCGAGGGAGAAGAAGGTCACCATCGTGATCGAATTGGAGATTGTTGGCGTCTAATGGATTTTGCTGTGAAGGAAGGTGTCTGGTGCGAGGAACATCTAACCTAACATGTTGAAAGGTGTAAGGATTATAGAAGAGTTAAAAGGAAGAAGAAGAAGAAGAAGAAGAAGAGGAAGGGGGTTAGGGTACCAGAAAAAGAAATGGTGAAAAGGGAAATATAGGGTCCGGTAAAACCGGGTGGGCAACCGAGGTGGACCTCGCTCATCACTTCCTCACCACCCCTCTCTTCCCCTTCCGATTCCATTCCTCTGCGTCCTGCTTCTTACTCGTCGTTCGTTTGTCGACAGAGAACGAATCTGAAAAGCCACTTAGTCGGAAGTATATTTCTAAATTTTTTCTATCATGATTTCTGAAAAACTATGATAATAATTTTAATATAGTGTTAATATTATATTTAATAAAAAAATTAATTAAAATATTATGTATTAAAATTATCATTTATATTAGTTTTTATTAGCAAAATACAGGTACCTACGTGTGCTTATACTTTTATTACATCATCATATCTAGTTAAAATCTAACATTTATATTAAGTTAAACTTTATACATTTTTTAAATAAAATATTACAAATTTATATTTTTATTGAATAATTAATTACTTTTATTTTATCAAAGAGAATAATTTATTATTTAAAAAAAATGACTACTTATTTATATGATTATTAATTTATATTTGTAAATAAATAATTATTTTTTGTTAAATAAAATATAAAATTGTATTATGAAAGATGAAAAAAATTATAAAAAGGAATCAATATATAATGAATAGATTACTAACCAAATTTAAAAATTATTTAAATTTTAGAAGTACGAAAATAATATTTTTTTCTTTATCTTTTAGTAGAAACAAAATTTGTTTAATTGATCTTTATCTTTTAAAAAGATTACGCTTTGAAAAAAAAATTCTATACTACTTGGTATCTTAACTAATTAATTATTTACCTAATTTATAAGTTACGGTAGACCATATCGTAAATATTTAATATATGAACTCATTTCATTAATTTATAAAGTATTATTTGAGTTTTCAACTGCTGATTTTTTTTTCATCATCTCAGCACTTTATTATTATATTTTATTGCCTTATTTAATGTTTTACACTATTTTATATTATTTATGTTAAAGTTTTAAGAGTTGTATAAAGAATATAAAAGTTTGAAACCAACTAAAACACTTGAAATTTAAAATGAACTAAATATATTTTTAATAAATTAAGCAATCATATAAGCATGTTTTATAAATCATTATATATATATATATATATATATATATATATATATATATATATATTTTAATTAACTTAATAATTAATTTTATCAAACATTTATAGTCCAATAAATTAACTTTAATTGATAAAAATTAACAAAGTTAGCTTTTTATCTTTCATTATCTTATCGGCAAGTTTTGCAGAAACTACAGATATAATTGAGTGGGTCAATAACTGCACCTACATTAGTAGTTCTTTCAAAATGGTTGATATTCGGATTTCAATCTTAAAAACATTCATTCACGTATAGAAGGAACTACTTCTCATGTCTATGGATGCCAACTAAATATTGGATTAACCAAAGAACGATGAAACAAAGAAAAGAAGAAATTAAAAAAAAAAAAATGTGACGTTTTGATAGGCTGGTTGGGTCGTTTATATATAATTTGAATTTATCCTAAACAATTATACTCTTGTGTCATTGAGATTGCAGGCACGTCCAGTTGCTCTATCAGCTGTAAGACGAGCCGACAAGACATCATAATCTGGCAACCTAGGAGGTTCGGCTGTCCTCAACATTTCTGTTACTAAGAAATAGCTCTTCGATGCACATGAAATGCTTCCATGGAAATTGTGTCTTTAGGAGGAAGAGATGTTCCTCTCACAAGAGATACACTTGATATTTGTTTTTTATGTTCCTTGTGATATTCCACTTGTTGCATAGGACAAGCTTTAACTTTCTCTGACTCTAGCACCTTCTCAATGTCACCAGTTTTAGAATCTGAAACACTGTTATCGTCAGGTCGTGGTTTGAGAGGTCTCCGCCTGACTGATCTTGGTATTGGCTTTTCTGAAACAACATCATGATATGACTCCTTTTCGGGTAGAGTTTCGGATTCCGTTGGTTTCTTCAAATTCCTTTCGTCTTTGACATAAGGAGGCGGAACAAGCTTCTTGGAAAATGAAAATGACCTCTTAATTTCTGCTTCATTCTCTGATACGCTTTCTAATGAACTTGAACAAGCATTTCGTCCGGATAATTTGTCAGAGGCTGTTTCATTGTCAGTGCTGCTTTGCACCCTCCAATAGGCATCATTGATATCCTTCCTTCCTTGAGATACGGTGTCGCTTTCATTTCCTTTAGATGTCTGCCAGTTTCCTTCATTTCTCTGTTTCCCCCCTGTAATCAGGTTGTATATCTTGGGGGCAGCTACATCATTGTTATCATCATGATCATTTAGAGGATCATGTTTAGTCTTCTTCTGCAACAAGCAGAATGAATGTTTAGGAATAAGTCATCACTAATAAGTAGTAGGATAAACTTTGTCTTGTGGACACAACTATAAAAGCTGCGGTAAGCAAAAAGCATTGTTAAACTTGATATCTATGAAGATATACTTATTGAATTTAATGTACTGGATACATCTCAGCTTGGTCCATGATTTTTAGTTCCCTTAAATCATAATTCAGATTAACTACTATCTTATGAGAAGGAAATTCAAATATATCAATGCAATATTCATTTTTTTTTTCTGAAACAGATGCTTAGATAACAAATTATCAACTATAAGTAAAACTTACTTCACGTAACTGACGCGGTGAGTGAACCCTCTGCTCCAAAGCGGTGCTATCCCATCCTATAGAAAACTCTTGCGCTATATCATGCAACAGCTGGAACTTCATTTCTTTCGAAGGAGGAACTTTACTCAATTTGTCTACAAACTAAAGAAAAAAAATTATTCAAGTAAGTGGCGGAAAGAAAGAGGTCATGACTCCAATAGTTTACGGAAGATTGGTCCCATCCGTTACCTCTTTACATATGTAAGGTTCAAGAGTATTCCCAAATTTTTCTGTGAACAACGTTCTGAGCTCGCGTAGTTCTGGCAGATCAGAAAACCTTGCTGCTGCATATATCAATGACTGTATAGCTTCTTTGCATTCATCAGGACAATCCCTACAGAAGAAGATTAAAATACTGTCATGAATAATGCCTTGAAGGAGAATAAAATATGACTCGATACACAGAAAATGATACCTCTCCTTACAAAGGTCTCCAACATGACTCGATACACAATTAGCAAACTTCGCAACGAGTTCATAGCAAGACGACATATTTCGCTCGCCGAGAAGCCCTGCAGTCTGCTTCAAGGGTAAAGTGATTTACAAAAAAAAAAAATCTGATTAATACGCGTAACGCAAATACTTAGTTGTTACACATGGTGTACACAGCATATCACAACATACATGCATCAAATGAAATAAATCGATCTAAGATGTGACTCATTTGGAGCCTACCTGAGAAATTTTTACGAAACAAATCAACTGAGACGAAAATAAATAGCCTAAATACATAAAAGAAAAAAATTGTATTTGGATCATATTCAAATTTTCGTTTATCCAATAAAAAAAATTCATTGAAGGAAATACCCTCAACCTGGATTGCTTTTCAATAGTCTATCATACTCATTTCTATGAATCGGCTATCAAGTTGTTTGAATCAGCCCAGTACGTGCTTCGTGTACCCTTGTGATTGGATAAATTAGAAATGGATCCTAATGCATCTCTTTTCATTCACATAGGTTATTCATTCTCTTATCGTCATTAGAAAAGGATTATAGTATGGAGATAAACGACAGTGACCACTGTGAAACGGCAAATAAATGCAGCGTGAATGAAAAATTACCCTTCCATATGCATTGTAATCAAAGCCATTCGTAAGAAGATCAACGATGTCTTCCTCGAGAAATTTGTCCACCGCCTTCCTTCTCTTCCTTATAGACTCTAACCTCTTCTTTATCAACTTCAACCGTGATTTGCTGTTTCCCAAGTTAATTTTATCATTATTATTATTATTATTATTACAAGAAAACAAAATCCTAAAATGAGAAAAAAAAGAGTGAAAAGAGAGAAACAGATCATAAGCATCATTACCATTTTGAATAGAATTTGGGCTTGAACAACGCATCAAACATATTCACTTCTGATGATCCGACTATACTGAGCTGAGGAAAAGCGAAAAAACAGGTTCGAAACGGTGGAGATGAAGAAGAATAGTCTGAAACCAAGAATGAATCAAGTTTAGAGGTAATGCAGATAGTGTTGTGAGGAATGAAAGAAAAGATGAGAGAGTAAGTAGGAAGGCATTATTTTCTTGATGAGCAAGAAAGAATGTCTGGGAAGAAATAAGAGGAAGTGAACGAGGTAAGAGGAAGCAATTAAATCGTTTGTGAGAATATTTTGTGGTGAGAAAAACTTTTGTAAAATTGATAACCAGAAACATAGGTTTTGAGAAAGTGAGAAAAAAAACGTGAGTGGGGAAGGCTAAGAACTCGCAACGAGAAGCTGAGAGATGAAAGAAAGAAAAGAAGAAAAGGCTACACTGGAGTTGGGGAGCACGTTGAATACGAAAAGTTCTCTTTATATATATATATAATTATTTAACATCTTTTTTATTAAAATATCAAATTATATTGGTGTATTTGTATAAAATATTATATTATTAATAATTTTATAAAAGTCATGTGTTAAATCGTAATTTGATGTAGTTATGATTGTTTATATTAAATTTTGTTAGAATTGAAAATAATAAGAAAGTGATATATATATATTTTAGCACATTATGAACAAGATAAAAATATATCAAACTTGGTAAATATAAAAAAATTTAAACAAAAATGATGATAAAAAAGTTTTAATACAATTGTGGGTTTGAAAAATTATTATTTGGTACATGGATGAGTATTATTGATATATGAAGGTAACATTTGTAGCATACAAGTCAAAAGCTGGCCAGGGTTTAGCTATCAATTTTTTTTTAATAATGGCAATATAAAATTGTGAAATTCGACAAATGGCAATTTTGTGAAAAAGGTACATAAAATTGTGCCCAATAATTGTTTACTTGTTCCAACTTGCAGACCAATGAGAACAGTTAAGAATTAAACTCAAACAAATAAGGATGGAATCATTTAATGTTAGAAATGAGAAATGACTTAAAGATGAATAATTAAAGAATTAAAATAGGGTCCATGTGTGTACGAGGTATGTGAAGTAATGCAATGCATGTCCCTGTAATTTTTTTTATTATTTGTTAAATCATGCTGATTTTTTTATCTTATTTTACCCCAAAATTTGTTGGTGTATTTTTAATTTTATTAAAATTATTATTAAGTATATAAAAAAATATTTTATTTTTTTAATTTTATATATTTATATTCGTTGATGGTTGATATATGATAAATATGTGTCTAATTAAACATATATATAATTGGTTTGTATAATTGGTTCATTTCTAAAAGAGAGTGGACCCACTCCATGCAACAACAAAAATAGGGGTCTCGGCTTGATTTCGGGTTGTAATGATTTCATGATGAGTTGCCCATTCTAATCATTTCCCCCGAAAACATCGTTCATTTCATCACAGAAAAAAGGGTTTTAGGTGGTAGTGAGGTTCAACCACCACCTCTTTTACAAAAGCTTATTTTGGAGGTTCATTATTTTAACATTTAAAGAAAAAATGTAAACAAAAAATGATGAGGTTAATTATCTTATACCATGGTAAAAGTAATTACCATTTGAGATGGGGAATGATTCGTTGAAGGGGACGAAATAATTTACAATGAAAAAAATGTCAAAACCCGATTAACCTAATTTAATTTTATGAATCAAAGAAAAAATTAATAATTTAGTTTAATTTATATTTTAAAATAGATTATAATTTTTCATCTAGTTTAATCTTATATTAGAATAATAAATTAACGAGGCATTTTTTACTTTATTAAAATATATATATATATATATATAATTATAAATTATATTAATTTTTATTTTAAATATAATAATTTAATATATAAATTAAAAAGTAACTATAGTACCAAAAGAGTTTATACATTTGAATGAATCTTAAAAAATATGTAGAATAGTTATATTAATAATTTGTTAAATCAATTTTTCGCAAAATAAATCTTTGAACTTTGTTAATTTTACATTGGAAATAACATGTATTAGATGAAAATAATTAAATTATAATTTTTTAGAAAACTTTTAACTCTACAATTTTTTATTTAACAGTATATATACACATGTTAGGTCACAAACACTGCATTTGATGAACTCTCAAAAAACTTTCACAATTAATATGAATTATTTATACAACATTTATTATTTAAAATCAAATTTTATATATTTTCTTCATTTTATTACCCTGATATATAGCTTTTTATTAATGTATTAGTTATTTTACCATTATCCCGACTTTAACCCATAAAATACAAGCTAGGTAGTTTTTTAAACATGAATGTAACTAAAAAAATTGAGGTATATTAGACTCTAAATTGGTTCTTAGAGCGAAATACAACATAAAATGAATAAATAGTTTAATATTTAAGAATGAATATTATATCATCATTTAAATAAATACATAATGAAATATTTGTACTTGATTTATATATTATATATTATATTTTAATTATTATTTTATAATTTTGTCTTATTTTTTAAAGTTAATTTAATCTTTCATTTTATTATTATCTTTAAAATATTTAATAAAAAAATTAATTCATAATATATTACTAACGTATATCATGTTTATGTTATTTAAGTCGATATAATTAACCCATTATTTAATATATAAACATAAACACGATGTTAATTAGACATCAACCAATATAATTAATTATATTATAACCTTTTTTTTTAATAACTTAACTCATGATTAAAAGAGACTTTATAAACTTATTTTAAATAAAATAACAATGGTTTACACACGTTATTTTACAATATTATTATTTTGGATTTTGTATATTTGACTAAATTCCGATGATAATAATAATAATAATAATAATAATAATAATAATAATAAAATTTATGCCAAAATAACTAACTGATGTTATGTTAACGTAAATCTTATGTGTCTCAAAATGAAGATAAATATCTTCTAGTTAGTGAAATTATAATATAGATGAAAAATTAGTTGATGGATCTAGTTATGTTTTGAATGAACTGGTTTCTTTCAGAATGAAAAGTTGATGAAACATGTTATTTGATAAATTAAGATTGGAATTCAAACTTTTAATGAAAACATTCATACATAGTAAAATCCTTGAAACCAATCATGACTTGAATTTTGATAAAAACATAATAAAATAAAAACACAGAACACTAACCTTAATAAATGCTCACATCTAATCGAAAAAAAATCTAGAATCACAAATAAATTATCGTTGTTAAATATTACATAAAACATTAATAAATAAAATATCTATTAAATTTTTTCATTCATGAAAGTAATGGTAACTAAATAACATGAATAAGTTTAACGGAATCTCCCGCCAAAGGCCCCTGTATGGAATAGGAGTGATTACATTACAGCTATCCCAATCCTGAAGCTTGCGTCACAACAAAGTTCAATAAATCTAACAAAATAGTCAAACTTGGCGACGATTCAATCCTCTCGTATTAGTTGGACGGTGTTTGGATGAAAAAATAGCTCGGAGTTGTTGACCATGAATCTTCAAGTTCTTAATTATAAGAAAAACTTTCGACAACATTTTTGTGCTCACAGAGAGGATGATCCGCTTATTATTAACAACATTTTTGTGCGCTCTTGCATCCAAATCAACAGCGATTTTCCAATGCAGGGAACAAACCAGGTGCGGAGCGTTGGTCGGTTACAAATCGCGGGATCCGACCACTTTAGGGGCCATCCAGAGACTGTTCAACGTGAGTCGAGCGGCGGACATTCTCGCCGCTAACGGCCTTCCCGAGTGGACCATACCCGACAATTTCACGGTGGATCAGAAACGCGTCACGCGTATCCCGTTTGAGTGCGACTGCACGGAACCTGAGTCGTACGGTAAGGCCACTAACCCTCCCGTCTACAAGGTGCGGATGGGTGAGAATATTAGTGACATAACAACGACAGTGTTCTCGGGATTGGTTAATTCATTGGATATTCAATATGGAAATAACATCAGCAACTTGGACAGTTTATTCGTGGGACAGGAACTGCGTATTCCACTGCCCTGCAGCTGCGGGAAGGTGAATGGGGTGGGTGTGGTGCACTTTGGATTGACGCTGGAATACGGACTCACCTTGGAACAGATAGGTGAGGAGTACCACATCGACTCAGAGACCCTCTGGAGTTTGAATCCAGCTTCCAATCCCAATTTTCTGCTCGGAACGGCTGTGGATATTCCTCTCCCAGGTTCCTCTTTCTTTTTCACAGTGCAATGCCTTCTTTCAAGAATTTAAAAATAAGTACTACAATAGTTTATGTAGCATTGAACTACCCTCTAAATAGAACAGTTTCTAAAACAATCTATTATATTATTACATCACTTGTATCAACGAGTATCTTTGTGAGCACACCCACAATACTGTAATGCACTACTAAGCAATATCGCTCATCTTTACTTGAGCCCCACCAACTTTCTCCAAGTCTGTTTTTAATTGTAATGTATGTTTGAATTAAAGTTGAGACATCTTCAATTACTTTTACTCTCAAAATGTATCATCATAAGAACTATTCTGATTTTTATATGATATTATAATATCTTCGTTTTTAGATTTAAGATTATTATGTATATTCATAACAATTATATCATATTATAAAAGAGTGAAATAGTGATTTCTTAAAAATAGAAAAATGTAAAAATATGAGTAAAATGTGAAAAAGGGTTTAGGGAATAGTTAAGTAGTTAATTTAAGAATATCACCCAGGACTTGATGAGAGTGGACAAGACCTGTTGAATACTCTTACTTTAAATCTTCTAAGAATATTTATTTTTTTCTAAAACACGAAACACTAATTTGTTTTACTTTATTATGTATTGACATTCATTATTATGCTTTACAATCTACCCACCAAATAGAGTCCACCTGAACCTCTGTTTTTTTTTATTATTGTTGTATGATGAAGTGATTGAAGAGGATCCAGATCCTATACTTTATTTTTATTATTAATAAATAATATTTTATTAATTAAATTTTAAATTATTGTAAAATTTTATATTTGTAAACAGAAATGTAGAAGATATTTGCTACTATTACATAATTTTAGCCAGCTAAAATAATTCTGGTTATGTATGGACTAATGGACAGTTTGCTCTTCGATGGTGAGAAATGACTCCTTGGACTCCCCTTTGCTTCTTCCAAATGGTTCTTATATCCACACCGCAAATGGCTGTGTCAGATGCAACTGCGATGCTTCCAACAACTGGACGTGAGTTATTAATGTGTTCTGTATGATATTGTCTAATACAGTACTTGGTTTTTGCTAACATTTTTGCTTGATTCTGTTGGTTAGATTGTCCTGCGAACCATCCAACCTCAAACCAACTAACTGGTCTACTTGCCCATCTCTGAAATGCGACAGTTCAAGCAACTTGTACATTGGTAACACCACGTACTCAGGTTCTCATCACAATTACACAATTTGTGCCTATGCTGGCTATGGAAGTCAAACTATATTCACCACTCTCGCAGCAGTGTCTGTTCCTCCCGGTTTGGTGCAGACGCATGACACTAGTAATGATACTTAACTTAAACTTCGTTCACTTCTCTTCATAACGTTTCTATTCAATTTTATTCTTTCGGCTGTGTGGTAGACAAATAAACTAAAATTGTTTAGTATGCATATTGCACAAACTTAGACACTATTGTTCTCCTGTGTTACTAGACAATATCAAGATTTTATTAAGATTTCAATAAACAAAAAAACAAAAATAAAAGGGTTCAGACTAACTGAATATACTTGTAATGGAGATAAGATAGAGCTGGAGGTAGAATGATTTTTAATTAAATCAAATCTAACAAAACATAAGATAAATTTTGTTTAATTTTTTATTTGAGTCGGATGATATGTAGCCTGTTTCTCATCCAAATGAAAATATCAAGTCTTATCCTTAGTTGCTTATATATTTGTATTCCCTGGTGTGAACTGAGTGTGAATGAATGATTGGTTCTTTTGTAAACTTTATTGATTAACTTGAAGAAGAATAAGAAGTAACCACAATTAATATCGCACATTTGTTACTAATTTGGCTCCAGATATATCTCTTGCTTCTTTGGTAGTAATTTCATTTACGTACCCTCCTAAAATATAAATTAAGAATACATGAGTGATAAACCCTCTAATCACCATCTAAAACTTTTTCAGCAACCTTTAGAGAGTAGTAAATTATCTTAATATGAATCGCAGGGTGGTGGATTTGGCTCATCGTTGGGGTTGGAGCAACCCTAGCAATACCTGTGATCTTCTATTCATGTCGTGCCTTGTTGAGAAAATACAAAACAAAAGGTAACTACAACATGCAAAAATTTAGATATGATTTTATGAGTATTAGCCTGTAAGACCTCTTCATAACTTACACTGTCATGTCTCACCACCAGTGGAAAGAAAGAAGATGCACGAGAAGATATTACATGACATTGGGGGTAATGCTATGCTTTCAATGGTGTATGGCAAAGTCATAAAACAAAAGAACGGGGGAAAGACAAGCAATGAGGTTGAAATGTTCACTTTTGAAACCATGCATGCTGCCACAAACAATTTCTCAGCTGCTAATAAGCTAGGAGAGGGTGGTTTTGGTCCTGTCTTTAAGGTAATTTGAGGCTATGTATCTGCGTAAAATGTAATATGCATTCTTAAATTTGAAACTATCTGGACAAGAACTGATATAATGGATCCTTCAGGGAACATTAAGTGATCAACAAGAAATAGCCATAAAACGGCTTTCTAAAAGTTCAGAACAGGGTATAATAGAGTTTACGAATGAAGCCAAACTCATGGCCAAACTCCAGCACACTAATCTGGTGAAATTTTTAGGATTCTGCATTCAGAGAGATGAAAGAATATTGGTCTATGAGTATATGTCTAACAAGAGCTTGGACTTTTACTTATTTGGTAGGCTTTCTTTCATCTTTGCAGCGAAAGAATGTGCAAAATGTTAGCATGAGTAACCATATTAACAATCTTGCCTTCTTTATAACAGATTCAGCTAGAAAGAATTTGCTAGACTGGGAAAAACGGTTGAACATCATTGGAGGCATTGCTCAAGGACTTCTTTACCTTCATAAGTATTCACGACTAAAGGTGATACACCGAGATCTAAAGGCAAGCAATATACTACTTGATCAAGAGATGAATCCTAAGATATCTGACTTTGGCATGGCTCGAATATTTGGACCAAGATCATCAGAAGAAAACACAAACAGAGTTGTTGGTACATAGTAAGTTTCTAATTCAGTCAAGCATTTTCAAAATTGTTGTCTGTTATTTATCTTTCTGCTAACATTTGGTCTTTGCAGTGGATACATGGCTCCAGAGTATGCAATAAATGGTGTTGTGTCCATCAAAATAGATGTATTCAGCTTTGGTGTACTGCTACTAGAGATACTTAGTGGCAAGAAGAATAATAGTCGCTATCATTCGGATTTCCCACTCAACCTCATAGGATATGTAAGTTTCTCAAATCATTAGTCCTTTAAAGTTAGGCTTATCAAAGGTTAAGAGTTTTATATAGGGGTGTTGGTATTCTTGTAGGCATGGCAGCTCTGGAATGAAGGTAGAGCTCTGGAATTAATAGACCCAACATTAAATGAATTATGTTCTCATGATGCAGTTTTGAGATGTATTCATATTGGCCTCTTGTGCGTGCAAGATCAAGCTACAGATAGACCTACCATGCTAGATATTGTTTCATTTCTATCAAATGATACAATCCAACTTCCCCGACCAAAGCAGCCAGCCTTCTTCATCAATGTGGTTGTGGAAGACTCAGAGCTTGATTACAGCAGAAAAGAACTTCATTCATTAAATGACGTATCAATTTCTAGTACGCATGGAAGATAATTGTCCAATTGTATACATCGAATTCTACTTGTTAAGATTTGGAAAAAATTAGCTAGGATTTTTACTTTGCTGAAATTCTAGTTTCACTCAGCCGGCGGGATTTTTTTTTTTTTTTTTTTAATGACAATAAAACATAAATTAATTGTATGCCTAGTATGCAGCCTAGGCTGCTGACGAGCCTTAGGCTTTCCATAGTGTTTTTTGTGTAGACAAAAGATACCAAAACAAAAAACACATACAAAACATCACAAAATTCAAATAAACTTTATTAAATGTGAATGAAAAATCTTTCAGACTTAGAATCAATCACTCCAAACTTTCGAAAAATATTTAAACCACTTCAGTTTATGTTTAGAGAAACTTAACCTTGAGATTGGAGAGAAGACTTTCCCAATTTTTGAACTTTCAAAACCTAATTTACTGAACCCAAAATTAGTTTCAGGTAGAGAATGGTAGACGCACTTTTGCATCGTCGATGCAAACTCATTACATTCTAAAAAACTGTGCAGTATGCAGGTAGATTGTTAGTCAAAGTCAATGGTTAACGTGGAACAGAAGGTAGGAAAGAGATACGAAACGGGTTAAAAGGTAGGCGTGTATGAATTTGTAAGTGTAAGAACAAGAACAAAAACGCGTGAAGGGTAATGTTGGAGAATTGGAGCCATAGATATTACATATTGGGTTGTATTGGTTGATTGATACGAAAAAAAGTGATAACAGAAAGAGAGCAAGATGAGGAGAATTGTGCTTCCCTCTCTATTGTTCCTCCTGCTACTTCAACCATCCGAAGGCGAAAACATTGCCATTTACTGGGGTCAAAACGCCAATGAGGGAAACCTTACCGAAACGTGTGCAACTGGAAAATACTCCTATGTTAACATAGCCTTCCTTTCCACCTTTGGGAATGGCCAAACCCCTCAACTAAACTTGGCTGGTCATTGTGACCCCTCTTCTAATGGGTGCATTGAGATGGGAAGAGAAATTATGAATTGTCAAAATCAAGGGATCAAAGTGATGCTTTCTATTGGGGGAGGAACAGGAACTTACTCTCTAACTTCCGTTGAGGATGCCAAAAATGTTTCGGATTACTTGTGGGAGAATTTCCTGGGTGGATCCTCCTCGTCACGCCCATTTGGGGATGCAGTCTTAGATGGCATTGACTTTGACATAGATGCAGGTAATTCACCATTCCTGGGAAACCTTTCACTTTACCTCATTTCATATTCACAGACACGCAAAGTGCACCTGTCAGCGGCTCCTCAGTGTCTTTATCCTGATTCCAGTCTGGATTCGGCCCTTGCTACTGGCCTTTTTGACTACGTCTGGGTACAATTCTACAATAATCCTCCGTGCCAATATACCCAAAACAATTTCGATAACTTCCTTAAAGCATGGAACCAGTGGGCCACGTCATTGAATGCAGGGAAAATATTTCTGGGGTTACCAGCAGATCAAGCTGCAGCTGGAAGCGGTTATGTTCCAGCTGATGTATTAGTTTCTAAGATCTTGCCTGCAATAAATAAGTCACCAAATTTTGGAGGTGTCATGTTGTGGTCAAGGTTCGAGGATAAAACGAGTGGATACAGCTCCGACATTAAAAAATTTCAACTAAATCAGACTGCAAACTCTCTATGCACACAGCAAAGCCTTCCTGCATGCAGGAGCTCCGAAGGCGGTTTCCTGGAAAGTGTTGGTAACATGTCCACCGTTGGCATAAATGTTTATGCTGGCGCCAATGGCACGAAGTGCTGTAAGATCATATGCATGAATAATTGTTCCTGTCACGCCTATGCCCCAATAAACCGCACTAACAATACTGGATGCCAGATATGGCTAAAAGGAACAACATTTGTTAGATCTTCTGCAGATATAGGGTTACCCATCTATGTTTCTGTCGCACTGCTCCCAGGAGACAAAGGTACGTCCAGATTTCCTACTATTTTCTATGCTTCTAGTCCTAAAACGAACTCGTTAGGAAATAAAAGCATTTAATGGGATATGTTTGCACAAGTTTCTCCATTAAGTTTTTCAAGAAAAAAAAACTTTTCCATGAACTAAAATTAACTTTTACATAATAAATAAATAAATATAATTAAAAAGATACATGAGGGAATTTCTGTAACCTGACTCGTATATAAGCTAATTTTAGCATATAGAAAAACTAAACTGAAAGTTTTCTTTTTATTTTCCTATCCAACAAGGAGCTTGTGGAAATTTCTTGTCCAAAAAGATCCTCAATATATTGGAAACAGAAATAGTAAGTTAATAAAAAATAGTAAAATTTCTTGTCCAAAGATTTTTAATCAAAAATTCAAAATAAAAGGGTGCAGATTGACTGAATGAACTTCAGCATCAATAAGAAGTAATCATAATTAATAGAACTTCCTGGTTACTAAATAATTGGCTCCGGGTAAGTTGGTTATAGCTCTTGATTCTTTGGAAGTATTTTCATTAGGTACCTTGCTTAGCATATGTAATAAGAATACATTAGTAATAAACCCTCCAATTACCATCTAAAAACTTTTCAGCCACCTTTTCAGAGTAGTAAGTTATCTTTCTATTAGTTTCAGTAAACCGGTGGTACATTTGGCTCATCATTGGGTTGGGAGCAGCATTTGCAATACCTGTAATTTTCTATTTATGGCGTGCCTTGTGGAGAAATTACAAAGCTAAAGGTAACTACCATAATTTAGATGTGGTTTTGTGCGTTGAAGTCTGTAAGACCTTTTTATAACTTACATGTTTATGTCTCACCAACAGTGGAGAGAAAGAAGAGGCAGGAGAAGTTATTACATGACATTGGAGGTAACTCTATAAAGGGTAAGAACAAGGGAAAGACAACCAATGGGGTTGAAATATTCACCTTTGAAACCATTGCTGCTGCAACAGAGAATTTCTCAGCCGCTAATAAGCTAGGAGAGGGTGGATTTGGTCCTGTTTATAAGGTTATTTGAAACTATATTTCTGCATAACAATTAACTAATTTGCTTGCTTAAATTTGAAATTATTTGGATAAGAACTGATATAATGACACCTTTAGGGAACACTAAGTAATCAGCAAGAAGTAGCAATTAAGCGACTTTCCAAAAGTTCAGGACAGGGGGTAATGGAATTTAAGAATGAAGCCAAACTTATGGCCAAACTCCAACACACTCATCTTGTAAAGCTTCTAGGGTTCTGCATCCAGAGAGACGAAAGAATATTGGTCTATGAGTACATGCCTAACAAGAGCTTAGACTTCTACCTATTTGGTAAGCTTTCTTTTGTCCAAACAAAGGTATTAAGGTAAGACTGTGTCAAATGTTAGCATGCAGTAGCATTTTAACAATCATGCATACTTTAAAACAGATTCAGCTAGAAAGAATTTGCTAGACTGGGAAAAACGATTGAACATCATTGGAGGCATTGCTCAAGGTCTTCTTTATCTACACAAGTACTCGAGACTAAAGGTGATCCATCGAGACCTGAAAGCAGGTAATATATTACTTGATCACGAGATGAATCCTAAGATATCTGACTTTGGCATGGCTCGAATATTTGGTGTAAGAGCATCAGAAGAAAACACAAACAGAGTTGTTGGTACATAGTAAGTTTATAATTCGGCCATGCATTTTCAAAATTCTTCTCTTTCATTTATCTTTACTCAAATATTCGATCTTTTCAGTGGCTACATGGCTCCAGAGTATGCAATAAATGGTGTTGTGTCCATCAAAATAGATGTATTCAGCTTTGGTGTACTGCTACTAGAAATACTTAGTGGCAAGAAAAATAATAGTCGCTATCATTCGGATCGTCCTCTCAACCTCATAGGATATGTAAGTTTCTCAAATGATTAGTACTTAAAATTTATGCTCATCAAAGGTTAAAGGTTTTATTTGAATGTTGGGATACTTGTAGGCCTGGCAGCTGTGGAATGAAGGTAGAGCTCTGGAGTTAATGGACTCAGATTCGCATGAATTTTGTCCTCAGAATGCCGTTTTGAGATGTATTCATATCGGTCTGCTGTGTGTACAAGATCATGCAACAGATAGACCAACCATGGCAGACATTGTTTCATTTCTATCAAACGATACAATCCAACTTCCACCACCAAAGCAACCAGCATTCTTCATCAATGTGGTTGTAGAAGACTCCGACCTTCCTTACAGCAGGAAAGAACTTTATTCCTCGAATGATGTAACAATTTCTAGCACACAAGGAAGATAATTGTACATTCTGTCACCGGATTCCACTTGTTAAGATTTTGAAATAAACATATAAATTTAGTTTTCTTAAGTAGACCGGATAAAAAGTTATCCATATTTTTGTTGTTTTTTTTTTATCATTTTCATATTTATATCTTACATATCTCATCTTTCTTACAGTAAAAAAAAATTATAAAAAAATTCTACTACACTTTTTTTAATAAGTTTTTTATTTTTGTAATATTCTTATATTTTCTTACCATTTTGATTGTTATCATATATTTACATATTACATATCACACATTGCAAGAAAATTATATATATATATATATATATATATATATATATATATATATATATATATATATATAATTTGAACATAATCTCTTCAGTGGAAAAAGTAAAAAGACAGATTTTATGACAAACATGAGGAATACTGTACAATCAAGTGATGTGTTTCTGATCAACGCAATATTATACAATCAAGATGATACGTTTCTTGATTAAGGTAATATTATCATATTTACTCGTTTATTGTCTATTCTTTCAAATGAAAAATATGTATATGATGCGATGATTTTGATATACAAAATAAAATTATTAATAATATTTATTTAGATACTTTATTTTTATGGTTAATTTTTAATATTGATATGTATTTATTTTATTTTATTTTCACTTTTTTTTTCATTTTCTCTTCTTTTTTTTTCTCTTTTTACTTTTACTACCATAACTTATTTTTCTTCTTCATGATCTTCCTATCCTTATTAATTATCTATATTTTTTTCCCTTCTTTCCTTTCTTTCTCTCCTCTTTTCCTCTCTTCATCTTTTTCATCTTCTCCCACTTGCTTGAAAAAAAGTGTCATAGGAATACCCATTTTATTAGTTCATTGTCTATTCTTCCACGTGATATGATGATTTTGATATACGTTTACAATATTTATTTAGACACTCAATTTTCATTTCTTATTTTTAATATTGATATGTAATAAATTTGATTGATTATAAAAATTATGTCCAACCACTTAACCTAGTAGTGTAATTTTGTGGACCGGTTGTGATTTTTTGTTAAAATTATAGATTAGCAATACTCCACATAAAAGATACCATAAATTTAACACATTTTATGATGCTAAAACAGCAAATACAAGAATTAATCAAAGTGATATTGTTCTGAATCACATCCATTATATACCTTAATAGAAAATAATTATCCCTTCAACAGATGTTAAGCTAGTTACTAGTAAGAACTTAATAATTTTGTGTAAGTTACTTTCAAAAAATATGAAAGTGTAAGCTACATTAAAAAATACATTGATATGCATGTGTTTGTGTTTGTGTTTGTATTCGTATTTGAGTTTGAGTTTGGATTTGTATTTTTTTTATTGGTTTGTTTTGTATTTGACTTTGTGTTTGTATTTGAGTTTGAGTTTATGTTTTTTTTTTTTTGTGTTTGTGATTGTATTTCTATAGGTGTTTTTGTTTGTGTTTTGTTATTCGGGTGTACGTATATATTCTATTGCAGATATGATCTTATTACACCAATATTTATTAATGTATCTATTTTTTCACCGTCATCCTATTATATTTGTCTTATGCAAGTGGACGTGTACATCCTATTGCAGGTATGATCCTATTCCACAAATATTTATTAAAGTGTCAATACTTCGACTATCATCCTATTATATTTGTCTTTGTGTTTATCTTATGTAGGAACACATGTACATTCTATTGCAAATGTGATATTCTTTCATCAATACTTATTAATGTGTGTATACTTCCACTATCATCATATTGTATTTATCTGTGTATTTGTCTTATATAAGTGCACGTGTATATCCTATTGCAGATGTGATCTTATACCACCAATATATATTAATATATCTATATTTCTATTGTCATCCTATTGTGTTTGTCTTTATATGTATTTTATACAAGTGCACGTGTATATCATGATCATATTCTACCAATACTTATTAATGTGTTTATAATTTCACTGTTATTTTATTTTATTGTGTTTATCTTTTATAGGTGCACGTATATATACTATTATATATATAATCTTATCCTACCAATACTTATTAATAAGTATATATTTTTACTATTATTGTATTATTTTTGTATTTGATTTTGTCTTATGTAAATATATACGTTCATTCTATTACAGGTACTATAATATTCCATTAATATTTATTAATGTGTGTATATTTTTATTATCATCTTAGCTAGTGTAAATGTATATCTATAATAAATATAATCATATTTTACGAATCCTTATGACTTTATATTTTTTAAAACTTTTCATCGCAATTTAACGATTTTTTTAATATAAATATAATAATATAACCCAAGTGTTTCCATATATGTACAAATTAAAAAAAAATAGAAGCAAAAGAAACTTTAGCACTATATAAAAAAAAAAGTTTGACATGTGCTGAAAGTAAATTAAGAAAATAATAAAAACTTTTTTCTTTAATTTTAAATTCCAGCAAATTCTTTCTTGTATTCTTTTTCATTCCTACCAAACACCACTTACAAGTCACTTCCCATTTATATGCAGTCAAATCCTTCAACCTTTTCACTAATCAACTCCAACACGTCTTCAAATCATCTTTCTCTCTTCATTCCTTGTTTTGTTTTCATATTTAAAACCAGTTTTCTTCATCCTCTCCGAGCTTCTTGCTTCTTATCATTTCAAAACCGTACCAGATCATAACCTTAAATCACATTCAAGCCCGTGAGCCCGTGACCAAGCCTCGCCACGTGTTCATCGCTCATTAGTCCGCGCGTAAAGTATTTTCAGTATTTGCTCTTCAGGCCCCATCGGACTCTGATACATCAATATATATAACAACGTACAATATTTCAATCCCAAAGTTCTCATTTCAGCAGGTGGAGAGAGTGAGAAGAAGAAGAAGAAGAAGAAGAAGAAGAAAAGGTGGGAATGGAATTTTGGCCAGAGTTTCTCGCGAGCAGCACCGGAAAAGAGTTCGTAGCAGGAGGATTTGGAGGCACTGCAGGCATAATCTCTGGTTACCCATTAGACACGCTCCGTGTGATGCAGCAGAACTCCTTCAACACTCGCTCTGCCTTCACCATCCTCAGAAATGTGGTGGCCAAGGAAGGACCAACCGCTCTGTACCGCGGCATGGCTGCACCTCTGGCCTCTGTTACCTTTCAGGTAATTCCTTTTTTCATTTTACTTCCATCGCTTTGTTAATACTAGGTCTCTATCTGTTACTATTAGTGTAGATTCAGACACGTTTTCTGATCAGACTCATCACGTGGACGATGCGGGAGTATATCCCTTTATATTCTTCACGTGGGAGACCACCACCAACCCATCTCTTCTCACTTTTTTGGTTTCTTCTGTAATTCTGTTCATTATTAGATGTCCAATCTTCAAGCCACCTCAATGCCAGAGAAACTGTCGAAAAATTATATTTAGGGTTTATTAAGTTGAGACGTTTAGTTCATTTCTCAATTTTTTTTATTAGGCTGATTTATGCTCTATTTGCTACCAATAAAAAGAAAGTGGGGGAAAGAAATGAAACAAAAGAAAAAAGAAAAAAATATCTGTTCGTTTGTTTGTGACATAAAGTGAATAAATATTTTGTTACCATTTAATTTATATTTATTAAATATGTTTAGATAAATATTTGTATTTTAAGAATTTTATAAATTAAATTTTCCTACTCTTAACAATACTCGATAACGTTTATCAAATTATAATCATACTCAGTTATGGATTTTCTCAAACATTGGAATGTTCTGTTCAATTACTAATTGGAGTTCCGAAGTCCTATTGTTTACTCAATTATTTGCTTGTGGATTAACGTAAAATCGTGGCGCACTGAGTGATACACACCCAGAGGCAATATTAAACTATATTTTGGGATGTGCCATCAATCAATGCCTTCTGGATTATTTAAGAATCATCATCAATTGATCCACGATCACCACCATCCAATTATTGAGGATACCACTAGTTATTTAAGTCCTATTGTTAATATTTGTCTTCCTCTTATAAAATATTAGATCCTTCTTATTAGAGATTGAGTTTACTGCATAATTTATGACAGTAGAATGTGTCATGCCATTTAGAAAGTAGCTTTTGTGATGGATACAAAAAGAGAGTACCATTCGTGATACTAGCAAACCACTTTTTTTTTAAGTTTACTCATTATGCTGTGTTTTATTGAGAAAAAAAAATATAAAATCAATGAATTATTACTTATCTGGTCACATGTCTTGGACTTCGTTAATGATGACCGGTGCAAGAAAATTAGCACAGGACTTTACAAAAGAAATGTTCAAACATGAATGAACTGAAATCCTTCATAAAATGTAACTCACCAACCAAAACTGAGGTGATTCTTTTGTTGGGTGCAGAATGCTATGGTTTTCCAAATTTACGCAATTCTTTCGAGGGCATTTAGTTCGTCCGTTTCGGTGAACGACCCTCCTTCTTACAAGGGTGTGGCTTTAGGAGGATTTTGCAGCGGTGCTATACAGAGTATGTTGCTGTCCCCTGTTGAGTTAGTAAAAATTCGGCTTCAGCTGCAGAACACAGGTGAATCCATAGAAACCCAAAAAGGTCCTATGAGGGTGGCCAAAAACATATGGAAAATAGAGGGCCTTCGCGGCATTTATCGAGGCCTTGGCATCACCATGCTAAGAGATGCACCTGCACATGGGCTTTACTTTTGGACATATGAATATGCAAGGGAGAAACTTCACCCAGGTTGTAGAAGAAGCTGTAAAGAGAGCTTGAATACTATGCTGGTATCAGGAGGATTAGCTGGGGTAGTGAGTTGGGTTTTCAGCTACCCTTTAGACGTTATCAAGACAAGATTGCAGGCTCAAACACTTTCTTCACAAAAATACAGAGGCATTTTGGATTGCCTTGGGAAGAGTGTTAGAGAAGAAGGATATGTGGTGCTGTGGAGGGGTTTAGGAACTGCAGTTGCCAGAGCGTTTGTGGTGAACGGTGCTATATTTTCTGCTTATGAGATCACTCTAAGGTGTCTGTTTGATAATAACAACTCAAGCATTCAAATGTAGGACACAATCAAATTCAAGGGCCTTACTACTCTAGTTTTGAGGGAGACATAACAACAACCAGATACCATATCCGAGTAGCAGTGTCTTCAAAATTGACATTCGGATTTTATGTTTGATAATCATTGCTTCATGTAATTTCCAATGTAAAACAATTCATTCACATCAAAGAAAAGGAGGGTTACACTATGAGATCTTTTCTAGTTTTGGCCAAAACTTTGAAAAAAGTTGTCTTTTATCAATTTTTATTTTATTTTACTCTCCTTTTTTTTTTTACTCTCTTTTTTTTTTTTTTTTTTACTTCTCTCTAAGTTACTACTATTCAATGTTTAGATTATTGAAAAGTAATATACTAGTATGAGTATTAATATTAAGGTGGCAAATATTTACACTTCTTATTTTATTTTTTTAGTGTAGAAGAAAACTAAAGATCTACCTATAATGCTAAAAATAGTATAACAACAACTAATTGAATAAAACATAACATCCCAGCAACTATACTCATACAATGCGTAACAATATTTAATCTTTTAAAATAATTGTTTGGATCATGAGGTTTATTGACATGATACTCTCTTCATAAACTCTTGTTAAATTGAAAGTGTTATCGTTTTATGAACATTTCATATGATAGAGTTGTAGTTGAATCAGTTTATGAGATTTCTTTTTACTGTATATAGATTTTGTCAGTTGAATAATATTTCATATTAACCATCTCTATTTTCTTTCAAATAATGGTTGAGTCGTGATGAAACCCATCTTCAATTTGTGGCAAATGATGATCTTTTTTGTCATTCTTTCTCTTGAAAGTACCCAAAGTTAAAGATTGGAATTCTTAATTTTTATTAGAACATCTAAAATATCATCAAAGACACATCAAACGCTCTCTCCCTAACATCAATTCATTACTTGAAAAATATTTCATGTAACAAATATCATTCATTCTTAGTATTGTGACATAAATATAATTCTTCTATTAGTAAGAAAAATATATGAACCGATATATTAAAAAATATTACCTCTCTTTAAAATATTGGCAATTGCCTTTAAAGTTTTGTGGTAGTGGATTCAAAAGCACGAACCACTTTGCGAACCATTTGACATATTTTAGAAAACCACTTTTTAAAAATAAAAATAAAAATCGAAAAATTAAGATAGATTAGGATGAGGGTAGAAAATATTGTAACAAAAAGTGTATATAGTCTATGTATAAATTTGAGTCTAAAATAGTCTTAAATAGCGTAGAAATGATTTATTATAAATTTAAAATGTATTTAAATGTTGTGTTTGAGCCTTCACCGGGCTTCACTATAGGTAGGTAGATCAACGAGTCCTTGAACAATCATAGAGTTGATGACTTTGATGCATTGCCATTGGTTGGTTGATTCAAAGTATGATTGAATGAGTACCTAATATAATACAGTCCCCATATCTGATTCCCTTCACCTCAGGGAACATTTTGCTTAAACAAGTTTAAAAATGAAATTAAAAAAGAGAGGCAAAACAAAGATGCACGAAAAGAAAGAAGAGGCCGGAAAGACTGGGCCCAAACAAAAGCACGGTGCCGCGCCGCAAATTGTTACGCAGGGTTGCCATCACCAAGCAAACCCGACCCGTAAAGGATGCCACGTGGCAGAGCCTTTCAAAAGGACGTACGCAGAAGACCACAAGTTTTGAATGTGAAGCCAAGCGCGCAACGATAAATGGACACAAAACAGTGGCAGTCCCCACCCATGTGGGACGGGACAAGTTCAAAAAACCACGGGACCTACCCCCCACCCTACGACGTCGTTTCACTGCCTAGTCGCACGTGCCAGGCAGCGTGTCCGTTCAAAAATTTTCAAAGGCTCCTTTCGTTGGTTTCACTACAACAACAACAACAACAACAACAACACCCTTGTCGCTCGTATCGTATCTTTTCGTTCCTTCCTATATCTTCGGCTCCACTCCACTCCACTCCACTCCACTCCACTGTCGTTGTATGCTAACTGATCACCTTCCTCTCACCGTTCCGTTCCATTCCGATCTCCTCATCGCCAAGGAATATGAACGGTGCGGGGAGACAGGGGCTGAGATCTGGTGCGGCTGGTGTGCACCACCACCGCCAGTACTCCGATAACTTCCTCGATGGCTCCTCCAACGGCAACAGGTGGCTCCAATCGGCTGGCCTCCAACACCTTCAATCCTCCACCAATCAACTTCCTCCGCTTCAGGTGATCTCATTCTCTTCCCTCTCTCTCTCTCTCTCTCTCTCTCTCTCTCTCTCTCTTTCTCTCTTTGTCCTCCGCTTTCGATCTTGTCTTCCGCCGTTGCGCTTAAGCGTTTTGGTCCGATTTGATGAGATTCGTTTCGTTTTTTGGAATGCCAGCAGGACTATAATTTGTACGGCGGCGGCGGCGGCGGAGCGCAGGGAGGAAGAATGTACCGGAACGCGCAGAGGGGCTTTAGCGGAGGAAATGAGTATTATGTGGAGCCTTCCACTCCTCCCGGTGGTTACCGTGCTTCGATGCAGAAAAAGAATGGCGATGATTTGTCTGGTGATTTCAGCCCCGGCTTGTTGGATCTGCATTCGTTCGACACCGAGCTTCTTCCTCCTGAGGTTTATACGACGGATGAAGTTTCTTTTGATTTCTGTGCTTTGTTGTTCTGAAGTTGTCATTTCATCTTGTGTATAACGATCAAATTGCTAATTAAATAAGGTTACCGCTATAGAATATATCTATTTCGTTGACTCTCTAAATGTGTTTATTTATTCTATGCAAAAATTGAGTTGATGTTTAGGGGAATTGTTATGCTAGCCTCTGCAGATCCCGAGGTTGCTATTGTCTACCAGGGATGAACTTTCATTTAGTTTCTGTGCTTTGTTGTTCTGAAGTTGTCATTTCGTATTATGAATGACGGTGACATTGCATCTTTTGAAAGGTCACGGTTATATAATTTTTTTTTTTTTTTTTTTTGACTCTCTTAACTCTTGAAAATGTTCATACCATGCAATGTTTGTGTTGATCTTGTGGGAAATTGTTATGTCAGCCTCGGCAGATCCTTACCTCTTAACTTGTACGTGCGTTGGGACTTTATTATTCCTTCATTTTAATATAACCTGGGGGTTAAAAGCATTTCCTCGATCCTAGATATTATGAGAATTGCGCTCTTATGTTCATCGTACGATGCAAATTGTAAGTAGAGGCACATGAAAAGTAGCTTAAATTTGCTTATAATTTGTCTCTTCTTCTAGATGCCAGCCTCCAATGCATATGATGCAAACTCTATGTATCAACCTGGCCGAGGTAGAAGCTTTGATGACTCTGAACCTTACATGTTGAGCAAACAGACTGGCAGAGGTCGTGCTCCAGAAAACATATTGAAGAGTTTTCCCGCCGAAAAAGAGAAATCGAATTCTGTAGCAAAGATTAAAGTTGTGGTATGTTCATGCTTCACTTTTATTTTAAAATGTTTTTTGCTGAATGTTTAATAGTAATTTGAATTTATTTTCTTTAAGACTGCATTGGCACAATTGCATCTCTGTATACATTGAACATCATATAAATTTCATTGAATTATCTGACAATGAATATTAAATCTTGTTCAATTGTAAAGAAAAGAACATTTCTTTTAATTTTCTACTAATATTTGCATGTTACTTTTTATGCAGGTTCGTAAGAGACCAATGAATAAGAAAGAATTAGCAAAAAACGAGGAAGACATTATAGAAACATATTCAAATTCTTTAACAGTGCACGAGACTAAACTGAAGGTGAGTGTAAGAGGCAACATTAATCAATGGTTCGAACGTCGAACGCATTATACTTGTCCTTCGGTCTTAGAATATAAGAAGAAATTTCGTGTGGTGCTGGTTATGTAACTGATATTTTTAAATTTTTCACTTGGTGAATCTGAATTTTGATTTGAATGAATACAGATAATATAAAACAGAAAAAGACGGGTAATATGTGGGTTGTAATTATCTGTATATATCTTAAATATTATGTACACTCGCTGGAGATTGAAGATAATAATATTTTATCCCTCACTAGTCAGTTCTTATGGTATGATAATCTAATGGATCTTTATACTTACACATTTTAAAATTATGTGCTTTACAGGTTGACTTAACTCAGTATGTAGAAAAGCATGAATTTGTTTTTGATGCTGTTTTGAATGAAGAGGTTACGAATGATGAGGTAACTCTGATTTAATTAAATGTTCAGTCGCAAAGAATGACTGACATGTTTTATATCCTTATGTAACTTTGTTTTAAATTCTCTTTTATTAGGTGTATCGTGAAACAGTAGAGCCCATAGTTCCAATAATATTTGAGCGCACTAAGGCAACATGCTTTGCATATGGACAAACAGGTGATAACACCCTCTGAATTTCGATTTTTATTTTGTTGCTATTGCATCCTGCCTGAAGACAGATACCGATTTTATGCTAATTTGTGAAGTGATATCATATCATACATCTCTTTGGAATTTCCATGTTTGATTTCTATCTCTAAATTTAAAAGTTTTATGTTTTGGCCATTGATCAAACTCAATTCTTAAGGTCTAGTTGTTGACAACTTAAATGTAGGCCGGCAACTTAGCCTCACTGATTTGTACTATGAGTAGACTTAAATACCATTTTCTGTTTTTCTAGGAAGTGGGAAAACTTACACTATGAAGCCACTGCCACTTAAAGCATCAAGGGACATCCTTAGATTGATGCATCATACTTACCGAAACCAGGGATTTCAATTGTTTGTGAGCTTCTTTGAAATATATGGTGGCAAGCTTTTTGATCTTCTTAATGATCGAAAGTAAGTCAAATATCTTCCTTTTAGCATCTGTAATCTGTGTTCTCGAGGTTTAAAGTTTGTACATGTGCAGAAAACTTTGCATGAGGGAGGATGGTAAGCAGCAAGTTTGCATTGTGGGTTTGCAAGAGTACCGGGTATCAGATGTGGAGAACATCAAAGAACTGATTGAGAAAGGAAATTCCACAAGAAGTACAGGCACCACAGGTGCAAATGAGGAATCATCACGGTCACATGCAATACTTCAACTTGCTATCAAGAGGTCAGTTGATGGAAATGAATCCAAACCTCCCCGTTTGGTTGGCAAACTCTCCTTCATAGATCTTGCTGGAAGCGAAAGAGGTGCAGATACGACAGATAATGACAAACAGACAAGGTTTGATTAGGCTTGAATTTTTTAAGATGGATTTATCTTGTTACTTATCCATGTTTTAACTGCACTTATGCCAGAGAAAATTAGTTAAGGAATATAAATTAGATTAGATTCCAAATATGGCTTTGTACATCATTATTAAAGATGTCTCAGAATCGGGATTCTATTATGAATTGTATGCATCTCTCTAACATTCTCACATCAATCTAATGTATTTTTGTTGCGTCATTTGTTTACAACTAAATGATTCAGAATAGAAGGTGCTGAAATCAATAAGAGCTTACTTGCCCTAAAGGAATGTATAAGAGCACTTGATAATGACCAAGGACACATCCCTTTCAGAGGCAGTAAACTGACTGAAGTTTTGAGGGATTCATTTGTGGGCAACTCCCGCACTGTTATGATTTCATGCATATCACCAAGCACTGGTTCATGCGAGCATACTCTGAATACATTAAGATACGCTGACAGGTAACGATGAATTTTCTAAAGGTGTTGTTCTGTATTCCCTACTACTTCAAACCACCCACATCACCTTAGACAAACACAACAAAGCACAACACACCCATCCATGTGTTAACAAGGTTAATAAAAATAATATTTTGCTGTTACAAACCAGGGTGAAAAGCTTGTCAAAAGGAAACAACACAAAGAAAGATATGTCATCAAATTTCAATCTTAAAGAATCAAGTACGATTCCCTTATCTTCCACTACTGGATCAGGCTATGAGGATCGCACAACAGATGGATGGCCTGATGAAAATGAAGGGGATGATTTTAGTCCCCCTGAAGAGTACTACGAGCAGGTAAAACCATCTTTGAAGAAAAATGGAAAGATGGAATCATATGCTACAACAGATGACAAATTGAAGAAACCCAGTGGTCTGATGAAGTGGAAGGACCTCCCAAAAATTGAGCCTCAAACCACACACGCTGAGGATGATTTGAATGCCCTCTTGCAGGTAAGTCGTTGTTGGCTACTGAGATAATGGTTAAATAAAAAATTTCAGCGCTCACCTTTATCTAAAGCATGCCTTTATTTCAGGAAGAAGAGGACCTTGTAAATGCCCACCGGACACAAGTAGAGGAGACCATGAATATTGTTAGAGAGGTATTAAATTGTCGTTATTGTTGTATATTTTCATTTTATCATCTTCTAGAGAACTGGGCGATGTGTCTCAAGATTATTGATATCTGCATTCTATTTTTATTTTTTTTATGAATAGCAATAACAAGAATTATGTGCATGTTTTCGTCAGGAACATCGATATACACACCAAACTTAAATTTATTGAATCTCTTACTGAATATTGCTCATGATTTCAGTGTTACTCATTCTAGGAATAATGAATAATAGGTCCTAGAATCGATAAATATGAATTCCGAACACTATTCTTGGCACTGCAATCTTCCAAGGAATGTTGCGAATTCCATTTCTATAATTCATGTTTTTATCTTCAATTGCAATGCAGGAAATGAACCTCTTGGTTGAAGCAGATCAACCAGGGAATCAGTTGGATGATTATATAACAAGACTAAATGCCATTCTTTCTCAGAAGGCCGCTGGCATCCTGCAGTTGCAAACCCGTTTAGCTCATTTTCAGAAACGTTTGAAGGACCATAATGTTTTGGTTTCATCTACTGCCGGTTACTGATATAATTAAATCAGACTCCCTTGTTAGAATGTTTTATTTCGGTGATCGGAGTCATGCATTTCTGTGATTCAGGTGGAGATTATGAGATCTGGGATGACATAATTGATTCATCATTGTTTTGCCTATTCTCCTCAGGATAAGAAACTGGGGTTTGGAGTCTTCATTTTTTTCTCTTTACTAAGAATGTAGTAGACTTGTATTGGCTTTACACGCCAATAACAAGGCAATATATCTGTGTACAGAGCTCTCATTCGTGTCAGAAATATAATATAAGAACCATTAATTTGTTTTCACTTATTAACTTAAGCTTTTAGAATTATAATAAATGACCATATAGAAGAGAATGTGCGGTCCAGTGGTCCAGCTGCCCCTGCACCCATCTTTTAATAACAATAAGTTAACTCTAGAGAGTATATGAGAAATATAAAATTATTCACATAACAATTTTAAGATTATTTTTAATATTTGATCTAATTACAATTTGATTTCGATTGATCAATGGGATATTAATATTTTCGTCGATGTTTCCTAACTAACTTCAGGGTGGAGGTGAGTGATGTGTCTACGAATGAATTACTGTAGGTCATACAGTCATAAATTCGAAGGTTGTATACACATGCTGTTGTAAATTAATAACAAATTGAAGAATTGTTGCAATTATGTTTTAATTCTTTAGTCTTTTATCATAATGAAATTGTAGTTATGGTATTGGTCTTTTGTGCAAGTACGAGCTGCCAAAGATCCTGGATTTTCGAGTTAATTTTCAAGGAAACTAATGTAAAAAATTAATGTCTTGTAAATCGTATCCCTCATTGTATCTGTCATTCCTTTCATCGAATCTTGATACCCCTCTCCTACCTAACTTTACAAATAAAATAAGTAGGGAAAAGAGTCCAAAGAATCTTAGAATCCCACTTATCGATGCGAAACGAAAATTTGAAACCAGACTTGTTCTAATTCTTTCTTTCCCCGCCATGCATCTGCAAGACTCTAACTCGGGTTTCACAGACTGAAGCCACACCCAGAACCCATACTAAATATACTGAGTTTGGTCTCTTTCAAGTTTCAAGATCCGCAGCTCCGAGATCAAACCAACCACTGTGTTTTTCTTTTTTCTTTTTTGTTCATTGAAGTTGATTTGTATGGGTTTACTCGTTAAACAGAAAATGGGACACATCCTGTCTTATTCTAAAGATCCGAGCATCTCTTTGAGAAAGAAACAGTGTTGTTAGAAAATTTTGAAAATGGGAAATTTGGCAAACTGGTCTAGAATTTCTTACGTCATAATTCATTTTTATTTATAGTGTTCAAAATAGATCCAATTCAACATTGAAATGACCAAAAAGTAAAAATGAAAAAGAAAAATATAAGTATAAATTGCGGGAATTCACACCAAACAAGTCCAAATAGCTCTAAGCACACTGGGAGAAGGAAAACCAGAGACACAAAATAGTAAAACAAAACAGTTTTCGTATTCACTAAAACATTCTTTGCGTAAAGATGAACTTATCTACAGCCTGATTGAGCCTAGTTTTCCCTTTGACTTGGACCTTTTAATGCTGATAGAGGACCCTTGAACTGAGAATTCAGTGTGCATGTCCGTGAAGAACTTGTCCACGATATCTAAATAAACAGGACTTGTAAGGCGTGAGTAGTAGTGAAGTGCCTCTTCTATGTCTAGCACGTGTTCGACATCACCCGTATCCATCATCTCCAATTCCTTCATCTTTTGCACCAAGTCATGAACTCCCTCGTCCATGCTTTTTGAATTATTCAAGCATTCCCTCTTTTCCAATTCACAGCTCCCTTTGCTTTTCTTCTCTTCCACTTCTCCATCTACAGCAACGCTCTTTTGTGAACTTTGTTTCTTGAGGGTTTCAGTGTTTGCAGCATCTTCCCTTTCTAGATCTCTCGACCTGCGCATGCTACTGTCGTCAACCCTCTTTATTCTGTTCAGATCAGACTGCAACATGTCATAAAACTCATTGTAGAATTGATCGCTTGTGTAAGTTCTGGCATTTCCACTGCGACCGAGAAATGGATTGAGGGAGAGAGATCGGGGTAGTTTTTGGTACCCTACAAAGATGACAGACTTGAAGCTACGGAGGGTCTTGTGAAATAAAACCTTGGTCTTGCGAATGGTTTCTCTAAGCAGCATTTGTGGTTTGGTTCTAACTAACGTGAAAAGGCAAAGTTTTCTCTATCAGTTCCTCTAAAAGTCTTCTAGAGCAGACACAATGTTAATCTGCTCTAGCTCTCGTCTGTTCTACAATTTTGTCCTACTCATGTTCACATATAAAGAGACGTGGTGCAGATGGTAACTATTTCCAAAGGTTACCAAAAGTGAAATGCAATTGTACTCTAAAGGGTTGCATTTTCTTTTGTCTAGGTTTCAACTTTCAACTCTACCTTTCTTTGTCTACGGCATCCCATGCTCTCTGTCCTTATCAACCCTTCTCTCTAAATATGGTGGCTATATGATTATCTTGTGGGAAAAGAACCTAATTTAGAGTCCAAACACCCTGAGAGATTATGCCCGATCTAGTTAGTGCTCTTCCTCTTCGTATTAAAGATAATTGAAGAAAAAGTACAAGTTTGGGGACTTTAGTATCTAATTATCACAGATATTATGTTGATTTTTTGACTGCATGCTGTTTAAAGTGCAGTGGCATTGATTAAGATGCAAAGCTAAAGGTGGTGGGTGGCTAAAAGATTAAAAGAACAGCATATCAAATTCTTAGCCAAATTTGAATGAAACTTTAGACCCCCTAAATCAAATAGTCCTTCGATGATTCTTGCAGTGGTTAACTCTAAGCATGCAAATTTGTTTTAGGAACTACACTAACAGTAATTACTTAATACACAATCAGCTACTGTTTTTAACAAAAAGTTCGGTAAGGATCACTGAGAAGAATTACTGATACTCTTGCTCATATAGCAAACCCGGTTAATTGGCAACCGTCCCTAGCTAGGCCTTGTGAAGATGAAAACCTTCTTTATTTGTAAGAAAGACATGCATGGTCCCCAATCTAAAATCAGGTTGGCACTGAGAAATGAAAAGTAGAGACTGTAAATTGATATAATGATAAGATGAGATGCATTTGGTTTGCCGTACTGTGAGGTCACTATCAGACACTTGCCAGAGTTTAAGTCCTCCACCCACCTCTGTCCTAAATTATAAGGTTAAATTAAGTGATTGCACTTGCAAAAGAAAGTGGCACATGATTGGTTCTTTTCTTCAAAAAAACCCGTGCCCTGCAGCAATAGCTACTGAACTCTGGCAATTGACATACCTGCAGAAGCAGGCAAGAACACCGACTGTTTGTTGTTGAAACTGCATTTCTCATTCATGAGAAGGCTGCTGGTGATATTTGGTGGCTATTCGGATTTAATGATGATTGATTTTATTTCAACTTAAAGAAGTTTTTATGGGTCTAGACTCCATAGTTAATTTTATGTTCATACAATCTTTAAATTTTGTGTTCACAGTTTTTACACTGAAGTTTATCCACTAATTTTTCTTTTAAAATAAAAACGTCAAAACATAAATTAGGTATTATCAAAATCAAGTTTAATCAAAATTGACTATGAAAACGCTTTGTCTAAATGCACACTAATGATCAAAAGGGGAACCTTAAAAAGTTATAGCAGTAAATAAGTTAACTTGAGATTTTACGGGTCTCAGAAACCAGAATTTTGAGGATTATGGTAAGACTATTTTTTGGAAAGCATCATGGCAAGACATTTATGTGTGGTGTGTGGATATGATATTGCTCTGGTCCTACAAAGATGGAGGGGGCGTTACAAAGTAAAGGAGCAGAGTAATGGAGGGGACCATACAGGCATGCACGTAAACCAAGGATAACTTTTATTCAAATTTGGGCGCCAACATATGTTGTTGGATTCCTGTTGTAGCACACTGACACCGACAATATACTTCTACATCACTACTTATTTCTTACCTCAAAAAACATTTATAACAAAAACACTTTCAAGATCAATATCACGTCAAAGATGCAAAACCTATCTCCATGGATGTCAAAAAGCCTTTCAGAAACGCATCACCGAACACACTCAATTCTGTGTCGTGAAAACATCAACTACCTCTATTCGCATATACACTGCGAATGCAATATGTTTGTGTCGCTTTCATGGTTTTCTAAAAAGTGGTGATATTTTTACAATCAGATAACATATAACTATTCAAATAATTCACTTTTATTAATATAATAATCTATAAAATGATTAAATAAAAATAAAAATAAAACAAAATTATTATTATAATATTAAAAGAGATTAACTCACTTTTATTAATATAATAATCTATAAAATGATTGAATAAAAATAAAAATAAAATAAAACTATTATTATAATATTAAAAATAAAAATAAAATAAAACTATTATTATAATATTAAAAGAGATTTATTTATAGAAGTTATATGGATTTAGGTGGTAAAAGTATCATTTTCCTTTTAAAATGCTTTTCAACATGGCACACCGTTATCCAACCAATAGTCTCGTATTAAAATATTAATACAATTAATGCAATGTGAAAATTTTCCAACCATATATTTATAGAAAACCCTGTACAAATAGTAAAGCACAACAGTTTGAGAAATTAGATTGAAAAAAGTAAAATATCTGACCATTTGTATAACTTTTGAGTTTATTGAACTAAGTTACAACTCTCTCAACTTTGCCAAAAATTAAAATATATTTCTCAACTTCACATAAAAAATTAAAATACAATTTTGTATCTAGTAAATGCTCCCTAAATAAAAATTATAGATTAAACCATTAAAAATTTGGGCTAAGAATAAATTCATTATATATTTTTATTATTTTAAAATTTAGTTTATATATCTTCAAAATAACTCTGGACTCAAAGCAGTTACGAGTGAGAGCTAGGCTCATAACCTGGCAGACATGGGCCTAATACCTTCTCAACGAAGCCCAGTCATACATATTAAACAAGCCATAGTGGCCTAACAAGGCCTGCCCTCGGCCCATTCCGATAACTGGTTTATTTCCATCCTACCTCTCAACCACATAACCCTAAACCCCTCGCTTTAAACTCAGGGCAAGAGATATAAATACTAATCTCCACGCCGCTTCTTCTTCTTCAGCCACAGTTCCTTTGCTGCATCATTAGGGTTTCTCATCTGCTTCAATGGTATTTCCTTCGTTCGCTCTCTTTCTCAATATTATACGGTTCCGTGTGTGTTCGGAGTTGTTGTCTTTTGATTTTGACCAGAGTGTATGTAAATGGATCGCAGGGGAAGGGAACAGGGAGTTTCGGTAAGAGGAGGAACAAGACCCACACTCTCTGTGTGAGGTGCGGCCGCCGTAGTTTCCACCTCCAGAAGAGTCGCTGCGCCGCTTGCGCTTTCCCCGCTGCTCGCAAGAGGAAATGTAACTCTTCTTCTTACATCCATTACCTTCCGTTCATGTTCATCCCTAGTAGCGTTTATGTGTAGTGTTGCTGCCTTTCTCTGATTACGATTAACGGTTTCAGATAACTGGAGTGTCAAGGCAATCCGCAGAAAGACCACCGGAACTGGCAGGATGAGGTACTTGCGTAACGTGCCTCGCCGATTCAAGAGTGGGTTCAGAGAAGGTACTTTCGTCGTTTTCTGTCATGTTATCCTCTATTTGAATTTTTAATCACATTGTGTTTTTTTTTGTTTGTGATTAATATGCCCATGTTTCCCAATTTTATTTTAATTCCTTGTTTCTTTGGCTTTTCGAATCAGGTACTGAAGCTGCACCAAGGAAGAAGGGAGCAGCTGCTACTGCTTAAACCTTTTAAGGTCGTTGCTTGCTGGTTACGGAGTTACAGGAATAGACTGTTTTTTGTGGTTTTGACAAGTATTTTTGAACACTTTTTTTTAGAACCGCATTGCTACTTTTTTCCTATTTAATTTGTAGTTGCATTACATTTCAACAAGATCATTAAGACTTCTTGATTGTTCACTTGGATTGTATGACATTTATACAGTTTATGGTTGGTTTATCGTCTTTAAATTGTTGAATACTTGATAGAATCATGGAAAACCCTAACCCCATAGTACTATTCTAGGTATTTGTCGTGAAAACTTGAGAAAGAGATCTTTAATTTGTTATTGGCAGTTAGTTTGGGTAAATCTGGTTTGCTTCTACTATGGTTGCATAAACAGCTATCACCAGTCGTTTGACTTTGATTATATACGTACTCCAGAGTAGCAATGAGTACCCTGAAAATATAATTCAACTTTGAAAACATTAAAAGCTTGATTTGATTCTGTACATTCTTTGATTGTTTTGCATAATGAAAGTGTTTGAATGATGTCTTCATTTGATTAGTAGTGTTGAATTTAAGTGCCATTTAGATATTTTGGGAACATAAGCGTACGGTGATGTTAGAGTGCAATGCAATTTTCATTTCTTCATATTAAGACTTTCTGATTTTAATCTAGGAAACAGTTTTTTATAATTTGGATTTGCTTTAAGCTTAGCCTATATTAAGCTTAGCCTATATTTAAATTTAATTGAATTTCATGTCCAATAAATTTGTAGTAAGAAAATTATTGTCAAATCAAATTAATCCTTCATCACTCATTACTTCGAAGTGTAATGTTCTCTTTCATTTTCGTCACCAACACTTGCTGCATGCTACATTTTGTGTTTGGAGACCACACATTTTTAAACTAGATGCAAGTACAAAATTTCTTGGAATGCGAGGCCGTATATATTTTGGTTATGGGTAAATAAAATGCACGAGTACTTTGGGGGGGGGGGGTAAGGATAATGACGGAATGGACTTTGGTCTTAACCAGGAAGGCCTACTGTAGATTTGGTGCAAACCTGTAGAAGAAATTCGTAGATGTTTGATACTTTTATGCAGGGATTAATTTTCAGCTATTGTTGACTCGTTGCGTATGCATCTCCTGTTTTATTTCGATTTTCATTCTGAATACATTCTACCGAATATGTTTCATTGATTAAAGTTTATCGATAAGTACAATATTTATCTGGATTCGCAGTAATGAGTATGTGGTTTTCAATAAATTTTAATGAGAAAATTGTGTTTAATAAAGTTATTTTTTTTAGTAACAATTTATCTTAGGACACAACTGGTTATTGATTTTAAACATCAAGTTTTTATTTATTTTTTTATAATTAGAAAATATTGTGTAATTATCAGAAAAGTTGTTTCTTTAAACGAATAAAATTTTAAAAGTCAACTAATCATTTTTATTAATGATATTTATCGCTTTACTAATCACTATTAAATAATTTTTATTGTGGCTTCTTATATTATTCCTTTTGTTAAATCAATTTTCAAATTTATTAAATATTTTTTTATTTTTAAATACATGTAAATTATTTTAAATATCTAAAGAAAAGTTAAATTAAATATATTGGTAATTAGATTTTCAATTTAAGCAGATAAAATATTTATATATTTTGACTAGGATTAATATTCTATATATATATATAGAAGTTCATCTTTGACTGGATATTGTTAGTATTCTTATCCTTTATAATAATAAAAAAATCTATTGTAACAAAAATTGTTTTTAGTAGTGGTTAAATAATTTTTATAAGTGACATTAATTTTGGATATAGTGATTTGAAAGAAACCGGTAGTAGACAAAGAATGTTCATATTTTTCTTACTAGCTTTATCTCTAAACTAATTTTCAATATCATCAAATCAAAATTCAATTATTGAAACTAATTTATATGATATCAGTATAACTGTTTGTAATAAATTTAAAGTGTAATATGTATGTTTTAAAATATTTGTAATTAATTAAAAAAATGATAATATAATTTTGCTAAGATATTGGTTTGTTTTTGCGGCACTTTAATTTGTTTTCTATGATTATGATAATTCCGTTTGATTAATTGGTACATAAATAAAAAATAAATGCTGCAATTGTGTAAAAATAATCTTTAATCAATTTAAAATAAATAGTGTCATGTAATCAGTTAAAGTGTGTGACTTGAAGAATATCATGAATGTATTAATGGTCAATGTCTTAATTTGGGCAGGTGAATTAAATTATTAATTTTAAAGTTTTGAAACTAAATGTTTTTATGGTTAAATGGTATTAGAAGATTATATATTGAAATAAAAAATAGAATACCCACAATTATACTTATTGAATATGTTGGTTTGAAAGTATGAATATAGTAAAAAAGTTTTGGTTACCCTTGATCAATGACTCTACTACTCCTTCGTCCTTCTCAGAAGGAGATTAATTAACTTGGTTAAAGGGCTGGGCTTCATGTTTCAGGTGGGTCCAGTTAAGTTGTGTTGATAGTGAAATATGCCCACTCAAATAATTGTGTTTACCTATGTTCTTTCATTGTGACATATTCACTCCATGTGATGTTTTACCCTATTTTATTTTATTAAAAATGCCATCAAATAAACTTTATAATTTATGAATGGAGAAGATACCTTTCATTTGAAGTCAATGCTCCATTTTTCATTTGAAGCGTGTGGGGTGTGAAATATGGCGTGGATGGCGTCCTCCTTTCACACTAACATTATTTCTCGTTATCATCTTTCTTATTCTTATCTACTATCACTTTATCATTTCATTTTTTTTTAATATCAATACTCGTTAAGTTATAAAAAATAAAATATAATTTATTTTTGATAACCACACAACCTCATAAAAATATCTGGAATTTTAGAATAATGTGAGGCCACAGTAAACATTAGTGATTGCTGATATCTTTCAAGAGGAAGAAGATGATCACGCAATTCACTTATAGTATGTATCAAATGTTAGTTGTGAGTTCCTGTCATCAATAATGACTTCAACACTAGTTTTGGATGTGAGGGGAATTTTCTAAACTAATTGCAAGGTCCTCATTAATTATTCTTTCATAAGGTGACGAAAATTTCAGCACCTACAATCATAATAGGATGGTGTTTGAACGGTTCACATTTATATTTATTATTATTATCAATTTAATTGTCAAATCAACGAAAGCAACATTGCAACAACTTCCTCCAACGTAATGTTTATGTAAAAGTTTTTTTTCCCTTTAAGACGAAAAGATCGAAGAGAGAAGAAATAAATAAATTTATTTATTTTATTGTAAATTGCATCAAATTACATGAAACAAATCAATATATCCACTCCTATTCATTCACTTCCATTTTCAACATTCCATCATGTATACCACCAAATCAAACTTTAGAGTGGTGTTACCACCATTATATTTAAATTTTACTTTCATTTATATTACTCTTTAAGTTAAAAGAATAATAATAATTATTTATATTTTAAAACATATGATATTTTGAGTAAAATAATTTTGTTTTTATGACATTTTAAAAATTTAAAAGTATATTAATTATTTTTTATCAATTATATAAACCCATCTTTTTAATTATATTTATTATAAAGAGAAAAATAACAAATTAGTATTTTGGTCAGAAAATATTAAGATGATAAGAATATTAATAATACAAATTAATATTTATATTATTTTGTTTAATTAAATCTTACATGTCATATATTTAAAATAAATAAAAAATATTGATCTCTCTAACTTAATTTCAAAATCTAACCCCAGTCAATATTTTCATCCAAGTTCAAATTAATTAATAATTACACTCCAGAAGTTGATAACAAACAAAATAAGTGTCAAGATTAGAAAGTATTTACAAAAATATGTACAAATTACTGTATTTAGCAACAAGAACTACTAAAACCCAAATACTGATCAAAATATTCATTTTTTTTTTCTCATTTGCAGCATTAAATTCATTTGGTACACTCCAACAACTATTTTGCACTTTAAAATAAGAGAACCTCGTAAATGCACCATGGTAAGAGGAAGTACCAATTTAGGTTATTAAAATAGGATTTGATTAGGGTTTCTGAATATAAGCTTTTCATTCCAGTAGTATGTATTACTCGAGTTTTTATTCGAGATACGTACAAGTGGGGTCAAATTATATTTTCAATAGATATTAATTTTTTAATGAAGGATCCAGTATAATAATATCTTAGCATTAAAATTTTATATATAAGATATTATTAATTTTATAGTTTTTATTTACTACAATTTTATCTTTAAAAAAGATCGTGCTGAGTTAAGAGAAAAAAATTATGTATTTATGAACTACAATACTATAACCCAATGTATAATTAATTGAAACATAAATTTTTTTTATTAATTAATAAAAAAATTGAAGATGTTTCTCATTCTTACTTGTTTCATTATCATCATGTAAATACTATTTTGAGCGTAAAATATTAGAGGAACTAAAGTATTTTTTTTCCTAAAACATTATATCCACAAATTACACGTTATTTTAGAATTTCATCTTAATTTTTATTGATTTTTTTTCTGTTTTCAATAAAAAAAAGATAAATACTCTTCTTGTGTATATATTTTTAAGGTGTATATATATATATATCAATCTGCTCATTTTTCCTATTTTTTAAGTACATATATTTGATCTCTTGTTTTTAAAAATATGTAATGTTAGAGTAATTCTTAATACTTATCTATAGTTTTAATTTTATTAACACAATATGTTCAGTGAATGTTATTTATAATATTTTAAAAAAATATTAAAAAAAAATACTATTTTAATGTAAATTATATATATATATATATATATATATATATATATATATATATATAGAGAGAGAGAGAGAGAGAGAGAGAGAGAGAGAGAAAATTGTGTAGAATAGGTCAAAGTTATATATATATTAAAAATTGTATTGTTTAAAGATTTAATTAGACATATTTTACGTACATGTAAAAATGTATTCAACAATTAATTAATAATATGATGTTAAATAAGAGAAATAAATATTTATAAATGATTGACATTAAATTAGATTGGTTTGCTCAAATGTTTGTTTTATCATTATTTTTAATGTCAATTTGATTTTGTTTTAAATAAATTTATATGATCAATCTTAAGTTATTTAATAAAAAAACATGTCATATAATGCTAAAATAATTATATTTAATGATATGATATTGATTTAAAAATATGCGACGATAATATATTAAAATAGTTTTATATATTATTTTTATTTGACTCCGATGTAGTACAGTTATAAAAACCTTAAGACAGCTAATTGCACTTCAATTTTGAAACTTTGGGCGGTCAATCTTGGCCACTCATACCAAATGTGGTTCACATGTTTTATATATACAGATAGAATTTAATAAAAGTGATTTTTAGTATAAACCTAATTTTTTATATAATTTTATTAAGGACATGATTACCTATGTTACTATCAATTAATTCAATGATAATTAATAAAGATAACAAATAAATAAAATATAATATGTTAATTATTTTCTTTATGTATATGATTTTGTTGAAAATAATCTGGATGAGGTATTTATTAAAGCACATAAAATTTAATAAATATTTATTTTATGGAGAAGCAAAGTGATATTTTAAAAAATAACTATATATATAGATTTTTATTAAAACCAAATAAATATTAGTGAGTTTTATTTAGTAAATTGACGCGCCTCTACCAAAAGGAAATAGTGATGATGATAGGTTCTGTATATGCACGTGATTTGCAATGATACACGCGCTTATCAGATAAAATCCAATTTCCAATTCCCGCGGCGTAACTCTAAAAAACACGTGTTAACAATTTCGGTAATTAAGTTGACATATTTTAATAATTTCAAGAATCTATGATTCTCGTGAGAACAAATAAACTGATGAACTCACCCGCACATGTTCCGATCATTTAACCTTTCTGTGGACCGCATGCATGAACTTTTTAATTATTATGTTTATAAATTACTAAATAAAATTACATTGGTTAAAAAGAACTAATTCATTTAATTTTATTAACTTTTAATCTCATTAAATTAGGTAATAGCAACAAAATAGTTACTATGTGTTTCATAGAAACATATAATAAAAATTAAAATTGTAAAGTATAATGTTTTAAAGATAATCTTTCTCTTTCAATTGTGGAATGAATTGGAGAAAAGTCTTTTATCCAACTCAGCAATGAGTCAGCTTTATAGGATATGAATCTACGATACGTGGAATGGAACGGTGAAAAAAACAAGAGGAAGAAAAAAAAAAAAGTATTACCATTAATTGTTAGAACAGGTTTTATTAGAATATTGAATATTTTAAAAGGGAAAAAGGAATTGAGAAAGGGGAAGTGAGTTGTATTATATATATGTGAAATAAGAAAGAAAAAAGAGAATGAAAAGGTATTGTGAGTTTGGTTGCACAATTATTAGTTCTGAAAGGGAAACCAAGCATTCATTCTTATTAGTTTTCATCACTTCTTTACCTACCACGCATGTGCTGATTATTGATTCTGGCAGTAAGAGGAAGAGGCATCCCAACTAAGGTCTTGTTTGTTTGGGTTTATGCAATTTTTTTATTAGCAAGATTGGGGCTTGGCGTGGCTTTGGTGGGGAAAAACACACACAAAAGATGGCCGTGAAAGGATCAACACAACGGTGGGACGTGAGATTTGTTGGAGTGGTTTTCACAATAACTCTTGTTTTAATCTTATCCTCTGCTTCTGTTTCGGTTTCTGCTAATCAAAACCTAAACGACAAAAGCATTGATCCAACCACTGTTGAGACAAGGGAGAGTACTGGTTTTCTCTCTAAAGTTGTGAACTTTCTTTGGAACTCATCTGGGTCAACATATCAGCATACTTGGCCAGTAAGTGTGTACTCACTCACTCACTCACCAAAACTCTTGTTTCTTTTTCTCTTTGTTTAGTTCATTTTATTCATTGATAGGTTTTTTTATTTGCAGGACATTGAATTTGGATGGAGAATTGTGACGGGGACGATAATAGGGTTCTTAGGATCTGCTTTCGGGACTGTGGGAGGTGTTGGTGGAGGTGGCATTTTTGTCACCATGCTTTCTCTTGTCATTGGGTTTGATCAAAAATCTTCCACAGCAATCTCTAAATGTAAGCATTACAGATCTCTCTCTCTCTCTCTCCCTCTCTCTCTCTCTCTCTCTGCTGCTGCTGCTACAACGAATTGTTTCATATACAAATTCTTTTGCTCAACAATTTTGGGTATAAACTAGTTTTTCAAAATCGGAATACTTCGTCCGTTTTCAAATACAGAACCGTTTATAAATTTTAAAATCACATTAACTACTGATTCTATCCGTTTTCTAATTATATTTATTATAAAAAGAGGAGATAATGAATCACTAAGAATATTTTGGTTGAAAAAAAATATTATTAATTATAAGAACTAATAAAATTATTAAAAATAATAAAAATTAATATTTATCTTAATTTAATCATAAATCTTTTAATGATAAAAATAAAACATGGTTATATTTAAATTTTCTGTTCATATGAAGTATAAATACTCAGTGATTTATTTCTTAAAAACGCAGTGCGTAAAAAATTGATATTAAGTAGTTTAATTTGATTAAGAATTGATTTTAAAATTTTCAAATAAAGATTTTTATGCATTGTTCGATTAACTTTTAACACAATTTATTTATTGATCGACATATTTATTTCCTGCATGAAGCTATTATGTGATTTTCATTATATATATATATATATATATATATATATATATATATATATATATATATATATATCAAATAGTACGACAAAAATATTATTTAAGATCTTGTCGGTAGTTCTAAGATAGTATTTTTAGTAAATTTATGCGAATAAAAAACATAACTTTAATTGCAAATAATTATAACAATAATCAATAATAGAAATATATAATTGTCTCACTATTCTAAAACGAAAACTTTACTTTTTTATTAGAATCATTGTTAATATACTCTTACTATTTTTATCAAATATTTTTTCCTACGTTTTGTTTGTTTATTTTTATCAACTGAGTTATGAGTTCTCACCATTTTTTGTAATACTAAAAAGGATGTGAATGGTGGGTTGTAAGTGCATGTTGGGGGTTTTATTATCTCTGGACTTCCACTTTCTTCAATCATGATCCTTCATCGCTACCAGATCAGAACTTGAGAACAAAGTTGTGCTCATAAAGTTTATTAAAATGAATTATTTGCTGCATGTTGATACCAGTGGTTTCGTGGTGGGGACTCATTCTTTAAGAACTCTCGAGACATTCTAACCCTTTCCTTTAATATATGGATATTCATGGATTTTTTTTTTAATTTCAAATATATTAAAAATAGTTTATAATTTAAATATGGTTCCACAAATTTATATACGTCAACATCGACCTTACGATTTTTTCTAATATAGTTAAAAATGTTTTTAATTGTGTTATTCATCAACAGTTCATATCACATTTCATATAAAAACAACTTTTGTATCTGGTCTCTTGGTCGTAGTTTTATTATATTTCATAAGATTTCTCTTTTATTGTGTAAATTACATTTCGCAATTATTATAATTAGTATTAGTATTTTAATTCAAATATAGTAATTTTCATATTTTGTTAATATTTTTAGTGAGAGGAAACTTTCCTATTCTTTGTTCTTAGTGAGTAAAGTTCCACTCAAATTTCAAAACAAAGAGCATATAAAGAAAATGGAAAATATGAGAACCTTGTTCTCCAATCAATGTTATTGGTTAGATGAAAATCAATCAATGTTGTGTGCTAAGTACTAGGTTTTGTTGAGGTTATTGTTTTGAAATTTGTTTGTGAAATCCGATTTGTGAGTGCTGATGGTTTGATGTGTGTACAGGTATGATTACGGGTGGAGCAGCATCGACTGTTTTCTACAATTTGAAGCAAAAACACCCAACACTTGACATGCCAGTCATCGATTACGACTTGGCACTTCTTTTCCAGCCAGTGCTGGTGCTTGGAATCAGCATTGGAGTTGCCTTCAATGTTATTTTTGCTGATTGGATGATCACAGTCTTGCTAATAATTATTTTCATAGGCAAGAACTATTAGCAATTGAATTTTTCATCATATTTTCTATTCTTTTTCTTCTAGTCTTTTCACTTTGCTTATCTGGGTGTATATAAAACAGGAATTGCAAGCAAGGCATTGTTAAAGGGGATTGAAACATGGAAAAAAGAAACCATTATCAAGAAGGTGCTTAAGTTTTCAGAAATCTTTCGTATGGAATTATTAATATATTTCTTTTTGTCTTATTATCTTACATCCTTTTAATGCATCTCCTGTTATAATTCCAGGAATCTGCTAGACAATCACAATTAGATGGTAAGTGGGTCAGTGTAAATGCATTCTATCTGTTTGTGCTAGTGTATTTTCCTTATGTGGTTTCCGAAACTTTCTTGTCATATACTGTAATTAGGCACTGAAAGGACTGAGGAAGTCGCATATGAACCTCTACCGCTAGGGCCAACAGCCCCAAATGCAAGTAATCACACAGCTCCTAAAAAATTCAACGAAAAGGTGAGACTGATATATTAAAAACAGAAAATAACATCAATGGCAACTCAATTTACATTAAAAAATAGTTTTGGTCACTAAATTTCGTCAGTAAGCAGCTTGTACCGACAAATCTGTTATTTAAGGGAATGACACATGTGAGTCCCATGCAGGGATCTCTTATTGGGAATATTCGCTGGAAAGCACTTGGAATGCTTTCCACAGTCTGGGTCCTTATACTTGCATGCGAGATTGGAAAAGTTAGTATCTATCTCATGAGCAATTTATATCCACATTTTCTTTTTCTTATTTTATTTGTTCTATGTGTATACGTGGAATAATGATTAAACCATGGCTTTGTTTTCAAACAGAGTCACACAACAACTTGTTCAACGGAGTACTGGCTGCTTAATCTATTACAGGTGCATAAATATCATTTCCAAATGGCATGACAGGTCACGACACACAATGCATGAATAGCAACAAAAGTTGCACTTGGTTCCAATTAACTTTGCATGGGAAAAGTGATGTTAGAGAAGGCACGATAGTGATCATATATCCAATTTTTTTGCAGGTTCCTGTGGCATTAGGAGTGACATCTTTTCAGGCCGTGCGTCTATACAAAGGGAAGACAGTGATAGCATCGAAAGGAGATCAACAAACACAATGGCGAGCACACCAGTTAATTCTGTATTCTGCTTGTGGCATATGTGCTGGTATGGTTGGTGGCTTGCTTGGTCTTGGTGGAGGTTTCATTTTGGGACCCCTTTTCCTCGAGCTAGGAATCCCTCCTCAGGTACCACCTTTCATCCTTCTACAACAGAGTACAGTTGAATGAGATTTGTGCACAACTTTGTGACTGGAAAATTTCTTTTCTACGTAGGTGTCAAGTGCTACAGCTACTTTTTCCATGACTTTTTCTGCATCTATGTCAGTGGTGGAATACTACCTTCTCCACCGTTTTCCCATCCCTTATAGTAAGTATGATGAATGATTAATAATGGAAGTAGAACAAAATAAGTATATAACAACATGATGGCTTTAAATCATGTATATATATATATATATATATATATATATATATATATATATATATATATATAACTTCAAATATTCACTTTCTGAATGCCTCTTGTAGCTCTTTACTTTGTGGCTGTATCCACTTTCGCGGCCTTTGTTGGGCAAGTCTTGGTCAAAAAGCTGGTTGCATTCTTAGGGAGAGCATCACTCATCATTTTCATCCTTTCTGGCACCATTTATGTCAGTGCAGTATCACTAGGCAAGTCTCATTAGCATTTTTGTTTATGCCTAAAGCCTCATATTTTTGCTATATTTTATGAACATTGTTTCATTTTTTTTCACTGGTTATCATTGCAGGTAGTGTGGGCATAGCAAACATGATCCAAAAACTGGCACACAAAGAGTACATGGGTTTTGAAAACCTTTGTACCTACGCAGCCTAAATATCAAAATTAGGGCTATTTGTAGATTCAATTTCAAGGAAGTGACTATTTTCTTCACAATTTTCAATTGCCTTTCATTTCAGATTTTTTTTTTACCACGTGAATTTTTAGTAGTGTTTTGTCATGAATTTTAAGCAATGAAGATTCAGCATTTAATTGTTTGTTAAACATGCCTGTATCTTAGATGTAGTTCTTACATTAGAAAATTATCTACTGTCTCATACGTTCATTCCTTTTTAAAAATGTATTCATTATTAGTTCAAGGTATTTAGTGTTAATAATTATGATTATTTATTATTTAGACTATATAAATGTAAGATGTGTCGATAACGTTTTTATTTTATTTTTTCAAAAAGATGTGTATAACTGTAAGATATGTATACTTGAGTTGTAGTAAACGACAAATTTGTAGTTTATTATTTATTAAAGAATGTTACGGAAAGTAGTTTTGCTTTATTTCGGACCACGCCCCTCTTTAAAAAGGGTTGATGAAAATAGTATAAAGCTTACATTTCATGAATAGAAACATGATTTATCAAAAAAAAAAAAGGTAAAAATATTAGTTAAAAATATCATATGTTTTATGTACATATCAGATTACATTACTTCTTATTACTTCTTATATTGAAAGCACACTTGATCAAACAATTTACATTGAAAGTCAACTTGAACAAAATTCAGAATACAAACTGTTTTCATTTCGATTCGAATATTAAAATTTGAAAACCATGGATGAAATATATTGTATTAATCTTGAAAAGATTTGTAAGTTCTACTTAGGATTATAACATTTAAGTTTTTTAAATTTTATCCAATTAAAGATACTGAAAGAAGTCTAAACAAAGTAATTTTATATTCTGTCTTAATAGTATTATACCATGTAAAAATTTAAATACATATATTATTTCAAAACTATTATTGAAAATACCTATAATTATTGCCTTTATTGGAAGTAATTTCAAAAGTAAATTGACTCAGTTCTATTTGAGGTTAACTTAAAGGATAGCGTTATGTATTGAGTTATGTTTATATGAATGTGTCACTAATGAGTTATGTTTATATAAATTGAGTTTAATGGGCATGTTAATGCAAGTTTTTTATAAGATTGTCAATAAGATCAATATATATATTTTTAGTATTTCCAATATAGTTATCATAAAAATACAAAACTTATAATGTATAATATTTTATTATTAATGGGCATATGCTCAGTTTTACCATTTGATCATGTTTGAGGAAAAGGGAACAATGATGAAAGGAAAAGAAGCAGTAACATTTCTTGTTGCCAGTCCATGCCAGCATGTTAGGGCCATTGCACTAATGCATTGTCAACATCAAACGTTTATAAAGTTGTTCAAAGCATAATGTTTGAGGAAATAACTGAAATAATTGTGGAGTGTTGGTTTGATACAGTGATACTTGTAGGCAAAATGTTTGGTGGAAAATGATAAGTGAGGTAACTGAACTTAGCATATCCATGATATAAGTGTAGTACAATTATTGACATGCCAGACTAGCAGTTAGCTTTTTTAATTTTCACAGACTAACCACTGATGCAAATTATTATGGAGGTCTGTGAAACGGGAAACCAATATACAAATGTGCACATGCACCGGCACATGCACCGACACACGCACATGAATTTGTTGAACAATTTGGTGCTGAAATAACCCTTTTTCGGAAAATAAAAACTTTGATACATTTGGTGTTCTCTAGTTAATATTATCAATATACTGATAATATGCGTAGCTTTTCACGGTTAAGAAGTGAGCTAATTCAATAAATAGACTAATACTTGGTGCATCCAAAAAGGGTATGGGAAAGGATAACAAATAGAAAATGCTTTCCCAAGACAACCATTATATTTGTTTAATTGCAGGATGGTTGAATGTTTTTCTCCCAAAACTTTTTCAGGTGTTTTCTATAACTCATCTTTGACATTCTTCGCCTTTAGATATTTGTTGATGGATGCCGCCAATTCTTTCAAACTTGATTTTGTATAAAGTTTGATCTGCATCAAGAGTGTTTGGTTACAGTAAAGTGGTAACTATATAAACAGAAATTCACCAAAATCAGAGTGCCGAGAAGTAATTACCGGATTTGCCTTATCATCTGCTCTGTAAAGCAGAAGTGTGGGGTAGTCATTCACCTGAAATATTAAGCAAAGGGTAAAATGCCTCTTCAGTAACTTAAACTTTCATCAAGTTAGTCATCAATATGGAAAAACCATTTGTCTTTGTAGATAAAGCCCACAATAGATTCTGTCAGCGTGTTCTGCCATGAAAAATAGAGACAACAAAGCTTTCATGACACTTACTTGCAGGCTTGGATGTTCATTCATTGAAGCATCTATCCTTGCAAATATTAGATTACTTGATCCTTTGTAGTGCTTTGCCAACTTCTCTACTTGCTTCCTTGTGGCCTCGCAGTTGATACACCAAGGTGTAAATACCTGTTTTTTCAGTCACGACTCATGAGTGCAAATCCACAAAGGAGTAGTCAATAATACAATCTTTGTTCTGGATAAAGAAATACCCTTTCCGGCAAACTAATATTTTCGACAAATTTGCCCAGTTATTGTTATTATTATTGAGCAACGCATTTTAAAATCCCACTTATTGAATTCAGAGATATTGCATAGTCTCCATATTGAAGGAAAATGGCGAGATGGTGACTAAAAAAGACCTCCAGAAAATGATAACTCCTTCAATGGTGGAGGCACTACTTGCACCTTTCCCTAAGCTGTCATAAACCAACTACTTCAAATGCTTAAGCTATGAGTGAACACACAAGAATGACATATAAGCAGCTTTGGATAGTTTTTTTTTTTATTATTATTATTATAAATAAAATTTTATAGGAGAAGATAAAAAGGAAAAATGAAATAATAACACACACAGGATCTGCTACCGTGACATAAACCAATTATCCCAAAAAACTTAAGCAATTAAATAAATACACATGAATGATTTTATATTTTATTTCTAACACAAACAAACTAAAGAAGTTGGAGCACATGACATAAAATATAGAAGGGAAGAAACTTTTCAAACCTCCAAGAGCACATCCTTCTTGCTGCTCAAGATTTCATCATCAAATGTTTTCCCAACAATAACATGGACACTTGCTTCAGTCTGCAATTTCGAATGCCACGATGATTAATTAAGAAGACAGTGAAATAAGTTTCAAGACTAAAATAAATAACTTCTTTTAGTGTTATGTTATATTATTATAATCACAGAGCACACTATATATCTCTAAGAATGAATCTGAAATGTTGTATGCATTTAATTTAATTTGAAAGAACTAAAGTACCACATATGACACTGACAGCAAGTAATTTCTTGATTTGGCTGAAACTAAAGTTAGCGAGACACCTCAAGTATAAGAAATTTTGAGGAAAATATTAAATGGTACTCACGTTATCTGGAATTGGTTGTGACTTGAAGTAAGGTGATGAAGATCCTTGCACAAGCTTATTGCAGAAGTCCTGCAAAATGCCATTTTAACTTTAATTAGTCTCCTTTGGTAGGTGATCAATTAAGAATAATTTACATAAACAAATAAGCTGATTGTACTTCAATATTGCTTTGTGTTGGTTTTGATTCCAACAAATATTTTGAGCTCATTCCATTGTCAAATGCGGCTACCTATTTGGCAAACAAAGAAGTAAATCACATCAGTAGAGCAAGATTATTTAAACTAATAAAACAATCTGCAAATATCACTGTTACTAACTAATGAACTAACCACTGTATTTTTTGATTCTTCAAGACCGAACAATGTTAAGAAGGGTTTTGCAAGGTTCTCATCGTTAATATCCACATATATAAACATTATCTGCATTTAAACAAAAAGAATTAGACCAGAAATTCTAAAAGATGCAAGAAAATGGTTTTAAAGCCCCAAATGTTGGCCACAGTAACTAATCACCTTTGACTTGAATGTTCTTGCAACATATTGAAGAGGATCAAGAAGATTCTTGAAGTCATCACTGTTTGCAAAGACTAAAACCTAAAAAAAAAGTAAACAATTAATCTTGATTATTAGTAACTAGTAAGCTTCAATAGAGGCCTAATGAATAAAATTACAAGGAACAGTCCATACAGCATATGATGAGTTAAATTCATTATTGATTAACAGCAAAGAAACTCACTTGATGGTGTGCAGTTGGAGAAATTTTAGTAAGTCTGCTAGTGGGTTAGATTCTGCAAGGTTTTTTAGTCTTTTAAGCAAATTACTGTTATTGAAAATCAAATTGGATGAGAACACAGCCAAGTTCTGAACTAATTTTGGTTGTTCAGATTCTCCACAGTATTCTTGCACGAAATAAGTACTACTCAATAAGTTCTGAAAAGACATTCATTGCTTTTACATATACTCACATTTGTTTCAACTATCAACCATCAAGGTGGTAACCAAGTGATCAATACATGGCAAATCATAGAAGAGATTATGATCTTGATAAGATCAAAGACTTGCTACAGTGATTATCTGAGATATTTTTCATCAAATAGTAATTTACACCAAATAAATAAAAGTAAAACCAACCATAATTTCAAATAATCAACAGCTAGTTACTGTTCATCCAGAATATTCATTAGCATCAGAAGAGTTTATAGTAATTAACTCTGATGATGGTCATAGATCTACTGAGTACTGACAAAAATATTTGAGTGTTAGGTATCATATGCGTAATTTAGAGCACTGTATATGTGGGGATATATACCTAGATGAATTACAACATTTATCCCAGTAAACGTCAGAATAAGAACATAACTTCATGTCAAAAGAATATATATTGTAGATTAAACATGAATATAATAATGACCTGAAGCTTGACAGGACTGGCGTAGACTCTGATAGAATTCATTTCAGTCAGCTTTGTAACTAATGGAAACTTGTTGTAGCCTACAAATTCCAGTATTTTATTCCTTGTGAAAGCTCCATCTGCATAATCAGGAAAGTTTGCATGTTGCCTTAGTAAGTCCCCATTCCTCACCATTTTGTGTGATATTTTGGGAGGAAAACAGACAAATGTAAGAGGGAAAAAAATAATGTTACACATAAACAAGCCTATAATGTGATTCCACCAATTTTAACAGCTCAAATAACATAAATCTGATATGCATATACAATACCCAGCTCAAGTAATAGAAAGGCCATAGATTCTAGTTTATTCTTTACATGGTTCTAATTTGCAACAAATATAGAACTCACTTACTATGTTATAGCCACTTAATACCAATATTTGTTTTACTTAATATTTTCATGAGGAAACAATAGAACTCATCCAACATACGGCTAGAAGTTAGAAACCAACGACAGACTCACCGTATGCAGTGTATCTTTCTGGTTCACTCTTAACAATTCCAAGAAAACGACCAGTAGGCTTGATAGCTGGATAAAGAACTTGGGCAAGCTCTACCTTATTCACTTCAACAAACTGGGTCTCGTTGTCATACTTTGCAGCACTCACAAATTCTTCATAATCAGGTCCCTGTGATATATATAAAAAAAATGCTATAATATCACACTACCAAACTCAATGGTAATGTAAATGTTTTTTATCAACAGGTGAATTGAATAGCAAAAAATCATTTGCAGCGCCAAATATTATGTTAATTGATCAACTCCACAACTCTCACTAACCTCCTGTATGTTTGGAACCATAAGTACGATAAACCCTAGCATACCTTAAATCATAATTTCACGTACCTGAAATTTATCAAACTGACCAAGGAGAAACGTTTGATACTTTCTCAGAAACTCCTCTGCCTCTACAACTGAACTTAGCCGAATAACAGGTGTACCAGTCTTTTTTCTTACCCATATCACTATATCATCCCTGAAAGCATCATGTTAACAAATAAGCCAATAAACATTTCAAGCCAAAACAGCACACACAAACATAGGATACATGTATCAGATACGGCAATATGATTATTTTAAAATTATATAGGATCCCATACATGTAAGATACATATCCAGATATGTACACAAATTCTAAAAACATAGTAAATATATAATTGAAGCTCAGCAAATCCAAATTAAGAATATTTCTTGGACATTATTAAAAACACAGATTATAAATCATTATCATCGTAAATTACTTCTCGGATAGTCCTGTTAACCTCACTCCTTTCGTGAAATAATCCATAAAGAGGACAATTTCCATATGGTTCATTAAGAGAGAATTTTTATATATATCTACATTATTCATGTTTTCCATGTCTCATGTAGCAGAATTAAATTTTCATAACCGTTTTTAAAGGTTTAAATACTTCACTAATACATATGAGTGATGTATAGTATAAGTATTGGATAGACATTGGAAAAACCAAAGATAAGTGAGAAGAGTTAGAGCATCTTACGCGGTAAAACCACCAGAGTAAGGCTGAGAGGTGCCATTGACAAAGAGAAGCAAAGTGGGGAAGCCTTTGACACCGAGGAAAGATGCAGGCTTGGGAAACCTGTCGGCATCAAGTTTGGCCATAAGAAGAGGGGTTCCCAATTCCCTCAGAGAAGTTGCAGACTCTGCAAAATGGGGCATGAGCTCAGCACTCCTTGGACACCAAGGTGCATACCCCAGAACCAGAACAAACTCGTTCCCATTAACAACCCTCTCTGTGTTGTCGTTGTTGAGCTCAACAACGATCCTTTGGGCTTTGCTTAAAGCCTCTGCTTCTGATAATTTCTCAACACCGCCCTCGGCTTCACGCTCTACTTCCTCGTCCACTGCTAACAGCTCCTCCAACTCATCCTCAACCTCTGTAGCAACGGTAGACTTCAGTACTAGGAGAAGGGAGAGGAGGACGAAAACAAATCTTAAAGTGGATTTCCTCGTATTCATGTTGCTTTTTGCCTCCTAGAATTGGTCGGGGATCAAGATCTGATGGGGTTTCTGAGAAGTTTAGGAAATTGGGAAAAGTGGCACAATGCACATCAGTTAAGATGTTGTGTGAACTGTGAAATTACATGCTGCGGAGAATGGTTTAGAAGGGCATAGTGACAAACTATGAACGCGCCTTAATTTCAGGGCCACCATGTTAACAAGATTTCAGGGGACTCCTTGACCATTGGGAAAAAAAAAAGTTTCTTTTTTTCTACAAAAAGAAAAAAAAGATACAAATTTCAGATTTTTATTAAGAGGAAAATTCCCCATTTATATTTACCAATTAATAATAAAAAGCTAATCAGTTAGTTGAAAATTGAAAAATTAATCTTAGAACTTTTTCTTAAAATGAACTATTGAGTAACCTATAAATATAAAAAAAAGGCATAAAATACAAAGTTTATATGAATTTTAGTTTTTTCGACTACTATTTTTTATTAAAATGTTGAAGACAATAATAAAAATATTGTAATGAACTGTAGTAATTTATAAACTGAAATAACATTTCAGTTAGTGTCTAAAACATTATTTTGACGTAGTGACATTAACTTATTTATCAAACACTTTTATTTTGGTGAAACAAGGTTATACAATCTAAACAAACAAACTGCTATCCTTGTTCTCCATTATAAGAAAAAAAAACTTCAGATAAAAGATTTAGGAAATCAATTAATTGTATTAACATCTTCTACTTTTTGTAATATTTTTCTTGTGAAATAAAAGTTGTGCAATAAAAAATCAGACATTAATTAAAGTTAATATTTTCAAGGAAATTGATATTAAATAAAATAAACAAATTAAAAAGAAAAAAAGAGTGTTTTTTTTTTTTTTTCATTTGTTTGACCCAATTATATTCTTTCCATTTTTTACCCATCCAAGCTATGCGTCAATGATTCTTCTTCACATGGCTTGTTTATGGAAATATCACTAGTCACCAGTTTCATAATTTACAGTAATGGCCAAATAAAATGAAAAGCTTTTTATGCGAGTTTAATATAGCCTGAAAAACCCTTTTGTTGTGTTCAATGTTAAGTAATGTTAAACAAAATTAACTCTCTTCGAATCATCTGAAGCGTATACCTGCTTAAATATGAAGCTGCATCATGATACTTTGTTGAAACGTTCTCCCTAAACTGACTCAAATGATTATCTATAAAGATGACTTATCAATTTCCTCTGCAATGAACTGGCGAATTGTCTAACCATTTGATGCATATGCATATACATTTTTACATGCATTTATTTGCACAAGGCTCATAACAGGAAAGTACAGAAAGGATTCAGGGGATTGGTAGTATGTAAGAAGTGTTTTTCCGAGTGCATATTTTGCTTCTCTTGCAAACCAAATGAACCTTCTAATCTGAAGCTAGGCACAAACCACAGATTATACAATTTTAAGGTACAGTTTCAAAACAGATTAACTCTGAAAATGGACACTGATCATTCATAGGTGCATGAATTCTTTCTGAATTTGATAGGTTTTGATCCAGAAGAGTTGATGACCAAGGGGCAAGTGATTGCCTTGTGATGCTTTGTCTTTACCAGTTTGCCCACCACATTTCCACGTGAACGGATTTCAAAGTTCAATGTGAGTGGAACTTCAACGCCAGTTTGGGATAAAGTTATGGTGGAATCAGCACCATACAGGGGAACCTTAGTACCCTCTACGTTCACTGATACCATCCGGTGACTTTTTCTTGGCTGATAGTATTTCTTCAGCTGCAACAAGTTACATGCACAAGAAGCAGATCTTATGTCATGTTATGCTCTGTTACTCATATGCCAAAGTAGATGTTAGTATGTTACTTGATATATTTTCATTTTCTAATCTCATATTTATGTTGATGAGCATAAATTTGTCTCCCAGGTGACACCAAAGTGGGTTTGACATGACTGAATTAGTTGTTGTTTAGCAGAAGAAATAAGTCATGAGAGATTTCTTACCTCGCCTGTGGCAACAGTGATGTCAGAGAAGACAAGATTGATGGGTGTGGAGTGCACATGGATCCCAAAAAATGTAGCAGGGTTATAGATGCTCATGCGTAGAGTGACATTAACTGTCAGCATTTTTGTGGGGACACCCGTGAAATCTGAACCCTCTCCAAGATAGAGATTGTGCACCGTCAAACTCTGCAAGAATCCAAAAGTCAACCAGTGTTAGGTAATTTGCCAAAGTAGCCTGTGACTAGCATCTTATTAGAGAGCAATACATAAAAATCCATAGCTTCAAGTCTTCAGTTTTGCAAACAGACGCTACTTCAAGTCTGAACCCTCTGAGTATACAATGAAAATCTAAGAATTGAATGAGTAAATTATGCACACAGAAACACTATCATAATATAATAATGCTACCCATGTTTCCAAGTGGTTTATTTATGGTATCCATCTCCCATGTTCTTATTTGAAATAAAACAGATTTTCTAGAAAAACATAGAAACCCATTTGACAGGTTCAGAAAACAAATTGAGGTTAAAATAATTATTTGATCTCTTGTGACACTCATTTAGGAATTAGTTCCAGGATGAAAGAAAACTGGAATGTCAATTCTTATAAGAGTGAAAAAGGGACTAAATCTTAAGATGCATAATAACTAGAGGCACTGATGATTACTAATAAGGGCAAGCATATATATATATATAGGAATTAAAATATAAGTCTTAAAAGGGTTTAGTTAACAGAACCCTCGCTAATAAATAAATATTATATTGGCAATTTATAAGACTATACAGCTCTTTGAAGTAGAAGATCCATTTCTACTAGCATGGATAGACTTGATATTTATGTCGCAGCAGCATTTAAGATGGATGGAAAAGAGACTATGGATATGGTTGGAGGAAATGCAAGAGGCAACCGAGTCATAGTACCACTGTCTAACAGATTCTGAATTATCATGTAAATCATATTGATGACTGCATAAGTAATAATCTTCTCCACTTTCTAATGCAGTTATCATGTATCAGTGTACAAATAAAAAAAATAAAGAGAAGAGTGAAGAGTGGCATAAGTTCAGTCCTTTCAAGACTGACAAATTTGGTTACCTTAACATCAACTTCTGCCTTGTAAGGCCTGCTGGCGCCCCAAATGATAAAGCAAAACACAGTGAAGACAACCACAAAGGTGAACACTGCAATCAATGCTTGGAAGCGCCTTGTGAAACCCTTGTCCTCAAACTCATGATAAGACCCTTCTTCCAGAATGACATCACACTCAGGCCACCCCTTATCATTCCTCTTCCTGCTACCTTTCCTTCCAGAAGATGACCTGAAAATCCCGGAAAAGCGGCTAGCAGAAGAGTTCCTAGAGTGACGCCCAAATGAAGGGTGTGAGGGAGACTCCATAGGACTGTTTGATATTGGAGTGGCCTGCATTGAAGATGACTTGTCCCCATCATGAGAATCCCTCGAAGGACTTTGCACATAGTACACAGGGCGCTTTGGAGACCTTGAAGGTGAAGATGGAGCTAAGCTTGTGATATCCGATTCAGATTTTGTGGACAACATCATGAATCACTTGGCTAACAATACAAAAACACCTGATATAAGTCTCTATCCACTATAGACTGAATTCAATGATACTGGTAGTACTAGACAACAATCTTGAGAATGTACCACTGAATTTGCACGTACATATATATCAGCAAAAATGAACAAGTAGTGAGAAAGTCAAGAGATGCCAACACTCAACATAGATAATTGTAGATAAATGATGAGAAAGGACATGTACAACTCAATTCAGCTGTGTATCTTCACTGAGAGAAAAAGAAGGTGTGGTCAATGCAGAACAAGTGCTTAGGCTTGAAGGGTAAATAAGAGCAACGGATAACAGTGTTGGAAGGCTCGGAACCAAACCTCACACTCCCCGCACAAGTTCATCAGGATCGGGAATAAGTGTCGGCAGCTTGTTATTTTTATTTGTTATGAGTGTTCAAATTATAGGATAACAGTTTATTATGTTGTCTTTATTCTTTGTGGGGCACAACCACTTCCTGCAAAATAATTCTTGAACCTTCAATTATTGGAGTAGGACAATTGTCTAATTATATTATGGGTCCTCTCTTGTTTGTCTATGTTTCAACGTGATTTATTTTTATCATTTTAGGTACGTTCTGTAATGTATTCATGACGTTTAGCTGGGTTGGATAATGCAGATTATGAATCACAAAAACAGCATTAGTAGCTAAACCAAACTCAACTAAGGAATTTCGCTCATGTCATTTGGGTACCCCAATCACAAAATTGGTTGCACCATTTTAATATTTTATTGCAAGCTTTTTAACATCTTATTACAAAACAAGACAAGGTATTGACATGCGTTAAATGTCAAAAACTCTATCAGTTTTGCAATATTTGGTTCGGATGTGACTAATCACTGTGTCGATGTGAATTTGTTTTCAATGATTTTTTTTGGGTACAGTTGTGTTTTCACGAGCAATTATTGGAATTTATTGCAGGCTAACTAAACATCTTTTGACTTCGAATCGGGACTTCAATTTATGTACATTATCTTGCATATACACTTAGGATAAAGTAATAAAAATGTTTGGATTTAATTTAAATATATTGACAATATAAATATTTTTATGCAACCATTGAAACATGTAACTTGACCACTTTATAATATACCCACAATATTTTCAAATTGGTTGACAGTATAATTTTAATTACGTAAAATAATATTTTTGGGGGTTACATATAGTTGGGCTGCAAGTGGCCCACATTTGACCCAAAACGAATCCAGATTGTGTTTGGAGAAAAAAAAAACAAGTTTAAGCGGAAAGCCTTCTCTTTCATATCAGAGCCAGGTTTCGATCCTGGGACCTGTGGGTTATGGGCCCACCACGCTTCCGCTGCGCCACTCTGATTTGTTGAATGTTTATACAAAATAAATATATTTATTATAAATATTGTACAGTTTAAGTATGAGTTTCAAAAGATTTTGATGTGTTTTTTTAACGATTTACTACTGAAATTATGTAGTTTGGGTATAAAAATTTAAAGTAATTAAATTTATTTTTCCTTAATTTTTTATTGGTACCATTATTCTTCAATGATTTTCAACAATAGTTATATCCATTATAAGCATTAATTTTTTAAATTAATATATTACTTTTATATTGTTCTAAATTTATATATCAAATCAATTTCCTCACAATATAAAATTTAAATAGACTTAGATTTCTACACCATTAATATTTACAACCATTGAACTCGTACATGGCTCTTCTGCTCCAACTGACTTACCTCTTTCGGATTAATAAATTCTATTTAATATTTATAGTGGTGTTGGCTGATAGATTTTTATTTTTTTATTTTTAAGATGAAAAACTTATTAATTATTTTTTAATCACAAACATCTTTCTTATCATGTATAAGAACTCTAAATACCAAATAATTTCAATAATTCTCTCTCAGTATATTTGATTTCGAAGTTTATAAATAAGTTTTCCATAACATTGATTTCTCTTGGTTACGACTGAGAGTAATATCACTACTTTTTTTTTTATTGAACCACACAACACAAATCACCATCGACGCAGATAATGAAAGAAATCGCATCCACACACAAATGATGTAATGATTTTATTAGGTAATCTTCTTTCATGTCAATTTGTTTGATTCCATCTATATTAAAATATCTAAGGAATCGATCATGCTAGTCCCCATCTACTATAAGACTATTCAATGTGTGTATAATATACAAAATATATAATAATTACTTTGTTCATCATCACAAAGTTGGTTAGTCTTTTTTTTTAATATTTAATCTGGGATAATAATATGTAAGGTTTGAGTTGTGTTTTTATTTTACATTCTTTAAACATTTCCCAAAATGATACTCATATAGAATGTTAAAGATTTTAATGCTTACAAAATACAGTTGATTTTTAAAACGTGGTTGATAGGTAATGGATTCTTATAAATAATTTTGTTGGTGCTGGAAATGACTTCTGTGTCATCATCACAGTCACAAAGTCATACAACTGAAGAAGATGGTAGAATGTTTGGACAAGTTGTAAGGTATGCGTTATAAAAAAATTTCAAATTTTTTTATATTTGACACAAGTAAATCTTTGAGACTTGCTTAACTATTATTATCTCAAGTGATGCATGATAAGAGTAAATGAATAATTTTTTGTTTATATGTTTGTATAAATAGTTTTAAATATTGTCCTAGTCGAGAGAGAGAGAGAGAGAAAAAAAAATACTCACAGGATACTTTCAATTCGATCCAATTTCCAAGTTCCAAGAAACAATGCACCTAGCCAAAATGACCAAACTCACAAAAATCCTTTATTTGTGACCTCACCAGCTCTATCCTTAGCTCCTTACTCTTCTTTGGCATCACTTTCCTCTTATGACACTATGACCAAGTGAGTTACGACCATGACGAAAAATCATGAGAGAGTGAGAGAGAGAGAGAGAGGGAGTTTTTCAAAGATGTTCATTTATACAATAAGATAAGACCAAAAATGTGTGTGAGGTAGCAGAAGTAAGGACAGAAAAAGTTTCGGTATGTGTCACAGTGCCAGCTTTATGGTCATTTCAGTGATTCCCTCCCAAATGAAAATTGTGACATCATATATAGAGTCAGATATAATTGTTATTGCTCACTCTCTTGAACAAGAGGAAGGTGTGAAAACATGTTGGAAGGTAAAGCCGTGATAGAGGATACTGACATGCCTGTTAAGATGCAGATCCAAGCCATGGCATCTGCTTCTGAAGCTCTTGATCTCTATGATGTTTTGGATTGCACATCCATTGCTGCCCACATGAAAAAGGTAACATTTTCTTCCCCTTTCAATCATACACAACAGTAAGTAGTCCTTTCAAAATCAAAACTATTTGACATTAATGACTAGTTTTAAAAAACTGATTTATTGTCATGTGTGTATCTTCTTGAAGACTAATTTCAGTATTATTTTTCTGTAATACAAGTTTGTGGTTGGTCGTTGACTGAGTTTATGGTCTGTTTGACTGGTAGGAGTTTGATACGAAGTATGGTTCTGGATGGCAGTGTGTGGTGGGATCAAGTTTTGGGTGTTTTTTCACTCATTCCAAGGGAACCTTCGTGTACTTCACTCTGGAGACTCTAAATTTTCTCATCTTCAAAGGGGCCTCTTATCTTATCTGAGTTTGTACTCTTGTCTGCTTGTAAATAAAGTTCCACCAAGTGCAATAGAGGAAAAACATAGCTAGGCAAATTCGGACTTTGGTTAAAAATATATGCAGCAACTCTCGATTTATTAGCCAATTGGACCATTTTAATGTGTTGAAGGGTGTTATGCACGATGTTCTTTTGTACTTTGTATACATGATGAATATGTAGCTTATTATTTCTATGAAAGTTTCCACTTCTTCAGCTCTTCTTTTGCTGTTTTGGACAAGGTTCCCTTAAATTTCTCTGAATATTCTGGATATTATCTGTTCTCTTTCCAACTTCCCTCTATCAATAAATCCGAAGAAAGAAGAGCAGTTTTGGCTAGATAAAAAATAGACAAATTGAAGCATTAATCAAACTGAAATCAGATATGAAAAGAAAGTTCTGAACTGGGTCACGATATTTTGTATGATGAGTGGGACATTTATCTTTCTCTTTTCATGTATGTGGCCAGTGGGGTCAGTTAGTACTTTTTACTTTTCCTTTGTAGATCATTTTGAAGAATATTGTTCGCACAATGATATTTCGAATTTTGGATAAGAAATAAGATAATGGCTGGTGTGGATGGGAAAAATAAAAGAATAAAAGAAAGAGATAACAAATGTCAGATTACTTTCCAATCAAATTCCAACTCCATATCAACTATTAAGTAATTATGAACTTATGAACTAATAAATTTGAGGCAAAAGACACAAAACAACAAGTTGTCTGTTAATAACAATATAATCAATGCTATTAATCTTCTGTCAAGTTTATAGGCAGTGATGTAAACAAAAGCAGCATCAAATGACAGGAGTCAAAAGTGGCTTGCCAAGGAAGTGTGCCTCTAAGTTTGCAATCACAAGGTCTGCCATTGCCATGCAAGTTTCCACAGTGTCACTCCCCACATGAGGAGTCAACACAACATTCTCAAGCCTTAGTAGCTCTCCACGCACCTCTGGCTCGTTCTCAAACACGTCAAGGCCCGCACCACCTAGTCTTCCTTCACTCAACGCGGACACCAGTTCGGGCTCATCCACGTGCGGGCCTCGCCCGATATTGATCAAAACCCCCTTCGGGCCCAATGCATCAATAACTCCACGGTTCACAATGTGACGGGTTTCTGGGGTGAGGGTACAGGCCACAACAAGTACTTCAGAGTCAGCAGCTAAGTGAAGAACGTTAGAGTAATATTTATACCCTGACTCTGGTTTTTCAGATCTGGAATGGTACATAATTGGGCACCCAAATGCCTCAGCTCTCTTCGCAATCGCCCTACCAATCCTCCCCAACCCAATAATTCCAACTGCTTTACCACTAAGCTAAATATGCAATCACATTTAAACATGTAGAACACCCATGTAAGATTCATAAAATCAAATTTAATTTAATTACTATTTTTATATACTGTTTATACTATTTTATATTTTAATATTTATATCTTTAATTTTTGCTTAACTTCTTTTTTAATTTATTATTAGTCTCTGTCATTTTGAATTATACAATAAAGTTTATAAAAAATTGCACCCCTCTTCTTCGCATTTTCTTTGAACCAAACATTTTACTGCAAAAATAAACAATAAATTAAAAGAACATTTTACAACATTATTTTCGTAATGTATCTAACTAAATAAGGATAGATGGAGGGTTTTGTGGTGCTTTATCACACAACATTTAGAGACAGAAATACATGTGTTCAAATAGGGGTCTTTTGATAGAAGGATGATTATGCAAAGTACTAACTAGGATAAGGCATATGAGGAGTGGTCTATTAATTCAAGTGTTTGTTTCTTCAAGTGATACATGTAATATTTTTTATATATTGCTAGGTTTATTCAATAACATACAAAATAACGATTAATAATAAGTTGTTATGTCTTACCTATAGGTACCCTTGTACCTTTCTTAATGTGTTTAATCTCTTTGCTTATAAAAAAAAAGAGATGCAGAAAAAATTAATCAATTATATATATATATATATATATATATATATATATTTTTTTTTTTTTTAATTTAAGATGCTTCCTATTTTAGTTTCCTAAATTTAAAATAAAAATATATTAATATCATAAAATTAAAAATATGATTTATATTAAAAGTATACAATTGTTTTATTAGAAATTGATAATATATTTTTAAACTTTTTAAAATAAAATGATTTTTTTATATTATTTAAAAATTGAATTGACATTAAATTTCAGAAACTACAGCGATATTTTTACTAAAATAATATTATTATGATATTTTTACTAAAATAATATTATTATATTATATATATACGTAATGTAACTTGTGATGAAATTATTTACTTAACTCAACCTCTCATGAAATTATTTATTTAACTGAACCTCTTTTATTGTCTTGAAATTTGGTTTCTCATGAATCGAATTCCAACTTTAAACTTACAACTTTTTTTAAATAAAAAATTAAATAAAATATATAATTAAAAATAATAAAATTAATATTAAAAATAAAATTTAAATTTTAAAATTTAAATAATATTTATCTAAAAAATAATAAAAATAATATATTATTTAAATATATTTAAATAATTATTAAAAATATTAAATAATAATTTTTTATTATATTTTTTTATATTTTTTATATTTTTGAATAAGAAATTTAAAATTTATATATTTTTTATTATATGAATTATTTAAGTTATAATTTTAGAAAAAAATTGATAAATAACTTTATTTTTCAATTTTTATTATCAATGATTATGTTATTTTTAATATTATACATTAAATTCTGTCAATTTTTATTATTTTTTATTTTTAAGTTTATTTTATATTAATAATAATAATTTTTAACTAATTAAATAATATTTTTACTTTATTATTAAAAAAATTAATTTTAGCATGAATTTATTAATATAATATTTATAATTTATCAAATAAAAATTATTACATAAATTTTTATAATATAATATTTAATTTTTTTAATATATTACCTAAATTAAATTTTTATTTATTCTATTTTTTTCTAAAATTATAACTTAAATAATTCATATAATAAAAAAAATATAAATTTTAAATTTTCTATTCAAAAATAAAAAAAATATATAAAAAATATAATAAAAAATTATTATTTAATATTTTTAATAATTATTTAAATATATTTAAATAATTTAATATATATTTAAATAATATATTATTTTTTATATAAATATTATTTAAATTTTAAAATTAAAATTTTATTTTTAATATTAATTTTATTATTTTTAATTATATATTTTATTTTATTTTTTTATTTAAAAAAAAGTTATAAGTTTAAAATTAATATTCGGTATAGGGAAACCTAATTTCAATTACAATAATAAAAAAATTAAATAATTTTATGAAAAGTTCAATAAATAATTTCATCACAAGTTACATTTATATATAATATAATATAATATAATAGTATCACATGTTACGTTTATTATTTTAATAAAAAAATCAACTATAGCCGCAACTAAATATAACAAACCCTAAACCCCTAAACTAAAAGCATAATAATTGATAAAAAAAAATACTGATAAAATGAGTAATTAACCGGTAAAATAATAGAGATGAAAAGTGAAAACCTTTGGTGTGAAGGGAGGAGCGGAGTTACGGCGAGGGGAGTGAGAAATTGTGCAGAAGAGGGACAAGGCAAGGGCGATGGCGAGATCGGCGACATCGTCGGTCAGAACATTGGGTGTGTTGGTGACGGGAATGCCTTTCTCTCTGCATTTTCGGAGGTCGATGTTGTCGTATCCGACGCTGTAGGTGGAGACAATCTTGAGGTTGGGCAAGGAGTCGATGGTGGCGGCGTCCACTCCAACTTTGACATTTGCGACGACGGCGCGGACGGAGTTGGCGTGGGCTTGGGCGAAGGCGCTGAAAGAGGGAAAGTGCCAGAGCTTGAAGAGTTTAAAGCGCTTGGCAAGCCCTTCTTCGATGTAACTGTGCATCGGACAAGTCATTAACACGCCCATTGATTCCATTTACTTCAAAACCCACTCCAACCATCTCATCCGCACGCAAATATAAGTGGAAAATCATGGCTAAACAACTAAGTTATCTTTAGTGTATAAAACAGAGTAAAATAAAAGAAAATGATTTTTTTTATTTGAACTTTTTATTATTTTTAATATTAAGCATATATGATTTATCAATTTCATATGTTACTAAAAATTTTCATTAACTTATGATAAAAATAATATATATTTGTTGTTTTTTAAAATCATATTAATTAATTGTATCATAAAAATCTATTTTTTGTAAATAGTGATCAACAATTTGAATCTCAAGATGATTCCTTTTTCTTCAAAAATTTAAATAATGATATATTTAAAAGTCACATGGAATCTTAAGATTAAATACAAATTGATATTTGTAAACAAAGTAACAGTTGTAGGTTATCTAGTATTTTTAATCTCGAACCATTTCATATTATCATACACTATCATGTTTTGATAGACATAACATCTAGGATCATACACTATTATGTATCAGCCCAGTTAACACAGAACCTTATGACAGATCTTAATTCAACAAATGTTGCAAGTACATAGTTTTACGCAAACTATATACCAAAAAATCTGTAATGACAGCGCAGGAAATAAAAATATACGATTTGATCATGAAATGTAATAATAAAAAATAAAGTAATTCCATTGACATTAAAGTGTTCTTTCTTTCATTTTTCTTTATGACATGTATCAGCCGTGGCATTGATTATGTTCGAATGTACGAGTTATTATAAAGAGAGTGAAGATATGCATAGTTGGCAAAATAAGAAAAAAGAAGTTAGATTTTGGAGTTGAGAAGCAGAGAAAGAAGAGAAGTTGACATTGATAGAATGTTAAAGAAAGGCATGGTGGCAAAGCGTGCATGTCTGTCTTCCCCGGTCTTTAGCAGTCTTTGACCTTAAATTAGAGGCTTAAGCAACAACCATCCATTTTTCCCTCTCCTCATCAAACCAAAAACTCTCCTAACAAAAAAAATAATGCAAATTTTGTTTCTCTCGTTCCCATGTCTCACAACATGCACCCCACGTTCGAAGAACCCAGCTCAAAAAAGAAAGGCTAACAAAAACAAACCACCCCCACCCTTTTCTCAAACTCCATCTCCAAAAACAAAAGGAAAAAAAGAAAACTCCCATTTCATTCGTGCTTTGGCTTCTCCTCTGTTACTTTTCCTTCTCTTCCACTCTCTCTCCCTGCAGGGTCTAGGCCACCCCATGTTTTGTTCTAGCTCTTTACACCTTAAAAGTTAAACTTAGCTAGGAATAATAATAAAAAAAAACATGGTTTTAGCAGGGGAACAAGAGCAGGAAGGTTACAGACCCAAGTTGTTTAGCATCAGAGGGATATTTGCGGGAAATGGGAGGCATAGTAAGAGCCTGAGCGTTGAAACTGCTTCCGTGTTGGCGGAATCTGCAGAGGATGGTTCAGCTTCATCAAGAAGTCAAGGATCAAAGTCTATTCAGGATTTAGACAAGGTGCCCAAAGCAAGGGTGATAAGCAAGGAGGAAATCGCAGCAAAGGAAGCCAAAGAGAAACTCTTGCAAGGTCAATACTTTTACTATTGCTATTGCAATTCACATTGTAATCAACATTCCTTCCATTTGAAAATGTCTAATATAATGTATCATCAATTTCTGTTGATGACTTGCATTGGAATTGTCTGTAAAGTTGACATTCATGGCTGGGTTTAATTCAGAAATGGAACAGATGAAGGAGAGATTTGCAAAACTGCTATTGGGTGAGGATATGTCCGGTGGAGGAAAGGGAGTTTCGTCTGCTTTGGCACTCTCAAATGCTTTTACAAATCTTGCTGGTACGTTGACTTTTTTTTCCCAAACATTCTTTCTGTACTGGTTGATTTGTAATGAACAAATATTTGCAACATAGCTACCTTCCACTTTCTTTGCCAGTTTCATATCATAATATGTTCTGATAATTCTTATCTCACTGAAACCGCAGCTTCTATTTATGGTGAACAGAAACGCCTAGAGCCAATGCCGGCAGAAAGGAAAGCCAAATGGAAAAAAGAAATTGATTGGCTTCTCTCAGTCACGGACTACATTGTTGAAATGGTTCCTTCACAACAAAAGTCCAAGGATGGTTCAAGTATGGAGGTAACCCTCTTTCTCTGGATTCCGTGTTATTCTTCCTGTCATGATCATAACTACTATGTAAATATGATTGGACCTGATTTTTTATTGACTAGATTATGACGACAAGACAAAGGACGGATCTCCACATGAACATCCCCGCCTTGCGCAAGCTCGATGCAATGCTTATTGTAAGATCATTAAATGTGATAATTCTCTTGTAGGTTTAAATTGATAATTGTTTATCCTGAGCAAATTGCTGATGAACAGGAATGTCTGGATAACTTCAAAGATCAAAATGAGTTCTATTATGTGTCAAAAGATTCAGATAGTTCAGATAAAGACAGTTCAAGGAAAAAAAATGATGATAAGTGGTGGTTACCTACCCCTAAGGTTCCCGCCGACGGTCTATCTGATGCGGCTAGAAAATTTATAAGTTATCAGAAAGATTCTGTTAATCAAGTACTTAAAGCAGCCATGGCAATAAATGCCCAAATTCTAACAGAAATTGAGATCCCTGAAAGCTATATTGACTCCCTACCTAAGGTGAGACAAAAAGAACCATGAGTTCTTAAAAGTCAGCAACTGGAGAAACATTGCGACATCTTTTTACATGATCTAATTTCTTTTTTTCCTTTTTTTCATTTACAGAATGGAAGAGCAAGTCTAGGGGACTCGATCTACAAGGGTATAACAGTCGAATTTTTTGATCCTGACCAGTTCCTATCAACCATGGACTTATCATCAGAACATAGAATATTGGATCTCAAGAATAGAATCGAAGCATCGATAGTGATTTGGAGGCGGAAGATCAACCAAAAAGATGGAAAATCTGGTTGGGGTTCAGGGATGAGTTCCGAAAAAAGAGAGCTCTTTGAAGAGAGAGCAGAAACCATATTGATTCTCTTGAAGCACCGTTTTCCTGGCCTTCCTCAGTCTGCATTAGATATAAGCAAAATCCAATACAACAAGGTAAGAGTGACTAAAAGACCTATGTTTTATTATTATCTTTATTTCGATTAATTATTAATTTTTCTTTTTGTATTGTTTACAATAAAAAATATATTATATTATTATTTTGATTTAAGTAATTAATATCAAAATATCATTAATATTTTATATATTGTTATTTTATATATAAAATATATGAATAGTAGATGAGAGAAAAACTCATAAATTACTAAAATTATAGAAGGAGAATAAAGTTTTTCGTAAATTATTATTTTATTTTTGACAAAGGAAAGTTACAATTTTTAGGATGTAAGAATGTAATTTTATTTTAAAAAATTAAATTTATGGAAATTATATAAGAAAATTATATTGTTGTCTTAAAATCTATGACCTAAATTATAATTGAGAAATAAAAAAATAAAAGTGAAGTTATATTTATTTGTTTTTTTTTAAATGATTCTCATATGGGTTATGACTTTAAAATTATTTAAAAAATTTTGAGATTATATAAAAAAATAAGAAAGAGAAATTTTAAGATATGAAAATCATAAACTTTATAAAAGAATTAAAAATATAAATGATGAAAAATATTAAATAATTAAGAAATACTCAACCAAATTCTTAGATGTTACTAACAAAACTTTTAGTTAAAGAAATTTCTTACTCTACACTTGAAATTTTTTTTATAAGTGTGTTAGAGATAAAAACATGTATTATTTTCTTGGATAACACATGATTTATTTAATTACTTTAGCAAAAGTGTTATATATGTTATAAATATAAAAAAATAAAGATTAATGAGAAAATCATGTTATTAAAAGTGTTTTATTATATTATAATGCTGAATATATCATCCAAATCAAGAGATACAAATGTAATAAATTAAAGTATTTTTTCTATTTATTTTTATTGCAAGAAAATAGTCAGTCATAATTAGTAAAAGCTAATTACAAAATTTCACAACTATAATCAATTGAGACATGTAAATAAATATGCAAATTACAACAAGAAAAAATAGGTAAGGTGATAAAGGTCAAAAAATAAATTATTGTATAAAATACATAACTTATAATGATTTCTCACATAGTTAAACCAATTTATAATTTCTAAAATAAGAATTAAAATTTAAAACATAAATTTTATGAAATTAAAAAATGCAAACCACTTTTAAATATTCAAATTTTACATTAAAAAATAAAATTTTATTTTAGATTTGATAGAATTATCTATGAATGATATAAAAGAAAAATAAAATGGTGCATATTCTTTAAAAAATTTGATGCCAAATAGGAAAATAAATATATAGATGAAAAACTATTTTCTAACCTCTATGAAATGTTTAATATTATTACCATGGTGTCCATAAATAATAAAAGAGATGAAATAATTTCATGTAAGAAAGAAAATAATAAAATTTACAAATAAAAGAGGAAAAAGAAAATAATAATATTTAAAAATCAAATAAACATATTAAAAGAAAGAAAAAAATTATGAATATATATTTTATTTAAATTAAATATTAAATTTTTTATATTATTTAAAATAAAATAAAATATTCCATTATTATTTTGATATAGTAACATTGATTTTTATGTGTTTAATTATCACGAGGAAGTATTTGTTATGTTGGCAGGATGTGGGGCAAGCTGTTCTAGAAAGCTATTCAAGAATATTGGAAAGTTTGGCCTTTACAGTACTGTCAAGAATAGAGGATGTACGCCAAGCAGATTACCAAATTCAATCTCAAAAAGTTTCATCAGCAACAACAGTTTCCAAGCCTCCTAGAGAAGAGATAGACAAGGGTAGTGCAGATGCAACTGGTATGACATTATCAGATTTCATGGGTTGGGGCCCTGATGAGTCAGAGATGAAGAAGGACCCCTTTGCAATTCCAGATGACTTATGCAAAGACGATGATCCAAAGCAACAAAAACTTCCTAACGTAGTCACCAACAAGAAGTCATATCTCGACACCTTGGGAGTCACCAGAAGCCCAACAGCGCGTGATTAAAAGCACATTAGAATCATAGAGGAGCTTGTTGGATTGTTCATCACTTCTTTCCTTTTGTACATAGGAATGAACATACCAAATCATTGGCTTTGAAGCATCGTCAGAGATATGCTATCCAACATAAGAAGGATTTTGTAGTCTGGTAGTAGCTATTGAGATGCGGCTTTTTTACCATACCTACCACAAATCTCATTCATGTCTGTCCTTCGCCGTGACCTGTTAACTCACCCTTTCTTTCTGTGACTCTGACAGTGTTAAGCTAGAGATAATGCTGTATTGATGTCACTGGCCAATGTGTGTAACATACAACTTTACTAGTTTTGCTTTCTATAAATTAGGATCATCCCAAGGAAATGTAGTTTGTTAGAAAAATATGGCCAATCGGCTTAACTCATAATAACATCAATTGCATTGATTAGAAAAGATCTTGAGTTTCATTACTGGTGGTGAGCTCATCCCTTTCTGCTAGATTATCTATGAGAAAATAAATATAATCATTATCATAAACAGTAAACACAATTGGACCAGAAATAAAGATGATTTTATAGAAGTAGGCTTTAGGCGTACTTACACATTATCTGCAAGCAGAGATATACACGTTCAATTCAAAAGAAGAGGGGGAAAAGAAGCTAAACAGATAGAAGTTTGGAAACTAAATTAGATCTTGCCACGGGGACCTAGCTTTGGTGGAAGTTGTGGGCCTTTCTTGATTGGTAGAATGTCGCCTGAAGCAGTGGAACTGAAGTATGCCAAGGTGGAACCACCTCCCAGGATCAAAAACTTGAGTAACAATCCCCTCTTCGTGAATGGAGCAGCGAATGTCTCGAAGAACTTGCTCTGCAAATCCATGTCCATGTGGAAGATATAAGTTTGCATTTTCAATGGGACTAAGTAATTTAAGGGCATCATATCTTTTAGTAGCCACTCCTTAACATATATAGAGCTGAAACTATCCAATATTGCTTTCAACGTCTTTGTGTATAATAATCCTATTATGTAGTTGCTTCTTGAATCATGTACCAATTAAATGCTTGACTTTTTTATTCCTATTTCAACTGCTGCTGAAAGCATTTCCAGTATCTCGTTCATTTTCATTTTGTTAAATGAACAACTAATACATACGCTGAGAAAAAACAAAGCAAACCTGAAGAGGGTTGTAGGGTGAAGGTGCATCAGAGCCGTACAAGTCCCATTGACCAGTAGTGTTGCCTAGATCCTCCAGATCAAAGTACACACTCTTGTCACCATATTTTGCTACAACAGCGCCACTCCTGCAATGTTAGCTTTCACGAGCAATTAGAATCTACAGAGGCCTTTATTCGTCTTCCAGAAAACATATAAAACGAAAAGCACAAATTGTTGACCTGAAATTCTTGGGTCTGAAACTCTTTTGAGAGGGCTTGAAAGAGAGCTTAGTTCCAGTAAAGGAAGATCCAGCAAGGCCCTTAACAGTAGATGGTTGAACAACAGCCAAGCCTGCAAGAGAAGCCATGCTATGCTTTCTGCTTCACACTTCACAGAGTCACATACTTTGGTTCTGATATGTTACAAGAATCTCATCTTAATTACCACGTGGCCCACTTCCTTTATTTCTGCAGATTATGGAGGTCACTCATAACTTGCCATGTGGTTACTAGATGGATAACCCTATCCTCTCACATCTCGTTGTAAAGATAAATAGCATATTACTTTATACTGTCAATTAATTAACTTTTATTTTTAAATGGTTATTATAAAATAAAACTGTTGTTGAGAGTTTAATAATTTTTAAACTGGAATGTTGTTCAGTTAAATTGATTAAATTTAAGAAAATTATAAAACTGCAATAAAAATTATAAAAGAATTACGTTACTTAACAACTTTGTTTGCAGATATAAACCAAGTTTAAAGTGATGATTTAATTAGTTCATACTCATTTATAAGTTTTAATATGACTAACTCCATTTTACGAATTACTTACATAGTATTATAAAACATTAGTATTTTTTTACCAACTTTTCGTCAAAAAAAAGAAGATGATGGTGCAGCATATTAAGGTGCACCGTCGTTGTAAGGGATAAAATATATAGTACAGTGGAGGTGCGCAGTGATAGAGATAAAGAGTTATCCCTTTGGTTTGGTTTGGTTTGGGGAGAAAAACGGATAAGAAATGTGGCTTCTTCAGGTCCCTCCCAAGCTCTCAACCCCGTTTCTCAACGGCCACGGGCATGGCTTCACCCTTTTCTCCAAACCCAATTCCGCCCTGGCTCAGCCCCATTGGGCACCCGCTTGTTCTGTGCCCCAAATAAAGGCCATGAAGACAATGCAGGGAAAGGTTGTGTGCTCCACCAGCGACAAGACGGTGGCAGTGGAGGTGGTGCGGGTGGCCGTTCACCCAAAGTACAAGAGGCGCTTCAGGAAGAAGAAGAAGTATCAGGCCCACGACCCAGATAACCAATTCAAAGTCGGCGACATCGTCCAGCTCCAGAAGACCAGGCCCATCAGCAAGACCAAGACTTTTCTCGCCGTCCCCGCTCCCCAAAGGCCCTCCAACAGACCCTCCCAGCCCGACGCCCAGCCCGATGAACTTTCAATTCCTTTCGAGTCCCAGCCTCAGCCCTAGACTCTACTCAATTTTACTCTTCTACGCCTGCGTACCTTTTGTTTTTTTCCACATCTTATTCTTTTAGCTTTCGTCTTTATGTGTTGTAATTTCCATGGTGGAACACTTTCGTGTTTGTGCACTATTTATATGTGCAATTCTTATCATTCTAGCTACTGCTATCATATATAATCGTGTTTTTCTTTAATTGATTATTCTTACTTGATGATAATTTGGAAATTGAGATTCAGGAAATCTTCTCGTTTCATTTCATACAGAAAATGAGTGTGTGACTTGCCAGGACTTGGGAGTGGAGAATTTGGTGCAAACGAAATGAAATTGAGATATGATTCTTGTTAACTGTGTTGTCGTGAGAGCTTTTATTGTTTATTGCACCTTCTGAATGTTTGGTGAAATGTCTGATATGGCTTTTGATCCACATTCGTCGTGGCAGTGTTGTTATATTTGGGAACTTGTCGTGACCGGCAAGTGTGTGATGAAATGTTCGATTAGGTTTCTGATTGCCAAATTTCCACCATAGTATCTTGGCTTTAACTTCCCTCTCGAGCTCAGAATTTTTCCCTTCCTTGCAAGAAAGGATGACTCTTTTCTCTTTTGATTACTTTGTACTCTAGTCGATAAAATGAAAGTTTGTAGTCATGTAAATCCTGGATCAAATGCGGTGATCTTGATAAGTGTTGGTGTGCAAGTGTGATTGTGCAAGTAAGAAGTCTCAAATTGGATAAATATATGGATATGTTGAACATCTTACGAGTGATAAAAACTCCAACTTGATACTTTACTGTTTTGTGTTAAACATGTTATTAAGTTCACCTGTCATTGGCTCATGGCGCAATGACGGTGTTCTCTCCACTATTTTACCCCTCTCCTATTCATTCCCTACACTCTATAGGGATATAGGACTTGGTTCTACTGAACTTTGTATTAGGTCACTCCTAGAATTACATCTATAGTACATGGTTTGCACTTGGTTGCAAGCTTTCTAACAAGAGCTTGAAAGGGGGGAAATGCAAATGGGGTGATTCGATGCTAATGACAACCAAATTATGAAAAAAAAGTTTAAATAAAAAGTCATGGCACATGCATGAGACAAAAGAGAGATGGATGCTGACTTGCCTCCATACTTTCCGGGACTGTATTTTTTTTCACCATTTTTTGTGGAAGAATTTCCCCATGTAAATTTAAAGGCTATCAACATTGCCAGCAATGCAAGGGGCCCAACCCTGAGACTAAATCAGATTTTTTTTTTTTTTAATATTTATTAGGTTTGCTGATAATTTCTGTGTGTTGTAGTAACATTCTGAAGAAATTATTATTTTTCGGGAAGTCGGAAACTCTACATCCTTTTTTTTTTTTTCTGATGAGTTCTGAAAACTTGATTGGTTTTAAGTTTTATCAACCTTTTTTGTCATCAACTGGTTTTATGAACCTAACATGCACAGTTTTGCATGTTTACAAGTTGGTCTGCAACAAACTTAAACGTAATTTTGCTTCCTAGGTGAACATGAAACGTGGAGGATGTCTAAAAGATGATAACATCGTTAGAGCAGAATTTGGGTGTGAAATAACTTATCATTTTGCTACCGTTTTTAGTGAATAATTTGCAATCTGAGCCATCAAACTAACTATGTAAGGCAGGAATAATCAAAATTACAATAAAAAAAACCAACTGCATAAGGAATTAACAAATGATAATTCTATACACGCCAAAGTTAAAATCTAGATTCTAAAAAGCTTTTTGTCACTCTTTCTACCTACAGAACTGCAGATACAGATATACATACTCGACCGAAGCTTCCTTGGTAATGGAATAATGAATAAAACTAACCCAGAAACGGAATAAGGGACAAACGCAAGCTATTTTTGCCAAACCGAATACCATCCAAAAAGGATATAGAGAGCCTAAGATTATCGTAGATAATTAAAGTCTATGACTCTCCATCAAGTGATTATCTGATTTTGACTAACCCTCTTCACATTGTAAACTTGTTCTGATATTTCTCAATGTACAAGAAACAAGAGTGTTGACCGAGTCCACAGACTCCACTGTTAACTTGGCTGTGGGAGATGCATTAGTCAGGATCTGGAATGCCATTGTAAACAAAGATCCTCCCTCGGTGTATTTTTCTTCCTGCCTTGAAGTAATCACCAATGGCCTTGACTCGAGGCCATCAGGAATAATAGAGAATCCCGAAGGAAGTATGGCAAGATTGCTCGAATCACATCCTGTCATCACAGACTGAATACCAGTAATGTCCACAGAAGCATACACCACCATTGACTCATAAGAATTCGTGCAGCTATCTTGTAGTACCCACACACTGTTTTCTTTCAATTTAATTGTCTGTCAAATGGGAAGAATCCCTTATTTCAGTTAGCACCATGTTTTGATCTGAATGCAGTTTGCATTTTCATTTCATAAGTATTAAAATTTGAACCGAAGCAACTTACTTGAATGGTTACGGCATTGCCTCGGTCTTGTCCTTTGGATAAATTTGCAATGGACTGCACTGTCCCACCACTTGACATGATATCCCACTGAGACAAAATGGTAAGTATCAGCAAATTTAACCATTCAATTATTAACCAAAATTGACAACAAGATTAAGAAGGAATGAAGACAAGAGAGTGGTACCTCATTTCGGCGTGTTTCATCCCTCAAGAAATCAAACAGAACATTTGGTGAGACTGGCAACCATACAGAACAAACAGCGCACAATATCAACCCAAGAGGTTCACCAGGATCGTTCAAGTTCTTTCTAGAACTTATCCTTATGTCTTCCCCGGTTTTGCTAGTAACCTTAGTCCATGTGTGGAAGCTTGACGCGCCAATTGCATGGCAGAAACTCCATGTCATTCTTTGTGCCAACTTCAAAATGCTTTTTCTCCCAGCCAATGTGGCAACACCTAACATTTTGTCATGGAACATTCTTATTATTTTTAGTTGCTCTTAGTTAAGTAGTATTTACCAAAGTAACACGTTAGAATTGATTACTCACCGGTTGAATCCTTCATTGGAACATTAGTTGCCATGAAAAAAACTAGACGTTCACACTGAAGTTGTAGAGTCGTAATCCAATGCTTTGCCCCAAAGGCAAGGCCACTGTTCACAATGGTGCGATACATGGAATGGACTGCACTCTTCTGGCATTCCAAGTGCTCCACCCATATTACCTAAAGACAAAACAAAGATCATTAAGTAGTCTAGTCTCTGCTACATTTTTTACTTCAACAACAGTAAAGCCCCTTCACCAATTCCTCTAATTATCAAATGCTTGTATCTTCACTACATATTAAGTATCTTCGTTTATTTTATCAACATATAGCAGCTTTATTACTTTGCTTCTTTCAAGTGATGATTATTGGCTACTAATGGTGGCTTTCCTTAATTTACATAATGCCCACCGACAAAGACCAGCTGCGGGTACTCACACACTAGCCAGCTTACTAGTAACACCTAGTTGTGATACCCATCCTTTATTTTATTTAACTTTTCTCATTGATTAGATTTTGCTGTGTCTGTGTGGGGTGTACTTGCACCGACTATAAGGACCAAGGCTTTTCCTAAAAACAAAATATTGAGGTTGAAATTTTTATGGGTCCTAATGTAACAAAAGTGTGCAGCAATATGACTTGATTTGTACATACTTTGCAATGGCCATTGGACTTGTCCTCAATAATGCAACCGGAAGGGCGTTTTCTGCATTTCACGAGGGACGCGTCAATGTTGTCTTCTACTTTGTCGATGGATACATCAACGATCGCCCACTGTTCAGCACTCAACTGTTTGCAGAAACGGACAAAATAGACTTCTCTTGTGGGCACCATTGGAGTGAGCATTTGCAGCTCAGCAAACATCTGCACCCAATACAAATTAAGGTTTAGAGTTTTCTAGTCAAATTAAAACTTTAGTACTTCCTGGGCAAAAGTTTCACTGTCCAGTGTCCACATCTTACAATTTCAACAAGGTCATTCTTGTCTTTCTATGTTCATGTATATTATATCATGCGGGTACAAGTAATAAACCACTGGTTTATGTGCTTGTTTGTTGGCATTTAGCCGTGGATAGGAAACTCTTTTCACAGAAGAACACGTAAGAGAAAGAGACAAAGGGAGAGAAACTCCAGCTGGACACACACATTGGATAAAATGTGGAGTATAGTAGTGAGTGGAACATGCCAACAGATGTAAATGGTACTCGAGTATTTTATATTACTGTCTTTTTAATGTTTTCTACGATTTTGTCTTCTTACGTTGGGTGATATAATAAATAAAAGTCGTGTTTTAAAGACTCCAAAAAGAGTCATAAGCACTTGGACTTGGAAACGGAAGATCAATGCATGGGGTTATGAAACCATAATTTCTGCAAGTGGAAGCATAAGTTTCACATGCAACTCAAATTTTTTTTCCTTAAACACTTATAACTTTTAGACGATTTCTCAAATGTACGGAAAAAGCTCGAAAGCATCTTCTTCTCTTGTTTGCCATGATTGGCCCACTTGAGAATAAAAAATTCCATATCATTAAATCCACGTTAGAGGTGCTCCTTCTTGATTGAAACGGGAAATAAATTTGATTTAAAACATTTGGCCGAATGAAAACGATTGAGGTTGTATGACACATACTACTTTTTTGGCATTTCGTTTAGCGTGTCTGCCTAAACTTCTAAATTTTTATATCAAACCTTTCATTAAGTAGGGCCTGTGAATTCAATATCATATAACACAGTTTGCAGGCAGGCACGTGGAACACAAGAGCTTGGTGTAGGTACGCAGTTCATTACTTTTTTAGATTATTATTGTTATTGTTTACAATAAAATTCAGGATGTGCAGTTTTTGGTACGGTGAATTCAGTGTGTGAGAGGGAGAATTAATTACTGATAGAATTAGGTTACCATGTAAAAACAAACCTAGCACAGTGTTAATAACGTTTTCCTCTTACCAGTTGCACTGCACCATTCCTGTTAGGACCTTCTCCATTGCATATAACATCAACAGTTGCCGCCTTAGATATCAAACATGGAAACATTTCTTTCCATTGATTCTGCAGGAAGCATAACAAATACCTTTCACAAGTCAAAAGGAAATTGTATTCTAACCCACAACTTAATCATGAAGTATTTTTAAGACAAGCTTAGATATTGAGACATCATAATATTCGTATGGTTCTTCAAGATTAAGTTAATAATTCAATAAGCCTTATTCAGCATACATATATACATGCATATAGGTATATCTTATTCTTACCACATCTAGAAAACTTTGGACAAGCCGTGGGAGATCCACAAAAACAACTCCAGTGTCTCTTGAGGCTTCAATGGATCTCTTTGGCTTTCCACTGCTTGAATTTTCAACTGCAAACTCCTTCACATATTCATCATAGTTAAGTATTTCGCGACCAGTCTCGAAGCTACGAAGCCATAATGGTTCCCCCATGGTAGTCATCTTGATCAGTTCCTCCATTGCTTGGTTCACTATATCCATTATCCTTGAATTGTCAATTCCGAAAATTCCAGTGTAAAAATCCAAAGAGCTTCTATTCTCTTGGTCATGGCCAGAAGAACATGAAGGGGACGTTGATCCAGGTGCGTATTTCCCTAAAGCTGCTCGGAGCTTCTCTACCTACAAACACGTATTGATTGAGAGTGTACTGTGTAAAACTTAAATGTTGATGTTTATTTTTTAATCAAGAAATTATGGAAAGTAACAACGTAAGTTAACATTAAACACCTCCGCTTTGAGTTTGGCATTTTCAATACGTAGTTGTTGTTCTTCGGTTGGCATGGCACCATCTCTGCTTGTGGTTGGCACGCCACAGTTGGGGCAACAAGCTTTGTTTACTGTCTCGCGTAAGGATTTATTTTTCTCTTTTAGTTTCTCTATTTCTGACTTCAACAAAGAATTTTCATGACGCTCTTGTATTGCCTGCAAAAGACAACGTGTATGTATATACAATAATCTCGAAAGAGAAAAAAAAAATGGACTAGAGTAGTTGTAGTACCTGGGTTTGTGAGTAAGTGAATAAATTTAAATTAAATTACCTTGATTTGGGTTCGACGATTTTGGAACCAGAACTTGACTTGCCTCGGAGCAAGGCCTAATTGCTTGCTTAGTTGTTGCCTCTGCTTTTCATCAGGATGTGGTGACTCTTTGAAAAGCCTGTAACATCACATTCATGTCAGTTTTTCTCTTGATTTACCTTCAACTACAAGCTTCATATCTGATACGAGTGGTCCAATAAATGGGGTTTAAAATAATCAAACATGATATTCACTTATTAAAGAGGTGTAACACAGGCTTATCAAGTGGAAAAAGGGCTAAAAAAGTGGTTTAATTACATAGGCATATGATATCAACACAAAGAAATAAAGCAAAAGCAGTTCAAAAATAAAAATTGTAAGCTTTGTCTTTTAATCATCGTCCTTTTATAACCATATGATATCAATAATTTTGTCATAATCGGGCCAGTATTACGGCACAAACTACGCAGCTATGCTTTAAAGTCACCACTGATAACACTGGCTTGCAAATCATTGCTTGGTTTCATTGGTGACCCTAAACTAATGACTGATTGCATCTAATGAACATGTGCAAGAAAGCCACCTCCAAAGGTCCATGTAAGTTCTCAATTACAATAAGAAATAGTAATCAATGTTTTCTCTCTCTAGTAACTAGTAATTATGAAGGCACGTATATAGAAGTATGCAGGAGGGATGACAGAAACTCAGGAAAAGTTCAAGAAAATAATAATGCAAATTGTTCAGCCATGATTAATCAATGGCAATAAACCCTCCATCCAAACTCTCACCTCAACACACGTTATATCATACTTCGTTGTGAACTGTAAAATCATCTATACAAGACTGAAAATAAATCCATAAAATTTCGTACTTCAAGAAATTTTAATCAGTAATAAGAGTATTCTGAAAGAAAAAAATGTGACAGAAGAGAGAAGAAAAATGTGTTAATAATCTTTGTCAACTCCCCAAATATACAAGGAAACACAATACACAATTAATATATATAGATATAGATATAGTATATATATATATATATATATATATATATATATATATACGTAAAATAAAGTGAGATTATTATTATATATACTAACGCTTCCATTTCTCTGATCTGATCAGCAGTGTGCCTGTGATATTTCTTCCTCTTCTTCTTCTTGGTCTTGTCCCCATCAGCATCAGCATCCTCGTGTTCGCCTTCTCCTTCAAAATCATCCTCTGATCTGGATCTCGTGGGACCCGAATTCTCGCTGCTAATCTCTTCTAGCCTTTCACCTCCTCCGCTCCCTTCTTCCCACTCCTCCACCTCCATGTTCGAAGTGGCAGCTTCAGCGTCCGCCGCCACACCAGCATGGCGAAAAATTCCCGCCTTGAATGCAGCAGGGGAAAGCAGTGAGAGAGGATAAAAAAAAAAAAAGAGAAAAGTAAAAAGCATGTATGCATAATACAGGAAAGAAAGAGAATTTAATTTACAAGGCTGAGAGAGAGAGCTGGGGAGGCAAAGAAGTCTTTGGCGTGAGAAGTGGGAGGTGGATTGTTGGACATGTCAGCGCCCATTGGAGAAGAAGAAGAAGAAGAAGGAGTGAGGAAGAATGGAAAATGGAATGTGGTTTTGAAGGAGGAGATGAAAATGGTGGAGTGGAGTATGTGTTGTTGTGAAGAAAAGAAGAGAAGAGAGGGAAGAGAGAAAGAGACGTAGGGAATGGTGGATTTAAGAATATAAAAACAAAGGAAGGAACTCGCTAAGGTTATTTAAATATATTTTATCATCGTTTTTTTTTGTATTAAATTTATTCCTTATGTAAAATGTGGAGGGAGAAAAAATAAACTGGTAGGATTGACTGTTAGATAAGAAAAAAAAAGAAAAAAAAAAAAAAGAGTGCCAACTAACTTAGACAGTTGAATTTAAGTCCTCAACGGTATCTTTTTCTTCAAAATCCAATCAAATCACCTCTCGATTTACCACTCTCCTTAACTCCTTCGATTCTTTTTTACTTTATAATTTCAAAGTAACGAGTTTGTATGTTCATACCAATGATTTTAACCTCATTTTCTGACATATAAAATTTAACATATTTTCTTTTTTTATAAATATTTGTAAAAAACTACACCAATTCCAAAACATTACACCTAACTTCGAGGTTTATGCTTAAAGTTTTATAACAACAAGTCAACCACATACACGAGAAAAATAATTATGTTATGGGTGTTTCATAGTATTTTTCTATTCGTTACAAAATTTAGATAAGTTGAATTATACCAACTAAAAAAAATCACAACTTAAAAAACACCTATACAACTTTAAGTATTGGTTCTTCAATTGGTTATATAGAATGTTTTGCATGTATTGTATTGATATTAGGTTTTTAAAATAATAATTTTAAAAAGTATAGTATCATTTTAGATAAATAATAAAATTGTGATAATAATTATGTAATGCATTTAAAGTTTTAATACATAATCAAAAATATTTTAAGTGTATATTTAACTTTTTTTTTATATTCTCGTAATAAAAGATTGATTTTAAATTTTAAAGTATCATGAGATTTAATTAAATTTTTTTTTGAAAAGGGTAGATGTATTTAGGGATCAAATGATACGAGAGAATAATTTAGATCTTATAAAATTTTTTATACAATATTATTTTCTACATATTATTAGATAATAATCATGATTTTTTCTTTGTTTTTGAGTTTCAATATTATATAATGTTATATTTTTATGTTAATTATTTGTATTTTATTTATTTATTAATAGGGTAATTTTTGAAAATAAAGAAATTGAAGTTGTTGATGTTTTTTTTTTTATCAATTGATGGGTATGAATTTGTTCTCCTTGAATTTATTAGCTTGTGGCAATTTGCATGGATAAAATAGGTGAAAGAAGATCTCTCCAATGATATTTAATTCGAAAATACCCTTGAGTATTTATGAATTTATTCTTTTTTTTTTAATGTGTAAAAATCACTAGTTAATATTTCATTGAACAATTACTATAAATAAATGAACTCATAATAGAAGGTGTGAATCCATGTGAATGATTTGTATATTATTATAACAGTGGTGTTGATTATGACAACCATTATTCTATAGTACATATTTTAAATAATTTTTAACTTTTTAAATATTTTTATGAAACTTACAAAAATTTTAAAATTCATTTTAAAATTTTTTGAAGCAAAGACATTATGTTAATATATCAAATTATCTAATTACTATATAAAATTGTTTACTTTTTAAAATAATAAAATCAATTACAGAAATTTCATTTTTTTTAATCTGATTTAAATTTTTTCTTTCTCTCACTTTCACCCTCTAATTCAAACAAACACTTAATAAAATATAAGTTCTGTAAAGGAACTTTTCCTACAATATTGTCTCTTAGTTGAATTTGGTCACCAAGTACTATCAATTTTTTCTCGCAAAACATGCTCCAATCGAAATCACTTTTTTATTTCTCTTGCATTCGTATACACAGGTTACTGTGTACAAATAGTTATTACAACAAATGTTCTCACCTAAAAAGTACTATCATAAATTTCTTGCAATTTTGAAACGGAATTCATTTTTTTTATATTTTCACACAATTTTTTTAGATTATTCCAATTAAGGCTTTTCTTGTATTTATGTTTTCACCTTTTTTTATTTTATTACTACAAATTACAACATCCTATATATATCATTTACAATTACTGTTAATTTACACAAATTCTATTTGTGTGCGCGATATAAGAATAAATTATGCAAATCACATTAATTATATAATTATGTACGTGCTTAACAGAATAATTAAATAATTTATACGCTAGTGAATAACTTATTTGATAAAAAAATTATTAGAGATATTTGATTTTGAGTTCATGAAACATACTTATAACTTGCATGTTGATATCTCTCTCTTTCAATTTCGCATTGTTAATTCGTGAAATTATAACATTTTTCTCTCAAACAAAAACTTTTTTATGTTGATTTTTTCGGGATTCTACAATTGGTATAAACACAGAAAATATAGAAAGTTTTTAAACTTTATATTAGTTTAAGGATAATTTTTAATCTTAATTATTACTCTTATTTAAAATAAATAATATGTGCCTGATAGTAGTTTTAAATGCTTATTATTTTTATGATATATTTTACTGGTAAAGTAATTATAGAGTAGTAATAATAATAAACTTATATTATAACTAACATTCATAATAGATATTTTCGGAGATATAAGTTATATTTTGGATCATGAGAAATAATTTATGTTGTGATATAAGTTAAAACTATTTAATAATTTCTTTTTAAAAAATTATAAATTAAATATTGAAATAAAGATAAAATTTAATTAACGTTGTTGAACCAAATAACGTTTTCTTTAATTTTGTAACTAAAAAAAAATTTAAATGATTTGAAGGACTATAATTGTAATGGCCAAAGCATAATATTTCTTATTCAGTAGTGATCACTTTGAATTATGAACGTTACTTTGTAAGATTTAATATGTGAATAACAAATATATAGTTGTTACAATTTAATTAGTGACCTAGAATCAGAATGGGAGTATCTATTTGTATTAAATATTCAGAGGAAAATTTTTATCGTTCATATGAAATATATAAAAATATTTTCCGTGAAAAAATATATATAAAATAAGCACTTCAATTAATTTACCAACAGTAACATTTTTCAGATACAACATAAAGTAACTTAGAATATTTGTACCTTAAAATAAAACCTAATAACATATTTCACACGTTATAATCGCAATGGAGTTTGAATTTGTAACTTATAATTTATCATTATTAATTTTCGTACGCACTATTCTATACCTCATACATTGCTATTTATTTCAATAAAAATTATAAGAATTTTATAAAAATAATTATAAGAATTTAAAATTAATTAAAATATTTAAAACGACAGTCACATAAATATTTTTTATATAAATAAAAAAGTATACAAAAAAATATATATAAACATATCATCTCGTATAAATTTGTGTTTATTAAAACGACAATGTCCAACAACATGCCACAACGACCATTCTGACCAACGTTAACAGTATCAAAAATAAAAAATAAAAATTAAACCTTGAAGATAGATATGGTACGGTGCTACGTGGGAAGCGAGACACGCGAGGAAAGTCACATTCTCTTCAATTATTTTATTCATATTTTATTATTAATTATTTATTTTTTAATCATTATTTTATTTCTTTGTGTCTGCATGTCATTTAATTTATAATGTATTTGCATCCAATTCCTAAGTACTACGTATGGAGTATATTTCACAACAAATCACATTAGTTTCTTTGCTATTTTCGCACGTCACCTCTCTTGTATATCGTATGTTACATTAATTACACCATTCAAATCTTTTCACTTTCTTTTCCTACGTCTACGGATACTGTTTTTATGATTATTTTTTAGTAATAAATACACGTATAAATAATACTTTACTCATCCACATCATTAAAAAAATATTAGTTAATGTTCACGGTCAACATCTTTAAAGTTAAGTAAAATTGTTTAATAGAATTAATTTAACATTGTTAATAGGTTTTTGAATGAAAGGTTAGATAATTAATTGGGCAGAAGGATTTCTTGGGCGACAGGACAGTTAAGTGAAATTGTAATAATATATGATTTGATATATATTTTTTATTATTAGGTAAATTTTAGATTTTATTCCTTTTATTTGGATCTGAATTTTGATTGATTGTTGATGTGCAAGATCTAAACCTTGATTGCAGAATGTTGTGACAACGAAGGATAAAGATTATAGGCCTACTTATTGTCAGATACATGAGCCATATCACATTCACATTCCATAATTAAAGTTTTGGTGTCATGTGGGTTATGATTAAGTTTATCTACTATTCAAACCAGGCAAGGTTACCATGGTGTTATCTTTTTAGTTTCCTACAATTTCTTTTCTCCTTTACTTTGGTGGTTGGGAACGGTAGATAACTTGCAGCAATCACATGATTCCAGAGCACAAACCTAATAGAGAAAAACATTAATTGATTTGAGGTTACTTTCTCACCTCTCTTTACTTTATCTTGCCTTTTTTATTTCCATCTTGAATCATTATCCTCCACTTGAGGAAAGCAACAACAGAAACACCAAAACTCCCACGGAAAATAAATATTTTGCTTTCATTGTTTTCAAGTTTTTGTCATTTTCTTTGGCAAAATGAGTTTTGGGTCACAAAGATAGAAGAAACAAGCATTAAATATGGGAGACTATATGGAAACAAAAATAATCAACAGCTCAAAGAAAATTTCCCTACCCTTATTATGGGAGTATTTTTCTTAGTTCTTACTTATACAAGTTAAGTAATTAATAAATTGATAGGCAAAGATTTTGTGACTCAAACACACCCATGTTCATAATTCTCAGCACAAAAACATACATATACTAAGTTGCTGACACTGCTTGCATCCCATCTGACAATATTACCTTCTTGGATTCTCTAGTTCAATCGTTTGTTTCATATGTTTACATTGTCAAGTACCATATTATTCATCATTAATTCATATTGCAGGTATGAAAAATCAAATGGCAATTACATATATTAACTGAAATTTTGTTTTCTAGCAATTGCATAGTCTATATCAGCATCAAACTTAACTGCATATAGACTTAAATCACTAGTCCTAGAACCCTCAAAGACGACACACACATTGAACAAAAAAGTGTTTCTATCCAATTCTAATTATCCTGTAATTCCTGCCCCTAAACAAGAGTCATATTCACTCAAATTAAGCATAATGGGCATCTTCCTATTTACCAACTGACATTGCCTAAGACTAGCATAGCAACATTAGAAATATCCAACAACCAAGCTAATTTAGCTTTTAAATTCAACCACGACACGTAATTCAAGAAATTGACCAGCCACTTATAACACAAATTTTAAATCAATGCAGAAGAAGGATGTAAATTCAATTTGGTGTTTACACTGAATCAAATAAAAAGGATGTCATGACAGTTAAAAATTAATACTCCTTCTGTAGATACAAAAGATTCATTCAGATGACCTTTTCATCCAACTTTGGGAAGACAGTTAGCTATGAAGAGTAGATGAAATAGAAGGTCGTGGAACTGAAATGAAAAGATAACATGGAATGATTAATATTCACGCATGCATGCATACATTCAAAAGGGAAATAATGGCGTACAGTGTGTTGAAGAGAGTCTTTACTTTCTACACTTTTTAATGGATGCTCAGTTGGCCATTGCCATTGCTGAAACTGAGGCCATGTAATGTAAGTTATTCATTTACTGACTACTAATATTCAAATTTTGCAGACAATGCTTGCTGGATATATACTGAACGTGATCGATGAACAAAGATTTGCTAAGAAGCATCTTCATGATACTGTAGAAACTATTGCTGTTATCATTTTAAAACTTATTGTATATTTGTATCCATAAAGTATTGCATATGTTATGTGTCTGTATTTTATACGGATTGAAAGGCTTTATATCATGAAATTGTACTTGGGTAACGCCAAATTCGTATACAGAAATTGAAAATCAAACCAGACTCGGGATATAACAGTAGAAAAATATTCAAGTTCAAATAAGAATGGTGTAATAGATCCAAAGTGTGTCACCTGTTATGGAAGTCCCACGTCTAGGAGTGAGTTCAAATGGATGGTAGTTTATATTTCTCTTTTCCTCTTAATCTACCAAGATATATTTTAAGAGAAAAACTTCACGGTAGCTACTAACCTAACTATATTCCTCCGAACTGACAGTGCACACCGTCCACAAAGAAGCACACACTTTGCCATTGCACTGCTTTTTAAACCTCCAAAGCAAAGACATACACACATTTTCTGAACATAACATTACTGTTATTTTCTTAAAATTCAATAAATTTTACTGTTGCATTTTTTTAACGTTATAAATAGAACATTTTTAACGTTAAAATAAACCAACTATATCTGTATATCTTTCATAATTTTAATTAATTATAATTCATGAAATTTGACTATATATTTATTTTTAAAACTGTATATATGTGTGAAAGTTTGACAAAATAACAGTACAGATAATTTCTTAATTTTATATATAAAATGGATATTAAGATAGTCTTTGCAGAAAATCAAATTACATATACAAAAAATGTCAATGATAATATTCTGTAATTTTTTATAAGCATAAAAAAAATTTCATTTCAAATTTAAGTATTAGAAAAACGCATTCATAATAAATATAAATCTAATTTTTAATTATCTTTATTTAAACTTTTACAATAATCTTTCAACAAGAAAATATACTCATACACAAAAATATCTTAAACTCTCACACTCCTTATGAAATCTAATTACAACCTTGATCACTTATAATATTGACTGTATAATAAATTAAAATTTATTGTAATTCATTAGAACGAACTCCACATTTTAATTCATTAAATTGTGCTTTTATTCTATTAAAACTATTTTAAAAAATAAATTGAAATGATTTTAATCAATTAAATAAATTTGTTTTAATTGATTAACCCAATTACCACTAAGAATGCGTAATGAGATTGATGGATTAAAATATTTTTCTTTACAAACTTGTGAATTGTAAAAACATTTTAACGTATTATACAATATTTTCAATGCATTAACCCAAAACTACTTATTTCGAACTTGGTTGAAATAATTTAAAAGAATTTTTCTACGTAATCTGAGTAAACAAAAAAAAAAAATCACTTAAAACTTAAACTCAAACTCAATATTAAACTAAAAATCAATATTATGTAAAATTTATAATCTTGAACCTAACCGTTACCAACATCAAATCTTCAAATTTCAAGTTTCTATTTCAATATTTTGTACATAAAATAAGTAATGTTAATCACAATAAAAGTATATATACAAAGTGATGAATTTCTTCAACCAAATTTTCCACTTACAACTCTTTATTAATATATATCTTTTTTATTTATTTCCATTATAAACAAAGTATTTTGTTATCGAAATTGTCTATTTTAGATTGTAATAGTGATTCTCTGTATTTTTAGCTTATCACCAAAGGTAAATTGAACAACAAAACTTGTCCAAATAAAATATTATAACTTATGAATTGAATTTAGACTAAATTACATAATTTATGTCATACATAAAATGAGTTTAGTTACTATGTTATGTCTTACATAAAATCAACTTAGTTACAATAACGCATGAATTATTAAATTTTATGACCCAAACAAATTTGGAAATATAAAAAACATGCCACTTTTAAATACAATTTATTAATTACAACATTATACTAAATTTTATTGTGAAGGGTAAATTATTAATTTGTAATAGTAGTACACTTATTTTTACTAGTTACTCATAATAACTAATTATAATAAATCTTCACATTATGAATTATTTTTATTATACAATAATACAACATATGAAATAATATATAAAAATATTTTAAAAGAATAGTTATTTAGAATTGGACCTAAGTTCACGTTTAACGAAGAAGCTAGGTATGACGTGCCTGGAACGAGACATTTGCCAAACCACTGGAAATGAATGCTATATTCTTGTTTGATAAATCAAATGTCTTTCTATTCCATTGGGAAGACGCAGGAAACCTCGAGAATCCTCTCCATACTTTCATCCTCTTTCAATCTCTTCTCCGTTTCACCCTCTTGTATCCAACCCCGACTGCTGTATCATTCATTTGCCACACAACGAATCCCTCACCACAACCCTTTTACCTCACTCCACGCCCAAGACGAATCATTTTCTTTATCACCATCCAATCACTACTGTTACGCTTCCCTACTTGAGTCTTGTATCTCAGTCAAGGCGTTAAGGCCTGGGAAACAACTCCATGCCCGATTATGTCAACTGGGTATTGCTTACAATCAAGATTTGGCCACCAAACTAGTTAATTTTTACAGCGTTTGTAACTCTCTGCGGAATGCCCATCAGCTGTTCGACCAAATTCCCAAAGGGAATTTGTTTCTCTGGAACGTCTTGATTCGGGCTTATGCGTGGAATGGGCCCCACCAGGTTGCCATTTCACTCTACCACCAGATGCTTGAGTATGGGCTCAAGCCCGATAATTTCACTCTCCCATTTGTTCTCAAAGCTTGCTCTGCACTCTCCACAGTTGGAGAGGGAAGGGTCATTCACGAGCGTGTGATACGAACTGGGTGGGAGAGAGATGTGTTTGTAGGTGCAGCTCTTGTTGACATGTATGCCAAGTGTGGTTGCGTGGTGGATGCCCATCACGTGTTTGATAAAATTGTTGAAAGAGATGCTGTGTTATGGAACTCCATGCTGGCAGCTTATGCTCAAAATGGACATCCTGACGAATCTCTTTCTCTATGCCGCGATATGGCGGCAACCAGTGTAAGACCCACCGAGGCAACTCTAGTCACTGTGATTTCATCTTCAGCTGATATTGCCTGTCTTCCTCATGGAAGGGAGATCCATGGATTTGGTTGGAGACATGGGTTTCAATCCAATGACAAGGTCAAAACTGCTTTGATAGACATGTATGCAAAATGTGGTTCTGTAAAAGTTGCTTGTATCTTGTTCGAGCTGCTTAGGGAGAAAAGGGTTGTATCTTGGAATGCAATTATTACTGCCTATGCGATGCATGGTCTTGCTGTTGAAGCTTTGGACTTGTTTGAGAGAATGAGGGAAGAGGCTCAGCCAGATCATATAACCTTTGTTGGAGTTCTTGCAGCTTGCAGCCGAGGGCGTTTGCTTGATGAAGGGCGAGCACTGTACAACTTGATGGTGAGGGATTACTGTATCAACCCCACTGTTCAACACTATACATGCATGGTTGATCTGCTTGGTCACTGTGGTCAACTGGATGAGGCATATGATCTTATAAGACAAATGGACGTAACGCCAGATTCTGGTGTATGGGGTGCTATGCTGAATTCATGCAAAACCCATGGAAATGTGGAGTTAGCAGAGGTGGCTTTGGAGAAACTAATTGAGCTTGAACCCGAAGACTCTGGCAATTATGTGATTTTGGCTAACATGTATGCCCAATCAGGTAAGTGGGAAGGAGTTGCTAGATTGAGGCAGTTAATGATAGATAAAGGAATAAAGAAAAACATTGCTTGTAGCTGGATTGAAGTGAAGAACAAGGTGTATGCATTTCTTTCTGGAGATGTTTCACATCCAAATTCTGGTGCAATATATGCAGAGTTGAAGAGGTTAGAAGGACTAATGCGAGAAGCTGGGTATGTCCCTGATACAGGATCTGTATTCCACGATGTGGAGGAAGATGAGAAGACAGACATGGTGTGCAGTCACAGCGAAAGACTCGCCATTGCATTTGGACTCATAAGTACATTGCCAGGAACCAGGCTTTTGATTACAAAGAATCTTCGAATTTGTGAGGATTGTCATGTTGCAATCAAGTTCATCTCGAAAATCACGGAGAGGGAGATAACTGTGAGAGACGTCAATCGCTATCATCATTTCAAGCATGGACTGTGTTCATGTGGTGATTATTGGTGAAGAAGCTTTTCTAAACCTCACAAAATGTCATTCACTACAATTTTTAAACTTAAAGTAAATGACATTTCATGAGATAAAAACCATATTGAGGATTTAGAAAAATTAGGAATTAAAGTGTTCGGTATCTACAGTTTATTAATTTCAGTGGCTAATATTAGAGTCTCAGTTTTGACGAGTAATTTCAATGTGCAAAATGAATTTATTCTTTCTCCAAAGGATGCTTTGACTTACCAGCTTAGGCAGTGATAATCATTGCGCTCTTCTTCCAAACATTATCCTTTAGTAATTTTAAGATCATATTTTATTCATTAGGTTTTGCGATCAATCAAAAGCATTGGCCTAAGAAAGAAAATATCGTTTGATAATAACCTAGTTATAATAATTTTATTGTTATATTATTATAAATAGATTATCAAGTAATTGTTTTTTAAAGTTTAGTTGTCAAGGTATCGTTAGGAGCTAGTTGTTTCAGCTAGTGTTTTTTAATTCCTCATCTGTTTTCACTTCTCCGAATGTTAAAAACAAAAGATACATAGCACTTTCATATCTGTTGTGACATAGTATATGGAGTTTCTACTGTAAGATATTATGAACTCATAGTATATGGAATCTCTTAATCATGCTTCCTTAAAAATTGAATTTTGTGTATTTTTTATGTTTGAAAACGAGACTCAGAGTCATGTCTCAAGAATTGGAACGGAATAAAAAAATGTTATCCATTTACATATTCAAAATTTAAATGTTCATTCTTGAACAGTAATGTAGTTTGAATTTTTATTTTATTCCATCAAAACAATATTACTTAATATTTCCAATACAAAGTAATTTTAAATTCCAAAATTTGATAGACCCAATAAAATGAAAAACTATTGTTCACACATGAAATGGTTGTATTTTGATTCTAATAACTCTTTCAGGTTTTTAGCGTCATTTAAAATAATCTTATTTCAGTCCTTTCTTGGATTCCATTAGTGATGACCTATTCCTATTTTCTACCCTATTGAACCCTGCGAATTTGAAGTTACTAACTATCTATCTATCTACAAATCACGCCCACCCTGGTCGCCAAAATACGTAAGAAAAATAAAATAAAAAGAAAAGAAAGTAGGGATAAAAACGACAGCGTTGCATTTGCCCCCAACCCAACGCGCGAGGAGAAGAAACCTTTAGAATCGCGTTGGAGGAAGATCTGGCGTCCCTCGCATAGCATTAGTTTTGCAGAGCTCATAAAATCGAACGTCCATTCCCGCGTTTCCGCAACGCCATTCTCTGTTTCACGTCTTTTCACCAACAACTTTTCTCTCTTTTCGATGATTCAATTGTATTGTAGGTGAAGCTTCGTAATAATTCAACTATGAGCTCCACCACTTCCAAAGCCACGTCCCCGATTTGATTCCTGGATCCAACGCATCCATTAAGGTTCGCCTCGCGCCTTTCACTATTGATCTCACCGCTCACCAACTCAATCTCTCTGCATTCATCTCTTCCTTTGCAATTATCCGATTTCAGATTTACGTCACGTTTCCCTTTTTCTTTTCTCCATTCAACCCGATGAATGGTTTTGTTAGATGCATAGCTGTTTGTCGGTGTTGTACGGTGCATGAATTGAATTCCACCGCCTTTTCTTTTTTGCAATTGATACTTATCTGATGTTACACTGTTGATGCTTTTTTTGGGATCCGGGATTGGAATAGAGTAGGAATTGAGGTGGCGTTTTGAATTGGTGATGCGCTTCACGCTTCTGCTTTGTTTTGGTTTGTAGCTTTCGCGATGGCGTGGTTTAGTGGGAAAAAATCATGGGGGAACTTCCCCGATTTGGCGGGAGCCGTCAATAAGCTTCAGGAGAGTGTGAAGAATATTGAGAAGAATTTTGATTCCGCTCTTGGCTTCGAAGAGAATGCTGAGTCCAGCAATGAAGGTACTTAATTCCAGTTCCTAGCAATTCTCTTTGTTTTCTGAATGGATTTCTCTGTTGTGTGTGAATTTTATTATTGAGGTAGATGCGAAGTTCATTAACTGTTTTGAGATTTGAGTTTTGAATTGTTGGATGGGATGTGTTTGCTCTATGTGTAGATTTCTCAGTTTTGACACTGATTGGAGCTATATCCTCTGTTTTTTGAATTACAGCTGCAGGACCATGGCCTATATCTACTGACAGGAAAGCCCTATTTAATCCTGTCATGGCCTTTATTGGAAACAAAAGTGAGGAATCTACGGAAGAAATGTCTGAAAAAGATGAATCCTCTCAACAAGAGTCTGAAACTGAGAAGTCAGCAGAAAAGCCTGAGTCTCTGGATCATACACTCGTGGATGTAGGAAAAAAATCCCTTGAAACTGATAATGAAGTCCATGTGAAAGCTGATGAAACCACTGCTCAAGAAGAAAATAAGGAAGAAGATGGTGAGCATACAGAATCAGCAGCAGATGGAATAATTGCACAGAATTTGGATCATGGAAAGGATGAACAGCACTTACTGGAGATGCCTGTTGAATTGCCTGAATCTCCTGTTGAGAAGTTTGAGAGTTCAGATTCCGTTGACCATTCTCAAGAGAAAGAGATTGCCGATGTGGAAACCTCTGTGAGTCCAGTGTCGATGCAACTCATGCCTCCTAGTCTTGCTGACAAAGTAGTTGATGGTGTTATTAGTGAGACAAGTGATGGGCGTGAAACTTCTCAAGTTGAGACACAAGACGAGAGTAAAGAAGAGAGGGAGCAAGCAGAAGAAAGTGTAAAGAGAGTATCTTCTGCTCAACATGGGGCATCAGGTGATGGTGAGAAAAGATATGATACGAACACTTCTGTTCTACAATCTGTAGCTTCTAAGGAAGTCGGTAACTTTGATCAGTCAAATATTGAACAGTTGTCAAGTGCTTCTCCACGAAATGAATCTTCTAAGGTGGTAACTGAAGTGGTTTCATCTGAAAATGAAACAACTGCAAATGAAAATGAAAGTGACCACTTTGCCCATGATGTTGAAACTGGTATGAAAGAGCATCATATGAGTACTGAAAGAACTATGTCTGACTCTGGCTCCATGATTGAACTAGAGAGGGTCAAAAGGGAGCTGAAAATGATGGAGGCTGCACTACAAGGTGCTGCAAGACAGGCTCAGGTATTTCATTTAGTGCATGTTATCATGGCAGAGACAAAAGCTTTTGTATACACATTCATTTTTGTTGCAAGTATCTCCAAATATAAAAGATTTAAACGCCACATTATCTGTAGGTAGCCTTTGTCTTGCTTGGTCTCTTGTACTTTTTGTCTTGGTTAGGGCCCATGTGTTTGAGGAACTAAGCTTTTTTCTTGGACAATATATATTTTGCAAAGTTTCTCTTACATAAACCAAAAATCATGAAGATTATTCGGTGGTGTAAAAATAGTTAAGTTTCTAATTCACTTTGTCATAAACAAATTTTCTTGGTCTTTTTTAACTGATTGAAAACCGAACATAACGAATTATTTCCTTTTAGTATCAGGAATGAAAGCATTTTCGTATTCATTTTTTTAGGAGATTTTAGTCTGAAAAGTGAAAACTATGATGAACGATGTCATGGTGTCTAGATAGACTTTGTCTGGATAAGAAGTTTTCTGTTGGCTCATTGCCCTTTTTTTTTCTTGGTTAAGGCCTAATATATATATATATATATATATATATATATATATCTTTTTTTTTTTTCCTGAAACCAGATGTTTTGCCTGGCTTGTTGTGCATTAAAGATAATCAGGACAGATATAGTGTAAAAGTGAATTCTAATTCACTTTTTTTATAAATATGCTTTCTTGCCCCTCTACACCCCTCTAATCAGCCACAATAAGCTACAATCTTCCGACATTCTTTAATGGCTAAAGGTCATTCAACCTAATGTTTCATTATATTCAAGAAGTTCCATATGATTATACTCCTCTTCTATATGCTTTTTTGTGGCCATTATAATGTTGCATATCTTATCACGTTGTCATAATATTGGTTCTCTTTGCAGGCTAAAGCTGATGAGATTGCGAAATTGATGAATGACAATGAACAATTAAAAGCCGTGGTGGAGGATTTCAAGGTACGTTTACTTTTTCAATGCCTAGTTGTAGCTTTGTGCCATATTTGATTTAATATAGCTTTTTATTGGTACCTCCTGAACCTTTCGACTATTTGTCATGTCATCTATGCATTCACACCTGTCCATATTTCTTGCATATGTAGCATTGGAAGTGAAACATGGATCCTAGTTGGCACTTCGATGACATGATCTTGCAATGACATTATATAGCTAATGGATTGGCTAACTAAGTGACCAAAATGGAATATAAACTACTATCAGGAAAAAGTAAAAGTCAAAGGATGTTTATTTGTCAATGAGAGATGGTGTCGTTTAGTAGACATTTTCTTTAAGCATAAAATGTAGTTTTTCTTCCTTGATTCAGCTTGTGTCAGCAGTTCTAGTTGGATAAAAATAATTGAAGATGAATTGTTTTACATGTAGTGTTTAGTTTATATTGTCTGTGCTGTAATTTTGTGGATATTTCCCTTTATGTGTGGCGTACCAGTTTTCCTTTGCACATCTTTAATACTTTGGTGTTGTTGTAAGTTAATTAGCACATGTTACTGTTCCCTATTATTTCTCATTTTATTCTGTGTTGTTCACTGCTGCATCCATTTCCTTTCAAATATTTATATTTCATTGCTGATAATTGTGGAACAGAGAAAATCCAATGAGGCAGAAGTTGAGTCTTTGCGAGAGGAATACCATCAGAGAGTTGCAACTCTTGAGAGAAAGGTATCACTTGCGGAAATCTTATTTGTATTTTGTGCTTATTTATCAGTAGTATAACTCAGATGCATAATTAAAAACTTGTGTATAGTCTGTACAATGTAGTTCTGGTTGATTTTTTTCATCATAGAAACTAACCTAGTACGGCACAAATGGCAAAAGTACTATTAAGCCTCACATGTTTTCTTTTGCATGCTTAGTTTGCATTTCAGATGTTCTCAAGTCTCTTGTCATACGAGTGCATGGCTGGCACAGATCCCATATAGGTTGCAGAGTCTGTCTTTCTTTTGAGGGACGAAATTTCTCTTAATACTATTAGGGATCACTTATATGCCATGAAGAACCAACTCTGACACGGTTACCAGGAAATGACTAATATCCAAAATATAGGACAGAGGGCCTCTGCTTGAATATATAATTAACCTGACAAAAATCTCAATTAAGAATTAAGATGTATATAATTCATATTGTACATAATTTACAGTTTTCATGCAATTACAGTCGTCACTAGAAACATATCACTTAATGGTTAAAATATCTACTGATGTTCTATGAAAACAAACCTCGCAAAAATAAAAAACAAAAGTTTAGTTTAGCAATATTCATAATATATATTTATTTTTTCTTTTTTATTATAGCAGTTTCTAGGAAGTGTTTAGTCAAATATAGGTGTCTGCTCACTCTCTTTAGTTGTGATAGAGAGGTGTCTAATGTATATCATGGAGGTGTATGAGCTGAAATATTGTGCTCCGATTGAGCGGTGTTGGACACGTGTCGAAGATGTGTTCGAACAAGTGTTATGTCTAAAAAATGTCGGAGTGTCGGTGCTTCCTAGATCATATGCTTTATTGAGAAGCAATGCTTGACTTATGGTTTGATATTGCTGTTCCATTTTTTATGGATACCAATAAATTTGTGCACTATTAGTGAATTTGTTAAACAAGAAGTTTCCATGGAAGCAAAGGGAATATATTATAATTTCAATATTATAACGTGAGCATCTAAAGCATTGGGGATTGGTGTTAGAAATTCATTTTCAGTATGAAAGAGGATTATTCGGTATTATGAATGTTTTAAAGTGCTTGCTACCTAGTTTCAGCTAGTTTTTATGGGATTTTATAATTTTTTAGTGTTTAATTGCAGGTTTACGCTCTCACTAAGGAAAGGGATACACTTCGTCGAGAGCAGAGTAAGAAAAGTGATGCAGCTGCTCTCTTGAAAGAAAAGGATGAGATAATTACTCAAGTTATGGCAGAAGGTACTGCAGTCTGAAATTAAACCTGAATATGTATCATCCAGGCTCTGGTGGCACAGAGTCATTTTTTTGTTATTATTGTCTCTTTAGGGTTGACTGTATGGTGTGGTTTCTTTAGTGACAAAATCTGTAGTGCTAAACTATTCATTAGGATACTTTGGATTTCTTTAACATGGATATTCATAGTTATTAGAATAATAAATGCTCTGTAAACACCTTTAATCAGACTTGCCATTTTATGTTTTGAATGATTGTATTTAATTAATGCAATTGTTGTGGCGTCTACTTTGGTGTGTTCAATGATGGCATTGGAAAGTGATATCATGTCAGCTTGACACTTCAGCATGGGATCTACAATTATACAAGAAAATATTTGATTAAATGTAGTTTCAAATTTATACTTAGAGATTTAGTTATTTCCCTTAAATGGACATCTGGTTCTTACTCAGCACCCTTGTATACCTTTATTGTTTGGCTTGGTGGAAAGCTTTGAACATTGTCTATAGGAGAGCAAGAGGATAAAATTGTGGAAGGCTTATGCTACATTATAAAATTTTGTATGTGAGTTGTTACTTTTTATTGTTTTGGTTGGAAATTAATAATTTCATCTGAAGGGGTTTTCGGTTGTAATTAAAAAGTTTCTCCATTGAAGCACGGTAGTGGTTTACTTAGTGGAGATTATAGAGGCCCTTTCTTCATATTAGGCTGTCTCTCATCTCAGGTGAAGAGCTTTCCAAAAAGCAGGCTGCTCAAGAATCCACAATTAGGAAACTAAGGGCTCAGGTATCTTTCAGACTATTTGTTGTATTTCCCACAATCTTCAACTTTTTATTTACCTACATATTGTTATAAATCTTTTAATTACATTTTTTATGAAAGCTAGATTAGAGATCTTGAGGAGGAGAAGAAAGGTTTGACTACTAAACTTCAGGTAATGGGATAATTCTGAAAGCATTATTAGAAGTTATATTTGCTGGTGGAATTTTTGAATGAATTCTCTTCATTGATCATGGAATCTAGGAATCAGAAATTTCTCTTCGTAGTTCAATTATAAAAGCCCCATCTTACTGTTTATTGTTGTGTGCGACTGTGGAGTTGTGGAAAATCCTCTATATATCTTTAGAATTGTCATTCTTTTTTGGGGTAGCATGGATTGACAATCCTCATATTTACTAGTACTTTTAATTGAAATTGTTCTTTGGTTAATGTTATGCAAACCAGGTAGAGGAGAATAAAGTAGAAAGTATCAAGAGGGACAAGACAGCTACAGAGAAGTTGTTGCAAGAAACAATAGAAAAACATCAAAATGAAATTGCAGCACAGAAAGAATATTATACAAATGCTTTGGCTGCTGCTAAGGAAGCTGAAGCATTAGCTGAGGCTCGTGTGAACAATGAAGCAAGAACTGAGCTAGAAAGTCGTCTGAGAGAAGCTGAGGAACGTGAATCTATGCTAATACAGGCACTCGAAGAATTGAGGCAAACATTAAGTAGAAAGGAGCAACAGGTTTCTGTTGTATTTTCTGTAATTTTATTTTGAGTTTTTCAGGATGCTATTTTTCAGTATTAATATTTTCTTCATCCAATTTCAGGCCGTCTTCAAAGAAGACATGCTTCGCAGGGACATTGAGGATCTTCAAAAACGTTATCAGGTCTTGTCTCTACTTGTCTTTCTATTATTTTACTTTCTGTGAATGTTAAAAGTAAGTTTTAGCCACTTAATTTGGGTTTTTGGTAGTTTTTATAGTTTGATTGAATTTTTTAGGCAAGTGAAAGACGTTGTGAGGAACTGATTACGCAAGTTCCAGAGTCCACAAGGCCACTTTTAAGACAAATTGAAGCCATGCAGGTTAATACACATTGGAATCAAAATTACTCTTTGTTCTGTTTTTTTTTTTTTTGTTCAATGGGATCTGTACTATACTAGAATTCACTTTATAACAGGAAACAAATGCCAGGAGAGCTGAAGCTTGGGCTGCTGTTGAAAGAACTCTCAATTCTCGACTTCAGGTTAGTAGAATACTTTCTGAATTTAATTTTAGAAACTTTCCCACTGGATATTATTGTATTTCTCCATCTTTTTCTATGGATCCCACAGGAAGCTGAGGCTAAAGCTGCAACTGCAGAGGAAAGAGAGCGATCAGTGAATGAACGTTTATCTCAGACCTTGTCTCGAATTAATGTCCTTGAGGCTCAGGTTTTGTAATTACACCGGTGAAATAACATGTTTAAGGGCAATTTCGTGTATAGTGACTTACTTTTTGTTTTAATAATGAATTACAGATTTCCTGTCTTAGAGCAGAACAGACTCAATTAAGTAGGACCCTTGAAAAGGAGAGGCAAAGGGCGGCTGAAAGTAGGCAGGAATATCTTGCAGCAAAGGAGGAAGCTGACACTCAAGAAGGTCGTGTGAGACAGCTTGAGGAAGAGATTAGAGACATTAGACAGAAATACAAGCAAGAGTTACAGGAGGCGTTGATACATAGAGAGCATCTTCAGCAGGTAGAGCTTTCTGACTATGGACATCAAATATAGCATTGTGAAATATGTTACATAAAGCTCTTGGTTTCACCTCCCATTAAAATTTCTTTCCTTCCTCATTCTGTAGGTAATGGAATTACCAGCCAAAGAGATATATTTGGTTTCATACTGCATGATCTTCTGTAAAAAATTTACAAAAGAATGTCAACTTGATTTTATTGTGGACATTTCAACATTATATGGATTATTAAAGAATTAAATGTTAGCAAGGTGATGTAGAACATTTGGGCAAATTATGGAACAGAAACGATGCATAAAAAATGAAAAAAAAATTGCATGGGTATTGAATTACATGTCTCGTTAGAACCTGTGTGATTTTTTATTTTTTATTTTTGCAAGATTCTGAGTTAAGCTCTTCATTTTTTCCAGGAGATAGAAAAAGAAAAAGCTGCTCGAGCAGAGCTGGAGAGAACTGCACGTGCTAATTCTGCTCCATTATCAAATCAAACTACCACTACAAAGCTAACTTCTGCTTTTGAAAATGGTGTGATGCTCTGCTTCTATTTACATCACTAGGCTAGTTGTCTGTGATATATGCTATAATATTCTTTATGATGTAGGGAACCTGTCTCGGAAAATCTCTAGTGCAAGCTCTCTAGGAAGCTTGGAAGAAAGCCACTTTCTGCAAGCATCGTTGGACTCATCTGATAGTATTTCTGAGAGGAGAAACCCAGGAGAAGTAAGCATGAGTCCTTACTATGTCAAAAGCATGACACCCAGTTCTTTTGAAGCTGCACTTCGTCAGAAGGAGGGTGAACTTGCTTCATACATGTCACGCCTGGTATGTCTTCATTCCCTGTAAATATTTGGCACCATACCTTCAGGTTCATAGCTCTACATTTATTTGTCACTGAGAACTTAACATCAAGCAATAGAATTTATAGTTTATAACTAATATAATTTATATTAAGCTGTTGGATCATGGGACAGTAATCTGGATGACCCTTTTGTTTGGGATACAATAATGAGTTCTTTTATTAATAAACTTCCAGGCATCACTGGAATCTATTCGCGATTCTCTTGCTGACGAGTTGGTCAAAATGACAGAACAGGTGAATTTTGCTTCCTGTGTACCAGTTATCAGTCTGGTTCCTCATCATTAACCATGACATGCATATCATATTCACCCTGCAGTGTGAAAAGTTGCGTGGGGAGGCTGCTGTATTACCTGGCTTACGATCAGAGCTAGAAGCACTAAGGAGGAGGCACTCTGCTGCTTTGGAATTGATGGGTGAACGTGATGAAGAGGTAATTCTCACTTTGCCAACCTCTACTTTCTTCTAGGACTAATTTCTTAGACATAATTTGGTTTTTGGATTCCTGACTAGTGGCCTGCCTATTCTCTTATATAAGGAAATCACTGCAATCCTATAAAATTCTGGAGTAGCTCATTCTTAAGTTTGTTTGAATTTAATTTTTCGTGTGTTTGAAATACTTTTGAGCCCATACAAGGTTATGGGACTACTGAAATTATGCTCCTTCTTCCAGAAAATCTCAGAAATCAAATGAAAGAAAAACGCAAGACAAGCTAGACCAAAAATAAACCAAAACTGTCATGTTTCCTTTTATTTATCTACTTTTATAGTGGAAAGTTATCAAGTTTTTACTTTTTTTCTAAAATATTTTCAATGTGTTTAGCTGGAGGAACTTCGTGCGGATATTGTAGACTTGAAGGAAATGTACAGAGAACAAGTGAATTTGCTTGTTAATAAGGTATTATAAGTTGGATCTTTTACTCTTAGATGCCCAAGTTTTTTTTTAGTCACATTTCACAGAATGCTTAACCGTATATTTTATCCATATATTTGGATTTATAACCGTAATGTGTCTGTCTACAGATCCAGACTATGAATCCATCATTGGATAGCGACTAGTTTGGGTGAAGAAAGGGCTTGGGGAACGGAAAAGGGTAGTATTCAGTAACACTATTTGAGGTGGTCATGACATGACCATGTCTCTGGGCAGCGTGTGATGTACATTGGCAGAGTGATAATATATTGGAGAATAATGCCTTGGGCCTCTGGAGAATGATTCGTTCAGATCAGGTCAGGTCTTCCATCGGAAATATATATTTTGTTTGCTGGGCAATAGATACTGATCACCCATGTCAAGGGAATGTTGTATAGGCCGTTTTTTACACCGCATTCATACTTGGAGAGATCCACAGAATATTCTTGCTGAGTTTGTTGACAATATAGGGTCTTTTTTCTCCCCAAGTGTGTGTAAACGTTCCAATAAACAAAAGGGAAGCGCTAGCTAAAACAAGTTCTTTGTTTTTACTGCTATATTTTTCTTTATTACTGAATGAATTTTGTATGGGTTTTATTTTAAATTTTGGTTCATTATCTATAATTGAAAGAGACTTTAATACGTTATTAAGTGTACTACTAATAGTCAAAAAAAGCACTTTGCTAATATGAAATATTCTTTACACGGTTCAATATTTGGTTATGAACAACAAGAAATCAAACACTTCGGAAATTGAGGTCTTATATTTAAATACAAATAACATGTTAAAAGTAAAAAAAAAAAAATCACAATAATGTAAATTTTTAGGCGTGTTAATTAAAAATTACATTATATATGAATACTCCTTTCCCATTTAAACTTACTACATAATTTTTTTTTTTAAGTTTTCCATTACTAGTCATTTTTTATTAGTCTACTGCATCATTGATCAATATAAAATTTTATATAACTTTTACGAAATTATAAAAGTTCAATAAATTTATCATATACAACCATTTGTAATTGGATAGTAAGATAAAACCTTTTACCCTGATAGGGTATGCATTATTTTTTTTTATTGAGAATTAAAATGGTTAAATTAAAAAATTGACCATATATTCGTCAAATACTTTTATGTAACTACAAAATCAATTAATTTATCATATAGGACCATTTATAACTGGATAACAATTTAAAATTTTTTAGACTAATGATATATGCGTCTTTCATACTTGGATTTACTTCAATCTTTATAAAAGAAATACACTTTTTTAAGTGTTCTTTCAAAATATATTACACGAACGATTTTGAGATGTTCGCACGAAATATGCTTGTTTTAGCAAATGATCAGTTCAGGATATTATAACAGTCTACTTAGAATTAATTATGAAAATGATAAAAAAAATTGTGCACACGAAAATAATTATATATATATATATATATATATATATATATATATATATATATATATATATATATATATCAACAAGTATAATAACAATTATCACATACCTTAATGAAATAATAATAATATGAGTATCAAAGTTTTAACTTTTATGAAGTATATACATCCTACAATTACTTCTAAACTCTATCCTAATTAACGTTCCCTAGACTTCAATTCTAGCCAACAATATATGTAGAGCAAATGAATGACTGATTTTTGTTAAAAAAAAACGGAAAACACTCGAACAAATTGAGATTGCTTTTCTTCAACGGGAAAAAAAACCTAGGTGATCCATAACAGCGCCCCAAAGCATGCATAGGCCTAATTTCATCTCCACATTTTGGCATAAAAAAATAGTTGAAAATATATGATATTTATAAAATTAAAATATATGAGATCATTTTTTTAATTCTATCAAATCCTGTTAGAAGAGTATAATAACGGAAAGTATATGAATAATTAAATTTTGTCAACGTAAACGTAAAAGATGAGAAAGAAGATCACATTATACTTTAAAAAAAAAATATATATATATATATATATAATTTATTTTAAAAATAAGAATTATAGATTAAATTTTTATTTTTAATATTACTTTTTAATAATTTAATAATCTAAAATAATATCTTATCTTGTATAAAATTATTTTTTCTTTTATGATCATGATTCATCTAATAATATATTTTTCCTCTTTCTCCTTTCAAAGTTATCCTTACGCCTGGTTTGAAAGACTGACGCGTCTGCAAAATCCGCTGAAATAACGACTTACAAAGCAGTACAGGCTGAAGTGAAGACACATTCACATTATGTTTTTGAAGTTGAACCTTGTTAAGAGGTGATCCATTGACCCAAAAATAGAAGGAACACATGCTTGCAATGCATTGCATTGCATGATTTCATTGAATATCATTAGTCAACTTGTGCAAAACCTTCGAAATGGTACATTATTGTCACCACAAGTTGATTGTACATTTTACTTTAGCAGCATATTTTCTGAAGAGAATGTGTTGAGTTGTTTATTTGACTTGACTTTTGCGTATATTAAGATGTCAGTGCGTGTACTTACTTTGGTGTCAATCATTCCGGCTATTAGATCCAAAATCTGGTTTGCTTACATCCCTTTCTCTATGACTTTCAAAGTCTACTTCCATCTAGTTGTCCATGTTCAATCATACCATCAAACTTCTTTCAAAGTTTTTTAATATATTTTTATCAATTGGATGAAGGACACACGAATTTCTTGTCATGGACGAATAAAAGTTGAATTGTCCAATACCCACTGGCCTTCCAAATTCCAATAATCCGTTGAAAATTTTATATCAGCAGAGGCTATAGTTTCATTTATTTATATATTCATAAGTCCAGCAGCATTTGCAAAACAAGCTGATTCTGCTATTGGTTTAATTCTGGGCTTCTTTCAGTGTTGGCTTATTTGTCAGAACTTCTCAAGAAAATAAAAAAAAAGGTGAGATGCAGGCCAAGGAGGATCAGAATATTCAACAGAATGAAGCTGTTGGTTCAATTGCTCCAAGATATGAATCTGATACAATTCAGCCAATAGGGAGTCCATGGAGCACTGGACTATTTGACTGTCATGAGAATCAGACAAATGGTAATATCTACTCTAGTTTAAATTTTTTAAATAAGTTATATAGCTAGTTTACCCGTTTAAACTAGTTCTAGAAAGATAACCTCAGTGAAGTTAGTGGCACTATGAGAACTTTCATATTTCCTGTAACTTTTCTTATGAAATTTTTTATCATACAAAATCCACATAAAAATCTAGAAGTGATAGCATCAATGAAGGCTTACAATTGTACGTACAATGTTGTTTGATGACTTTAATCTATAAGCCAGTCTCCAGAGGCTAAGCCAAGATGAGAGTCTTACTTATTCCTTAAGCAACTTCTGTTCAAGAACAGAGCTGAGTTGATGCTTACTTGAGCAAAATTGCACTTTATGCAATGAGTTTGTGCTAAGACACAGAAGGGAAATCTAGAAAATAGGAATGAGTTAATTATCCTTTCATTTGTTCTTATCTTGAAAATTAGAAATAATTAGCTATCTTTTTCATTTATCTTTATTTGTCTTATGAAATATGCAGTATGGTTGATCTAATTATATATACCTTTTATTTTGTTTGGCAGCTGTTATGACATCATTTTTCCCATGTGTAACATTTGGACAGATAGCAGAAATATTGGATGGTGGAGAACTTAGTAAGAACCCCTAACCCCTAACCCTTAGAACACCAGTATTCGTTTCTCAACAATTTTTTCACTCTTGGATATAATTTCATCTGCGTCATTTTAGAATTCAAATATGAATAAGAGTTTAATAAAATTGAACAAATTGATTTCAGGTTGTCATCTGGGGAGCTTCATTTATCTGTTAATGATGCCTGCTTTGTGCTCTCAGTGGATAATGGGGTCAAAGTACAGAACAAAGTTGAGAAAGAGGTATAATTTGGTGGAAGCTCCATATACGGACATAGTCTCTCACATCTTTTGTCCATGCTGTTCCCTTTGTCAAGAGTTCAGAGAGCTACAAATTAGAGGACTTGACCCTGCTCTTGGTAATTGACCTCCTTCCTTATATTATACTCATTCATTTTTACGTTCTTAATTATTTGCTGATATAATTTATTCCAATTTGCTTGCAGGGTGGAATGGCATTCTTGCACAAAAGCATGCAAAACAGCAAAGTGATCAAACATTGAAGAATCCTCCTTCAAACCAATTCATGTCCAAGTGAACATTTCTTCATATGGTGGAGATGTTAAAATCAAATTGAATTGTATTTCTTTTTACTCGTTGGTGCTTGTAGCTGAATTATAAGAATGAAAATAAAGCCTCAAGTTATTGCAAGATGCAACTGCCAAATATTTTATTCATGAATGCAACGGTCAAAAGACAGTTTATTTTATATAGGTACTACAATACAAAGTGGATGATCATTAAAAAAGAAGTTACAATATCTAAATTATGTATGTCTCTTGTTTTGGTAGTGAAGGACTTTATTTTGCTATCAGACCAACATGACTATTAATTATAAGTGAATAATTATTGGGATTCATTACATTGCCTCTTGTTGATCATGAACTCTATGCCCTCTTTCTTCCTTCTTCGAGGCTGCTTCAGCACTAGGGCCATAAGCCCAACTGCAAACCAAATAGTAGAGTATATTAACAGCACTCATTATGGCAAGAAGCCAATAATACTTGTCATAGTGACCCTTGTTAATGTTATCTGAAACCCAACTCTGTTTACCACCTTTGGAAGTAATGTTATCCACAATGCTCACTATGAGAGAAGCCACCAAGTTTCCCACAGCTGATCCTAGGCTGAATAGAGATGCGGCAATGCTTGACATGCTGCTTGGAAACTCTGAGTAATAGAACTCTGATTGCCCTATGGCATTAAAGGCTTCTGCTATGCCACACAAGATATTATGTGGGATAAGCCACATTGCAGACATCTCCAATACTGCATCAGGATTATCAATATACCCCTCCCTTATTGCTTTCTTCCTCCTTATACTCTCAACAACTGCTGAAGTCACAAAATCCAAAAAGGAGAAGAAGAGTCCAATGCCTATTCTCCTTTTGGCACTGATGGTTACTGGTTTTCCTCTCACTTTTGAAGCTAGAGGAAGGATGACACGGTCATAGACGCCCGCAGTTATGCACACTGCAAATATCATGAATACACCGAAAGAGCCTGCTGGAATTTGGAAGTTTGAAGTGACATGTCTGTTCATGGTTTTAGCTTGGAGCAACCAAAGTGATGTTTGGCTTGTGCTAACTGCCACCATGATACCGGTTGACCAAATAGGAATAACTTTAATTATCGCCTTTAGTTCTTCCACTTGCTCTATTGTGCAAAGACTCCATTTATTTGAAGCTGACCCATCAGAGGCTATATCCTGTTCTCTGTCTTTGATGATGCAAGCTTTGTTTAGAAACCTATAAAAGTAAGAATCACCTAAGTCAATTATTGTTTTGAAATGATTAGATAAAATTCTCATATGTACTTTTGTGGGAAGAAAATAAAATAAATTAAACTTCTTGTTTTAACTTGTACACTTCATCATTTAAAGTTAAACAAGAAAATCAATTTATTTTACATTCTTATTTTCTTCTTTAGCAAGTACATGCTGACAACAAGTTTATCAGATCATCAAACTCAAGGTCATTAAGGAAATTATTGTTTTTACTTTCAACCTTAGTTTATCAGTTGGAGCAATAAGGTTTGAGTTTTGGTTATGGTGATACATGCCATTGCCAGTGAAGTCCTTAGGTGGAAATGAAAGCTTTCTGTTTTTGTAGGCAACGAAAAGCACTTGGGCAAAGCCAGAGATCAAGCTGTTGTGTGGTTTCTGCTTCACATAACGTGGGGAAATGAGGAAGAAGGAGAAAGTAGACAGGAGCATAAGTGCTGCTGGAACTCCAAAACCCACTTTCCATCCGAAATGGTCTTGTATGTAAACTATTCCCGTCAAGGAAAAAACGACAGCAATGGCTTGAGAAGCTATGTACCAACTTATGAAGCTCTCTAAGACCCTCTGATTGTTGGGTTTGTTTTTTTGGTTAAGTTGATCTGCACCAAATGCCAAGGAGCATGAGATGCCACCACCTCCAATGGATATGAGAGCAAAGCAAGAGAGTAGGATAGCCATTTGGGGTGTTGTTGCGGATCCGCAGTTTTCAGTTGAGTGGCTGCATGGCCTTGCCTCTGGGATCATGGCTGTTAACCACATCGCTGCCATTCCCTGTAAAATTTCCCTCAGATTCAATACAATTTCCTTCAACTATATTCTATAATCTCATTTTCTCAGTGTGACTAAGTGACTTTCATACAAACCACTTTTAGATACATTTACGTTGACTACATAAACACATAAATGCATGGCTATATTATCTTACTTAAATCTAACTGAAACTTAAGTAAGACACACTCAACACACTGTTACATATTTCGGACTGGAGCTTTCCTTAAGGATGTACACAGTATAATCAAGTAAAAGTCTGCACAAATGAAAATGGAAAAAGTATATACAACTCAGTGGCATGAAATTGTAATTAGAATTGATGAGATGTTATTAGTCCTATGACCTTATCTGTTATTTAATGGTGACGAAGAATATATGTTTTTAATTTTGTTATTGTAAATGGAAAAATGTGAAACAATGCAACGTAGCAGTAGTTAACTTGAAATATTTTGTGCAGATACTTGAAATCCATCGTCCATTTTTACTGTATGGATACCAATAGAAATAAGGGGATTATTAAAACCATTACTTTTAATAGAATGGTATAAGGATTAAAAGTTATCATTCTTCATTAACTTTATAATTAACATCACTACATTAGAGAGGGAGTTTTGATGATTTGTGCTTTTAATATTTATAAAATCAAATAATCCATTTCACCATATTTTTCACGGATTTAGTATATTACTAAGCTTTTTATATTCTTTTTCTTAATTGATAAAAAGTAATTTAGTATATAATTATTGTCATCTTCAACTTTTTTTCTCTTCTGTTTCTAGTAAAAATAAATAAATATCATGTAATTAACATCATTAGTAAAAAAAACACTTTAATACTGGCAGACAACAAGATACCAATGATATATAAAAAATATAACATCAGGCATACGTTTTAAAATTAACATTAATACATTCATTTAATTTTTCAAAAATATTTAATCTGTATGAATAACATTTGTTTTAATCTCTATAATAATTTCATATGTATTTGCATAAAAAACGTATTTTTCAGTATATTTTAAATATATTAGTCACGGTTTTTGTAGTAACTATTCGTAGAGGTTTAATGGTAAAAAACATAATAGTTAAGTAAAAGTATATATAAGAAATATTAAAAGCAAGCATATGAAATTACATAATTTATCTTAACAGAAGATATTGTTAAGTTTTATGTTTTCTCTTTTGTTTTGGATGGGCATTGACTCACGTTATCAATAGAATCAAGATCGATCCGAAGCTGTAAATATTAGTTTAGAATTGTTTTTTCCTTGTTGTTTTACAAAGAATCGATGTGTTAATTAACACTGATCAAAAGTTAATAGCATGTTTACAAAAATAATCAAAATTAGAAGGATTAATTAACGAAAAAGGAAGAGATCCGATACGAACCAGGAAAGTGAGAATTGAAGCTAAACCAATGGCAAGGAAGCGACCCAAGTAAGCATCAGCAACGAAAGCAGCAACCACAGGAGCAAAGTTTGTAGCAGCAAACCATAAGAACAAAATTTTGGTTGCTTTCACTACTCCCACCTTGTAATCTTCTATCAGATACAATATCATGTTTGGAATAAGCCCTACGCTAGCTACCTTAGCCAGTGCTTCATTTGCTGCAGCATATTCATTTTCAACAACCAAATCATAACCTCATACATAAATAACCATGACCAAACATAACTCATAATTCCTGTTTTCATTTTCCTTACCTATAATGAAAGGCATGGTAATGAACCCACCCTTGCTCCTTTGTTCATGTGGATTCATGTGTTGGTGAGTCATCTCTGCATGACATGAAGCAGCCTCCATTTCCTCGTTGTCCATCTCTGGTAGGAAGAAAAGCAAGAAGGAATAGCAGAGAAAGAAGTAGTGAAACTGCAAATCAAATCTTCATGCTCATGAATCCTACTCTTTTGGACAAAGACCTATTTTTGCGTGAGTACTTCGCCACCCCCCATACTAGAATTGCGTGAAACTATATATATATATATTACAAGAGTGGACTTGACCAATCATTTCTAAAAGAAAACTCACTAATTCATGCTAAGCATTTCTATTGGTTATTTATATAAGAGATATAATAAATGAGTGTCTTTTCTTGATTCTATAGTTGTATTTGTTTAATTCTATGACTAATTTTCAACATAAATTAAACTCTTGATATTATATTAATTAAACAAAAGCAAAACTAATAATTACTTTTTATTGATTTTATGGATAAACCATTTACTTATTTATTATATTAAGGAAAGGAGGAAGTTTTAAAATTATTAAAGACACCACTATCTTATAAGTGGGGGTGCTTTCTTCTTGGTATTACAAAGTGTATGTGCAAGTGCTGTGCCGATTAATTATGATCACCCAATTGTTAGATACAACCATGATTCATTAAGGTTTTTTCTCTTCTTCTTTTTTCCCTAATTATTGATTCAAAAGATTGTTAGGTGTTGGATCATGTGCTAATTTATTTTATATTTTACTTATTATTGATGTGAGTTATTTAACCTTTATTATTTATGAAAAAAAAATACATGTATGTGGTGATAATAGCTATGAAAATAAAAATATAACTTAATCATTCATATTTTAAAATTTTTATCTTTTAAAACTTTTCATATATATAGAACTTGTTTACTTAATGAACGATTCATATATAGTATATATCTTTGAAAAAGTTTATATAACAATATTTTTATATTCTAATGCTCACCTAATTCTCAATTAACAAAACAAGAAAGTTAAACTAATAGTGAGAGACATAAATGATAAAAGGTGAGTAATAATAGTGTTTAGAGATGATAAATAAAAAGAAACAGGAATTAGTATACCTCGAATTCTCATCACATTATTTTTCATTAATAAAATTGGTATTGTGTTAGAAGTTTCCATTACATAGTACTAAAAGCGAAAAATGTTGTTTGTGAGATTGGATCCATATGCAAGTAATTTTTATTGGTGAACCTCATTATTTCGTGTGACAATTAATGTCTCTGTCTCTAAATCATCAATTAACAACTTTATAAATTATACGGTGACCTGGTTTCAAATAATTACATCATGTTCATGTTTTTATTAAAAACAAATCAAGAAGCTCTAATAACTTTGACTCTTAGAGGCACCACGTGACACGTTCGAGGTTCACGATCAAGTATGAACAACTCGTTCCCAAAACAAAACATGGATGAACAGCATAGAATCATTATTAAAAATAGCAAATGCTAAATATGTATTACTTTAACACTAAAAATTTGTGAAATACATGAAATTGAACACATGAAATACAATTAAAGACTTGCTCTATCCTATGAGCAATTTTCTCAAGTCTTCATCAACCTCATCACCATTCCTATATTCAGTGGATGCTTCCTCCTCGCTTGAACCATTTTCTTCACCCAACATACGTATTTCATCAACGGTAGGTCCATAAGCCCAACTGCATAATAGGTAATACATTATATTAAGAGCACTAAGTCCAGAAAGAACCCAGTAGTACTTGTCAAAACGACCCTTGTTTATATCATCTGAAATCCAACCCTGTTTTCCCCCACTTGAAGTAACGTTTTGTATCACGCTGAATACAAAAGTAGATACCAAGTTTCCTGCAGCCATTGCCAATTCAGAAAGGGAAACAGCGACGCTGGACATACTCTTAGGAAACTCTGTGTAATAAAACTCATTTTGGCCTATTGCATTGAATGCTTCAGCAATGCCACCCAAGATAAGTTGTGGGAAAATCCATAGTGCAGACATGTGCAACATTGCATGGCCATTATTAAGATATCCCTCCTCGATTGCTCTTTTTCGCCTTGTAGTCTCAACAATTGCTGAAACTACTAGGTGGATAAAAGAGAAAAGCAAACCAAGTCCCATTCTTCTCTTTGCACTTATTCTAACTGGTTTCCCTCTTAACCTTGATGCTAGAGGAAGAATGACTCGCTCATACAAAGCTATCCATACAAATAGTGAAATCAGCAAGATTACAGTGAAAGAGCCAGGTGGCACTTGAAAGTGTGAGGTGATATGTCTGTCCAGGGATTTAGCTTGCAGCAATCCAAATGAGCCTCCAATGTTAACTGACATCATGATCCCTGTAGACCACAAGGGAATTACTCTAATAATGGCTTTTAGTTCCTCTACTCGATCTACTGTGCAGAGTCTCCATGGATTTGATGCTGAACCATCAGAGGCTATATCTAGTTCCGGATATTTTATAACACAAGCTTTATTCAGAAACCTGGATAGTAACAAGTTAAGTGTTTAATCCAATGGATATGCAGAAGATAAAGAATAAAAAAGTGAAGATTTTTTATACTGTCATTCGAGTTTTTTTTTTTTTTACCAAATTGGGTAAAAAAATGTTGATTTTAAGTGATGGAAAATTTTTAATTTAACCAAAATGAATTAAATAATGTAAGGTGAGACGAATTTGTTTCAATAAAATCATGTTTGAAAACATAAATGTTAACTATTAACATTAAAATCATGTTATAGCACGTGATTTTAGTTGTATAATTTTTTTTAAAACATCTTTGGTAGTACCAGTTAAATAATTTGTATTAACTTTTGTTATCCAGTACAAGTTTCATGTAATTTTTTTAAATAATATTTTTTAAAAATATATTATTTATTAAATAATTAATTTTTATTTAATTATTAATTTAATAAAAAAATAAAAATATCTTAAAAAACATAAATAAATTTAATTTAATATATTTATATTAAAATATTACATTATGTAAAAATTATATTTATCGAAATAGTCAATTTATACGATTATATTATTTTTATTTTGATAAAAAAGCATGTTTTTTATTTATTTAAAATAAAGGTAGAAGTAAGAAATAAAAAAATATTTCTTTTATTAAAAATAAGAATATAATAGTATAAATTATTAATTTTGATAATAAATTTATATTATTTTTTAAATAATATAATATTTTAATATAAATATATTAAATTAAATTTATTTATATTTCTCAACATATTTTTATTTTTTATTAAATTAATAATTAATAAAATTATTATTTAATAAATAATATATTTAAAAAATAAATATTCTATTTAAAAAAAATACATAAAACCTGTGTTATACACCATTAAATTCCATATAGATTATTTATAACTTAATACAAAACATATTTTTATAAAAATAAAAAATTAAATAATTAAAATCGTGTTACATAACATCATTTTTAATAATAATAAACTTTTTTATTTAATCTATTTTAATAAAATTAAAATTTTTTAACCGATTTAATAAAAAAAATTTCAACCGCATGGGTTGATAAGTTTACAATAAGTACTTTAAAAAATAACTTTATAGAGTATAAAAATATTGTTTGTCAGGATAGGAATTTTTACACTCAAGCCTAAACTAGATAAAAGGACAGTAATTCAGATTTACCTTAGTTTATCAGTTGGAACAAGAAGTTCTGAGTCCTTCTTATGATGGTAAAGTTCAGGGAAGTTCGTGCGCTGTAATGGAAATTTTCTGTTCTTGTAGGCAACAACGATCACTTGTGCAAATCCAGTGAACAAGCTGGATTGTACTTCATTCTTTACATAAAGTGGAGAGGCAACGATGAAGAAGACGGTAGATAAAAGCATGAGTGCTGCTGGAACTCCAAAACCCACTTTCCATCCAACATTATCTTGGATGTAAACTATTGCAGTGAGTGCAATGATGGCAGAAATAGCAGCAGAAGCGTAATACCAGCTGAAGAATGTTTCCAAAACCCTCCGGTTGTTGGGGTTATCTTTTCTGTTGAACTGGTCTGCTCCGAATGCCATGGAGCATGAAAGACCACCATTTCCAATAGACATGAGTGCAAGGGCCGATATTAAGATTGCCATTTGCCCTCCTGTTGCCGATTTACAGCCTTCAGCTTCATGGCTGCAAGGGGGAGGCCGTGCCTGTGGGATCATAGTTGTTAACCACAGCAATGTCATTCCCTGTTGTCAAAGAAAAACATATCTTGTGAATATTGTTTTTCTAAATTCTTGTCCAAAGTACTCTACTATTCAGATCTAGAACTTTTTATCTAATCATTTAGCCAATGCTTTTCGCAGGAATCTGCTACCCTGACTAGTGTTCAGTGCTCTCATTTTACACAATTAAAGGTCAAGAGAAGAAGCAAGCTCCAAAAATTGAATTAATGAAGTAAAAACACTTAAAGAAAAAGAAAAACAATACCAGAAAACTGATGGCAGAACCAAGTCCAACAGCGAGGAATCGACCCAGATAAGAATCAGCAAGGAAAGCAGCCACCACAGGGGTGAAATTGCTGCTAGCAGAGGACAAGAGAAGTATCTGGGTTGCTTTGGCCATGTGAAGCTTGTAGCTCCCCATCAAGTACTGTATCATGTTAGGCAAAAGGCCCAAACTTGCCACCCTCGCAAGTGATTCATTTGCTGCCATATCAACCAAAGAACCATCGAGTCAAAGGAAACAAAATCCAAGCATTGTAAATGAGGAAGTAAGTATAAGTTATGCACCCACCAATGATAAAAGGCATGGTAACAAGACCACCCTTGCGCCTCTGTGTTTGTGAAGTGTACACTTCACCTTCAAGAGAACGAAGCTCGGCTTCCTTGTCCATTCTCATTAATTGGTGGAAGGCTCGACCACACACCACAAAGTGACCAACAACTTAACTCTTAATGTTCATGCATAACATATATATTGAGTGTTCATACGGGGACTGTCTCCATCCATGCATATTTGGAATCAACCATCTCTATGGCTCATCATTCTTGATAACTTCCAAGATTTATCACCAATCGTAGAACTTGGCATGCCAAGACGTGTGGACTGTTTTTGTCTCCCCCATCCATTTTCTTTAGCGTCCTCATCTTGTCCTCTTCCTCGCTCGGTAAGTTTCCATCTTCGTTTTCATTATATTTTGGATTTATCCATTTTCATTCTATATTATTTTTAAAATAATAAATATACTTATAATTTTTTAATTTTTATTATTAATTAAATATTTTTTTAATTTATTATATAGAATATTATAATATTATATTTAAATCTTTAATTAAATACTAATTATCTTTTCAATTATATTTTAAAAATTAGTAAATATAAAATATATAATTTATAAAAAAATATTTAATAAAATTAATTATCAATTCTTTTTAATCTTCAAAATATAATTATTTTTATTAAAATAAAATTTGATATATAATAAATAAAAAATAATAATATTTAAAAAATATAACATAACTTAATAAACATAAATTAAAAATAAAATAACATTAAATATTATTAATATTAAAAAAAAATTACATTACCCATCTTTATCTCTACCCTCAATTTTGTAAAATTGGAAACCTAAAAGCGCACCTAATTAACTCAATTTTTTTTCTGTCATATTCGGAGAGGAAATGAATCGCTCCATGCGAGTATAATTTTCATTCCTGAACCACTGATATGTTCATGATATGTTGTGACAGGACAAGTTTGCTTTCATTATTTCAATCACATTTTCTAATAATGACAACAATAAAATAAAAAACGAAACCCTCGCGTTGCGTGCGTTAATTGTATCATGTTCAAACAGATAGCAAACCTGTTGTGTAATTTTATCTTATTTTCTCTAAAAATTTAACTTACTGTGTAAATATAAAACGAATCACATATTTTAAGTAGAAAAAAACAAAAGTTTAATAGTTTAGGTTTATAGAAGTCTCATGAGTACATTTTTCTTTCAAGAGATAAATACTGAAAAAAAAAATTCTAGAAATTAAAACTCATTTTTGTCTAAGTGAAAAATTTAATTTTAGAAATACTAATGTGACAGATTACCTAACAAGTTAGTTTATAAACTAGTTTTAGCTTATATAGAAGTTTCTTCTTTTGTCCTAACTGTACTTAGGGAGAAATTTATCCTAACAAGTGCATAGTATATTATCAATGAAGATAAAAAAATATTTTTAATGCAGTTATTATTAAAAAAATAATAGAGAGAGAACAACTTATAATTGAATTATTTTAAAACTTACCCTATGCATTTATTTGGGCGACGGAGATGGAGGAGAAATAGGAAGAGAAAATGGTTGGTAAAAAAAAAGTAAAAAGGAAATAAAAATAAAAATTACTTAATTAAGAAGAAATAAAGTAAAAATTGAGAAATAAAAATATATCATATCAACCTAATAATATTAAAAACTCAATTTCAAAGATGAGCCCAACATTACCTCAAACCACCACTAGTGAAAACACAATCAGATATAATAAATAAAATTTGGAGATGTTGATGTTTTAGTATATAATCAACTTAAAATGCTGGAATTTTAGAGTTTTATATATATACATTGGCTTAGTTTTAGGTTAATTATGTATATGTTATTGGGAGATGGTGTATTATTAATGTTATGTTTAGGTCAATTCTAATTTGATCAATTCATATACGATTTATAATGTAATTTTGAAATATTCAAGTGAAGTATTATAAAGGTAAGAATTACATATTTATATTCTTAATTTATCTCAATCACATCATTTTTTTATTATTATCTAACATGTATTTATATTTGTAATTTATGTCAACCACATTATCTCTTTGTTATATAACTTTCATATAATTTATAATTTTGGTCTCATACACTTAATAATTATATTTACAATTTTATTCTCTCATATTTTTATTTTTATTTTTATTTTTTTATATTTATTTATTAATAATATATTGTTTAACTCCCCAAATAAATAATTAAGATCCATTATTACGATAGGATTCGAACATATGATCGTCACATTACAAATATGATCGTCACATTACAAATACAATATTCTACTTTTGAGCTAAATTGATTAACATAATCAAAATATATATGCTAATTCAAAAAATAGAATTGATACATAATTATAATAGTTACTAATAACTTATAATAAATATAGATCCAAGACTTGAGAATAAATTATTGACTATTTCATTTTTCAACTTAAGTATAAATTAAAAGAGAATTATTCTTCTTCGAATAATTAGTGTCGACTCTTATTTATTAGATCTTAACATATTTTTTTACACTAATAAATCTTACATCATTTAAAAATATTTTATATATATTATTATTTAAATAGAGACAAAATATTAATATAATAAAGTTCCAAATAAAATAATAACTCAAACATATATAAAAATTATTTAACAATATTATCATAAATAATATTTTAATCATAATTATCTAATAATTGTATAATACTTTTTATTTTAAAACATAATAAAAATATTTTGATATTTTGGTATAAATGAAAATTCTAATGCCAGGCTTGTTTTGGAGTTTTTCCTCAACTTTATATTGGAGGTTTTGCCTTTTAAAATAAGTACAAGTAAAGAAGGGGTGGATAGATAAATGTTCAAACTTTGTTTTTTTCCTTAACTTTCTTCCTCACCTTTGAGTAGGAGCTACTCGTTTTGGTTATAAAAACACATACAAGTTTCCATATTTAATTAGGTACATTGTTGTTTACGGTTAATTACACGTTACTAAATTATCTTTTTATGTTTAATATTATTTTTGCTGAGCTACTAGTGTATTTTATATTATTTAATTGAATTAACTATTTTTGTTAAATATTTGTGCATAATATTTTTTTTTTTTACCTGTTACGAATGTCTTGCACTTTACTGAACAATTTCGCTCGCAAAAGAATCATGGTTGTCAATTCAAAAGATTTTTACTCACGGTGAAGATTAAAGATAATGTTTTGATTCAATATATAATTTAATGTGTTAATGTTTATGATATTTAATTAATCAAATCATAATCAAACAGTGTAGTTTATATATACTGATTGAATTGAATTATGTAATAATTCCTAAACAGATGAACTACTCAATATGAATTTAGTTTCATACTCGGTAATTCTAATAAATTTTTTAAAGATCATATTTTTAATATTTGAACCCTTTATACAAAGGCTAATATTATACATAAACATATATGTGTAAGCATCTAAAGCGACTAGTGGTGAAAACATGGAAAAATCCAAATTTGAGAGTGAATGAATCACTGGATAGCATTGAGCAATTGAATCAACTGTTAAACACTTCCTCCTTTGAGCCATTTTCTTTACTGATGTTGAACTCTTTCTCAACCTCATCCCCATTCCTAAATCCAGTGTCCTTTGAGCCATTTGCTTCACCTAACTTACGAATTTCATCAACGGTAGGTCCATAAGCCCAACTGCATAATAGGTAATACATTATATTAAGAGCACTAAGTCCAGAAAGAACCCAGTAGTACTTGTCAAAACGACCCTTGTTAATATTATCTGAAATCCAACCCTGTTTTCCCCCACTTGAAGTAACGCTTTGTATCACACTGAATACAAAAGTAGATACCAAGTTTCCTGCAGCCATTGCCAGTCCAGAAAGGGAAACAGCGACGCTGGACATACTCTTAGGAAACTCTGTGTAATAAAACTCATTTTGGCCTATTGCATTGAATGCTTCAGCAATGCCACCCAAGATAAGTTGTGGGAAAATCCATAGTGCAGACATGTGCAACATTGCATGGCCATTATTAAGATATCCCTCCTCGATTGCTCTTTTTCGCCTTGTAGTCTCAACAATACCTGAAACTATTAGGTGGATAAAAGAGAAAAGCAAACCAAGTCCCATTCTTCTCTTTGCACTTATCCTAACTGGTTTCCCTCTTAACCTTGATGCTAGAGGAAGAATGACTCGGTCATACATTGCTATCCATACAAATATTGAAAGCACCAAGATTACACTGAAAGAGCCTGGTGGCACTTGAAAGTGTGAGGTGATATGTCTGTCCAGGGATTTAGCTTGGAGTAATCCAAATGAACCTCCAATGTTAACTGACATCATGATCCCTGTAGACCACAAGGGAATTACTTTAATAATGGCTTTAAGCTCCTCTACTTGATCTACTGTGCAGAGTCTCCATGGATTTGACGCTGAACCATCAGAGGCTATATCTAGTTCCGGATTTTTTATAATACAAGCTTTATTGAGAAACCTGGATAGTAACATCAGCTTAAGTTAAGTGTTTCATCCAATGGATATGCAGAAGATACAGAACAAAAAAAATGAAGATTTTTTATACTATCGTTGGATCATAGACTATCATGTTGATGAGTTTAGATAACTACTTTAAAAATCATCTTATAGATTATAAAAATATTGTTTATTAGGAAAAAAAATTTTACACTCAAGCTTATTAAACTCAGATAAAAGGACGGTAATATGATTTTACCTTAGTTTATCAGTTGGAACAAGAAGTTCTGAGTCCTTCTTACGATGGTAAAGTTCAGGGGAGTTCATAGGTGGTAATGGAAGTTTTCTGTTCTTGTAGCCAACAACAATCACTTGTGCAAATCCAGTGAACAAGCTGGATTGTACTTTATTCTTTACATAAAGTGGAGAGGCAAGGATGAAGAAGACGGCAGATAAAAGCATAAGTGCTGCTGGAACTCCATAACCCACTTTCCATCCAACATGATCTTGGATGTAAACTATTGCAGTGAGTGCAATGATGACAGAAATAGCAGCAGAGGCGTAATACCAGCTGAAGAATGTTTCCAAAACCTTTCGGTTGTTGGGGTTATCTTTTCTGTTGAACTGGTCTGCTCCGAATGCCATGGAGCATGAAAGACCACCATTTCCAATAGACATGAGTGCAAGGGCCGATATTAAGATTGCCATTTGCCCTCCTGTTGCCGATTTACAGCCTTCAGCTTCATGGCTGCAAGGGGGAGGCCGTGCCTGTGGGATCATAGCTGTTAACCACAGCAGCGTCATTCCCTGTTGCCAAAGAAAAAGAAAATGTTTAGGACTTTTCTGATTTCAGAACTTTTTAAACAACATCAAATCCACTAATCCCGTTGGAAGACTAAATCGTTGGTTATTCTAATTACCAAAGAGTGTTCACTAGATTTGCAAATTCACTAATGGTTGTTTAAAAATTGATGTGCAATAGAATCATCAAAAAGTTTACATGAAATTCGCTTCCGTATTACTTGTACCTATCTAGCATTTACAAAAACATGAAGCTTTGACGGCACTTGTCACTTGTATTATTCTCTCTTTTTCATGTTAGGGAATTGGTTGTCGTCATCCAATTGTGAATAACAGAAAGGATTATGTTCTAAGAGATTTGAACGGAATCAGAGGGTTTAGCAATCCACTTGACCGTATTCAATCATTAATAACTAACTTTATTCCCATCTTGAACGTGACCAGCTTTACCTTCTCTTTCAGAATATGCCCAACACCCCATTCCAGAAAAAACTTATTTGGTGAATATTGCTTTCCTAAAATGGTCACATACTATCATTATTAAACCAAAGTACTCCTCTATTCAGATCTAGAACCGTCTCAGGAATCTGCTATCCTGATTGGTATTCAGTGGTCTCATATTACACAATTAAAGGGCAAGAGAAGAAGCGAGCTCCAAAACTGATTTATAAAAGTAAAAACACTAGAAGAAAAAGAGAAACAATACCAGAAAAGTGATGGCAGAACCAAGGGCAACAGCGAGGAATCGACCCAGATAAGAATCAGCAATGAAAGCACCCACCACGGGGGTGAAATTGCTGCTAGCAGAGGACAAGAGAAGTATCTTGGTTGCTTTGGCAAGGTGAAGCTTGTAGCTCCCCATCAAGTACTGTATCATGTTAGGCAGAAGGCCCAATCTTGCCACACTCGCAAGTGCCTCATTTGCTGCCATATCAACCAAAGAACCATTGAGTCAAAGGAGACAAAACAAAATCCAAGTACTGTAAATGAGCAAGTAAGTATATGTTAATGCACCCACCAATGATGAAAGGCATGGTAACAAGACCACCCTTGCGCCTCTCCGGTTGCGAAATGTCTTGGGTAGAAACTTCACCTTCAAGGGAACCAAGCTCCACTTCCTTGTCCATTCTGGTTGATTGATACAAGGCTCGACCAAGGAAAGCACACACCACCAAGTGACCAACAACTTAGCTATTAATGTTCATGCATAACATATATATATGGAGTGATGTCAGTGCTTGCGATGGCTAGGGCAATCAATGATGAATTTGCGTGTTCATACGGGGACTGTCTCCATGCATATCTGGAATCAACCGTCTCCATGTATCATCATTCTTAACAACTTACAAGATATACCACCAATTATAGAACCACTGTATATGTTCATGATATGCTGTGACTCACGAGTCAAGATTGCTTCGAGTGCTAAATCAATTTTTCTAATGGCGACAAGGATAAAATAAAAAAACAAATGCGCGTTGCGTGCGTTAATGGTATCATGTTCACACCGATAGCCAAACTGTTTTGTAATTTTTTTCTCTAAATATTTTAAGATGGAGGAGAAATAGGAAGAGAAAATGATCGGTGAAAAAAAAAGTAAAAATAAAAATGACTTAGTTAAGAAGAAGTAGAGTGGAATTGAGAAATAAAAATATATTTTAATAAACTTTAACTTATAATATTCGGTTCCATAGTCGTGTGAAAACTCAAATTTTCAAAGTTGAGCCCACCATTATCCCCAAAACCACCACACCACTTGCATCTGGTGAACAGCAGAAAACACAAACAACTAGAATGAATAAAACAATAAGCAGATGTTGATGTACTTGTAGATGACCAACTTAAGGATGTTCCATGTGTGGTCCTCAACTTTAACTTGGAGGTTTTGCTATTTAAAAAAAAAAACAAATATGACAAACTTCGTCGTCATGTCATGTGCCCGAGATGAACGAGTAAGGAAAATTTTGTGACTTTCTTCGTAAATTTGTAGGAGGTAAGTGTTCATTAATCTTAATATATATCCCACAACATTGGTTTCGTTATATAAGAGATTAATATCGTTTATATATATTCGAATTATTGCTCTCTATGCATGTTTTGAGTTACTAATTTAATTTGGTGATGAATAGTTGTTAGATGTTTCTTATAATCGATAAGTATATTTCACCGGATAAATTATGCTTGTTATGTATGAAATAATAATTTAAAAAAAAATCTAACACGTAATCCAGTTAAAATTGTATAAGACTTTAAGTAGTTCCGATTAAGTGAAAAACTTGCTTTAGATTCCAGTTCCCTTATTCCTTTACGGAGATGTTTGAGATTAGGTTAAATCCCAGTGAATTGGGATCCTAATAAACCTGCCTTAGCGTATTGAATGGTTTAGGGTTATAGATTTCAATAGTCATAAAGAACATTAATTCTTACGATTTTAAAACTAGAACTTTACGTACATTTGAAAAAAAGAAAAAGGTTTTACATGTAAAATTGAATCAAATCATGTAGTGAAAATATCTAAAGATTAAAAAAATATGTTTTGTACAGAATAGTTTTATAGGATATTTAGTTTACTGAAAAAAGAAGGAAAAACACACACATTACAGAGACTGATTGATGATTGATTAGTCACGCCTTGTGTTCACACAGCAGAAACGTTGACATTTATGTGTTCACATCCATCTTAACTCACGCTTCCTTGTTCATTCTGCTCTATTTTGCATGACAACCTTTTTCTCTGCTAGTTTGAACGCGATTCATCACTCATCACTGTCGTTTTAATGATTGTGACACGTTAGGGTTTTTTTTATAAAAAAAAAAATAACAAAGACAATTCCACTTGAATCATGATTCTTATTTTTTTTTATAATCAACACTTGAATGAACCGCAATAATTGGGATGAATCCCACACCAAAAAGTTTAATTAGTGGAAGAACTTCTCAGAAGACAAAATATATTATTATATTTAGGGATGTGCTTTCTGTTCACATTAATTTGGAACGATGAGGGTGCTTTGTTATTGTTCCCACCATTTCATTTGCTCTTATCATTAGTCTACTCCTATTCTTCAAATTTGATATTGGTTTTTTGTATTCAACTTAAAGGTGGAGTATGCAAATATTGTAATGGCTAATTAAACATCCATGACTTTGAGCTAGCCACTTAATCTTCTTATAATTAAGGTTAAATAGGTAATTTAATCCTTTTATTTATTAAAATATTTCAATATGGTCCCAAAATTTTTAAAATTTTCAATTTAGACATAAATATTAAAATTGATAACAACTTTGGATTATCGTTATGTATGTTTTGACTCTGTTATATTAGATGTCTAGTTGAAATATCAGTTTTGATGTGGTTAAGTGATTGGTTATAATTACGTGGCAGATTTACCATGTCACATTAAAATTGTAAATAGGGCCGCATATGTGTTTAGGGTTTGAACAATTGAGAGTTTATGCAAATGGGTGAGGGAAAATGAGAGGATCTACAATGACAGGGAATGTGAGAGTTTCATTTGTGATAATAGTAGAGGTTTAGGGTTTCAATCGCCGTCGTGTATGAGATTGACTGTGATGAAGGAGGAGAAGGTTGGTTCCATTTAGAGTTTGTGACGACGACATCGAGGGAGTAAGTTGTTTCCGACGACGAGGGAAGGGGGGACCTGCGATGACGGCGAAGTCGAGCACGTGAGAGGGACTACCTGCGACGACGAAGGGACGACAGTAACGAGAGATGAGCGGTGATAAGCGACCCTCGTTGTCGTAGTGACAAACTCAAAATGGAATCACCCTCCTCCTCCTTCGTCAAATGGAACTCGTATCTCTACGACAACATTGCAGATCATCACGCTTTTCCTAATTCATTTGTACAAACTCTTAATTGTTTATACCCTAAACACATTAGCGACTCTTATTCCTTTTTTCATGCAATTTTAATGTGACATGACAAATTTGTCACGTAATTATAATCAATCAACTAACCACATCAGAATTGATACTCCAACTAAACATATAATATGGAGTCAAAACATAAATAACGATAGTCCAAAATTGACATCAATTTCAATATTCATGTTTAAATTGAAAATTTTAAAAATTTTAGGACCACATTGAAACATTTAAAAAAATAAATGGACTAAATTACTTATTTAACCTATAATTAGTAACATTGTTTTGGTCATAAAACACATAAAAATTCCCATATATAATTAGGCACCTTGTTGTATATAGTTAATTTAAAGTGTTACTAAATTATTTTTTATGTTTAGTATTAAACAACTAGTGAGATTTATATTATTTAATTGAATTAACTATTTTTTTGAGTATTTGTCTATAGTTTTTTTTTTTTTTGTAGTACAAATGTTTTACATTTTATCATATTTTGAAAATTGGACCGGATTAGATGATAAAATAAGTCAACTTCTCTTATTCTTGATCCGTCAAAAACGTGATGGGACATGCTAACTCATTGCAAATTTCAGTCCATCAAAAGGCGGGTTAGCGGATTAATCCACTAATATTAAAAAAAAATTATATGTATTTTTTTAATAATTTTAATTATATAAATAATTTTTATATTTTTATTAGATAAATTAAAAATATTATATTTATATGTCAAAATAACTAATTATAATAAAAAAATTAAATTAAATTAATTAATTTTTATAATTTAAATTATAATATTATAATATATTTACATATTTTAATAACATAACACAAAAATATAATATTTCTACTTATAATTTATTTTATTTTAATATATAATTTTTTTATAGCGAATCAACTCGTCTTGCTCCCGTCTTAGTCTCGTTGAACCAGCGGACTAAGTAGAGCGGGCAAAAAGGATAGACAGGCTAAAACTACCAATCCATTCCCCGTCAATTTTTAGGATCTAACCCGTTTTGTCATCCTTAAATCAAACGGACACAGTTCAACCTAGGTTGAATCAAGAACCAAATTAGAAACCAGTTTGTTACTTTTAAATAATCGAGACTTTTATTAAACTCCAACAAACCTAGAAAAAATCAGTTGAGTTATTGGATTGAACTGATTTTGTAAAAAAAAAAATTAGATCAAATATTTTTATAAAATAATATATATATATATATATATATATATATATATATATATATATTTATCTCATATTAATTATCTCAATTTCAAATAATAGTTATATTTATTGTATTTTTATTTTATTTTAACAATTATTCATCTTTATTTTATATTTAAAATTTTTATTATAATATACTATAATCATGAAAATAATTTTTATTATTTTTTTATTTTATAAAAAATATTATTATTAATAAACGTATTATAAATTTTTTATATTATAAAAATATTATATTATTTAATTTTATAAATATTATATTTTATCGAAAATTTTTGATTGTGAATTTAAAAAATAATTTTTTATTGAATACATTGTAATATTTTTTATGATATTTGGTTTATATACTGAATTGAATTATGATTCCTAAGCAAATAAACTAATGAAGATCAATTTAGTTTCACACACGTTGATTCTTATTATTAAGTTTTTTAAATATCACATTTCTAATAATTGAATCTTTTATTATTTTTTTACTAAAAAACAAAAAACGTTGACACAAGTATCAACAAACAACCGGAAAAACGGTAGACAGTAGGCAACAATCATGAGGTCATCACAATTAATATTAATACTGGTCAAATAATCCATATTTTGACACAAAAATAATTATAAAATATTATAAATAATAACTATTAAGTCGTTGTAATAAACTATTTTTGAAAAATATTATTATAAGTGGTAACTAGAATATTGCTAATTTTTAACATGAAGCACCGTTCCAAAATGTTCCCTCTCCCTGCTGCTTTCCATTTTGTAATTTCAAAATTTCAGCATCCATATCAGTAACTATTCCACGACTAGGTTTTCACATTCAAGAAATTTTTTCCATCAATCACTTTTTTCTTCATTTTCTTTTTCCGTTTCACCTAACTTTTTCTAAAATCTTGTTTGACAGATGAAATAATGTAAATGAGACAAAAAGTAATAAAAACAATAAATGAGTTAGCTGCATATAGTGGAACTGGAGATCACTGTATCTTTAATGTGTTAAATGTAAATATATAATCAAATTATATATAAAAGAGGTTAAACCTTTTTATTTTGTGCCGTGTGCTCATGTTTCTTATGCAATCATTCGTCATTATATATAATACCCATTAATATTAACTTTATAAAATTAATAATGTTTTTTTTTCTTTTTTCACTCATCAAGGCCATTATTTATTTAATCTAGTGTAATATTATAGTTCTACGAATTAGTGATTAATGGCGTGTTTGATATTTGGTTAAAATGAAGTGATTCCGTGGAACATGAACGCTTTGTAGGAGCGCATTTCTATTCAACGTGGAAAATAGGTAATCGCAAATCAAACACGCACTTAAACGGGTCCCGTACACAATGTAACAACAAGTTGAATAAAAAAACCTTGTAATAATAATAATAATAAAAAAATAGCGCATGGTTCGCGAGGCACATGCTTCCGAGAGATGTGGAGTATTATTTTCCACCACCTTTATGCGAAGGGTCCACACTCCACACACTCTTATAATCTACCAGAACATTATCTGTTTCCTTGTACCCCGAACCTTTGTGATATAGTGGCCCAAGGCCCAAGGCCCATGTTTGTCCCTTGGGCTTTCTACGACAATTTTGAAAGAACAAGTTTAAATCCAATTATCCAGCAAAACCCTACTTCCACACGTGGGAATTATTGAGACAACATAAACCATTAGACCCTTTGTATGAAGAATAGGTTGTAGCTGAGTGAGATGATGTAATATGCATCGTCATGGTGATGAAAGAAAGGTTAGAGGAAGGAAATGGGGGCATATGGGCGCTTGAGGATAATGTAATGGTGAAAGTGGTCCAGTAAGATGGGGTCAGCCACGCCACATCCATCCACATGAATGCCTGCCATAACCTTCTTCTGACAACAAAATTCTTTGCTTTTCAATTCAATTTTACATCTTTTCCAATTACAATCACTAACCAACAATATGAATCCACAATGGCTATGATCACACTCCTTCCCACCGTACAAAACTTTTGTGTACAGAAAACAACCACATTAAATGTGCGTGCATGCATGTTCCAAATCCCTCCGTCGGAAATTTCAAGTAAGGACCTTCCACGACTAGTTGAAGACCAGAAAGATATGAAACTGGTTTATAACCTAACAAAATCCACTTATTTACACTTACAAATTACCACTTTGCTTAAATAAGCCTCAAACTTAAAAGTAGTTTATTTTACTTCCACATGCATGTATCCATGCAAATTTGTCTTACGAGAAGGTATGATAGGTGGTTTAAATTATCTGAAAATTACAGAAGATTATGGCACTGCCTGAAGTAAATATACCTATTTGTGATACCAAGTCCTGCTATTATTTTTTTTTTTCTCCATACGACATCACAAAGCTAAAAAGTTAGGACACCCTGGGGAATATACTACATGTCTGACGGAGTTGTTAAAAGAGCATTTCCCTGAGTATTTTATGCATCCAATAGCTTCAATTATGATTTGAACTAACTTTATAAACCAATATAATATTTGTTTAGGTTGGCACTTATGTGTTCTACGTTTCTTTTCTCATAAACCACTTGAGCATTTCTTCTCCATATATATTCAAATTTAATGCTCAAACTTTCTACTTCTCGAACCTTCATTCTGTTTTAATTCTATATAAATACACAATAATTCATATCATAAGTGTGTTAAAAATTTATTCTCTAACACTTCCTTAAAAAACTGGATGCAATCAAGCCATGCATATCTATCACTAATCATGTAAACAAAACAAGGGAGAATTTTCAACTGCATCCCCACGGAATGCATCTTTAGAAGAACCAAAATGTTTTGAAAATGTTCAAATACGAAGTTATATATCCGAACTAGATCAGAGTGAATACATATTACATTAAGGATATATAAAATTCCATTGAGTGAATGGTGAGCATTTAGTCATTGAGAACTGACATGTTATATTATATCATATATATAATACACAAATATCAATTCTCCAAATACATGGTTAAAATCCTGTGCCGTATGCGGGTGCCCAGTCATTTTGGCCTACAACATGTTGGGTACAAGACACTGGGACCAAACACAACCCTCTACTCTTCAAGTCCTTTGATTTATCTTCTGCATCCTGTACATAATTAAGCAATATTAAGCACAGTCTGACAGTTAATTTCCACATTCATTTTCATTCTGCACTGTCATGAAACTAATGGTAATAATGATGACGACTGATGAGGATATGCATCTTCGATATTCAAGTGTCAACGTGTCAAATGAAGAAGAATACTAAACTCATCGTGTAGTGTGATGACTTCTTCTTTTGCGTACCTGGTTTGGAGCTCCCTTTCTTTTCAGGCCATTATTGTTATTCACCAGCTAGATGGGAATAGAAAAAGGAAAAGAGAATTGTCAATTAGTAATTTCACTTGTCTCTCTCAAGTCTGAACCCTTCTTTGACTTCAAATAAGCAATTCAGCCTTATCTCATGCGTTAAAGAATGTCATGAAAAGCTGAGAAATCTCCTTGTTTCAACTTTCAATGGCTTCGAAGTTCGCGGATTAAATATTTCGATAATTGAAAATAAGGGGCTCCCAATTTGTTTCTAATGAGTTTATGGATCCAATAAAGCATACCTGACCGGGGTCCTCTGGAAAAACACAAGTTATTTCTCCTTGTACCTGTTGTTTGAAAAATAAAAAACAAATGAAGAAACATTCCCTTCAATTATATAGTCTAGTACATAGAAATATACGTCATTTTTGTCCTTCTCAAACTAGTGTGTCAAGTCTTTGGGAAATGGGTACTTACAGACTGTTGATTCCTCATGTTTTTTGATGTATCGTCCAAGTAAGGAGAACTGAGAACCTGAATCCAAGGAGGGGAAAAAGGAATAAAATTTTATAACTTCCATAACCTAAGAGTGCTTTTTTGAGAAAAGCATCGTCAGTGTTGGTGAAACTTTAAGTGCATGCTTTCACTGACTCTGAATAGCTTCCAGTAGAATAAATAATATTATGTGTGAGAAACATTTCACGAAAAAAAAAAATTGTGAGAAACATCACCTCAATTTGACCCTGCAGGAACCTTATATATCCAATGGCTTCTAACAAGACAGAAGCCGTGTCAGTCTGCAAAAGTGAAGCACATCACAAGAAGAAGGGTGATCTTTCCAAGCAATGGCTAAATAGTTGTACATAGACATAAGTTGGATCATGTATTGAATGAAAAGAACTATTTATGGGAACTTCTAAAACCAAACACAAAAGGCTGTAATTAATGGTTTCTCTTACGGTTTTCTATGGTTTGTTTGGAATAATATATAACGGAGCAGTTATATAGTTCAGTTGATTAATTACCTTTCCAAACGGTGAAACTAGTTGGTGAAGGGTTGTTATTCTATCACTCAGCTTCTCCTTCCGCACCTGATTCATATTCGTACATGGAAATCATTACATGAATATATGCTTTTCTCTCTTCCAACAAGTATTTGCCAGCAGAAGAATATTAATGTCAAAGACAGACAACTGAGAAAGACAACGCACAACAAAACATTCAATATATATACAAGCTCACTCACCACTTGAGAAAGATATAGTAGAAAAAAATGAGGAGAGAGGGAGTCACCTTCAGAGGTGCTTGGCTTGAAGATGAGTGAACCCTAGCTTTCTTACAAATTCCGACTGTTGCTGTGCTATTACACTTGAGCATAAGAAAGAGACAAACATAAATTTGAATAACATGTCAATTAAATCGCAAGTTTGGACGAGAAAATAAGAAAGAATTGATAAAAATCTCCTTATCTTTTCTTACCTCGGATATTTGGTCTTGTAGTAGATTTTTTCTGTTGTTACAAGTGAAATCCAATATATTATTACAACTGATGCTAGTGATACAAGAAGACCCCGGGGAAGAAACAGGCACCATATGTGACCAAGATGAGTCAGCTGGACCAGAAGTCTGAAGTTCTTCACACCCATGTTCGTACAAATTGCCCCTTTGAGTAATTTCTTGCTTTATTACATCAAGACTATTAGGAACTCCGGAAGCAGTATTAAGAATCTGGACATCCCAGTTTCCCAACTTTTTCGGCTGAAAATCAATGAAACTAAGTTTCTCTTCTTCTTCTGGTAATCCAGTACTGCAAAACAAACAGAACCATTAAATCTTTCTCTCATGTAAAGAAAAAGAAAAGCCTTGGACAAGGTACGCAGGACAAAAGAATTTAAGTTGGACAAGGTACGTAGTTAACCAATCTAAAAGCAATTTTTCTAGCATTTCCAAGACACGGTAACTACATTCATAGGTAGAACACACACCCTGACAGGCACAAAGAAGATAGAAAGTGGGGTGTTTTACTTACGAAAGTAGTTGGCTCCATGACTGAGAAGGCTCTGGATTTTCAGTCAAAAAATTGAAAGGAATTGAAGAAGGTGGAAGCACATATTGAGGAGGTATAAAAGATTGTGGATGCATGATCCACCAGTTAGGAAAACCAGTCATAATTTGCTAGCTGCACTGAAGGGTTTGACGGATAGTTTCAATTCATTTCATAAGAAATAAAAACTCCAATCTCCTTCTGCTTTTCGCCTTTCACCTTTGTGATATTTTCTTGTATATACATATATGCACCCAAACAAGCCTTGACAGGTTTGAAAGTTGTGTTTTGCTTTCTTACTAGCGGTTGAAGAATCTTACAACTCTGGTGTATTTATTCAAGATGGCGTTAAGGAACTTTAATTTCTGTCTCTTGCTTTCTATTTCTCTTTCCTTTCTTTCATCCATTCAGGTTTCCCTTTTATTCCTACTTTTGCTGATGTTAGAAAGCAAGTTTTTTTAGGTTAATACTTGTTGAGTGCTTAATTCCTTAATTCCGGGTTGAACCTTGGGATTGTTTGGGGGCTAGATAGCTAGCTAGGGTTGGGGAAGAGGTAGTAGGGCATAATAATAATAATAACGTTAGATTAGATGCTTTCATTGGTTCCAATAATTCACTTTAACAAACTATAATATTTACAAATTTAGTGGCTGAATAAAATAAGAAGAGGAAAATAGAAAATGATAGGAAATGACATGAGTAAGAGGTTTTTGAGAACTACAAAACAAATCTAAAGCATCGTCATCATGATATTGGGATGAGATTCAAATTAACTAACACACACGTTAGCAATATAGATAATGACGACATAATTGGTTTTTATTCTTTACAAATATGATTGGTTACTCAGAAAAGACAAGCTCAATTAGGCATCAAACTTGCTTATCTTTTCTATTAAGTTAACTTATCTTGTAAATATATGTTAAGATGTAATATTATGCTCGTGTCATTATCAACATAATTCTTGCTCAATATGGTACTTGCAAATTATTCCTTGTTTATGAGTTTTTTTTTTTCTCATATCAAACACATTTTCTTTATTCATGTCAACTACATTTATTTTCATTTGGTATTATTCAAATTTATTTTAGTTAATATAGGCTAAAAGTTACTTTTTATCCATACTAATTCTAAATTTAAACATGATTATTCTCTATTACCAAGAAATTGTTAACGATAAAAGGTAAAAATATTTCTTTTTGACTGGCATTTATATATGTCAAATAGTCTAACTTATTTCCAAAATCAAAATTGAAAAAAAAATAGTTTTTGAAGTGTGAATTAAATTGTAATTAGTATTTTTAGATTAATTTGACTGATTAAAACAATAATTAAATGATTGTGAATAGATAATAATATAAAATTAATCAATTGACATGTATTAAGAAAGTTTATTAATATTTTTATCATGTGATGAAATTCACTTGATTTTTATAGAGAGAGTGTGTGGAGAATGATCCAAAAGCAGGTAAAGAATGCAGAAGATGCAACCAACACAAAACTACAATTCCCAAACGCCAAAGAGGAAGTTTTAGATGGATACTACCACGTGCTGTTTCTGATCACTTTTTGGTTCCTATATTCTTCTTTTAATAAAAAATTATATATTTTAAAGAAATAAGAATAAAATAAAATAAGAATAATTTTTGGTTCCTATATTCTTCTTTTAATAAAAAGAATAAAATAAAATAAGAATAATTTTTGGTTCCTATATTCTTCTTTTAATAAAAAATTATATATTTTAAAGAAATAAGAATAAAATAAAATAAGAATAATTGCACAAAATGAAAAAACGTCGACAGCAGGATTCGAACCTGCGCAGGCATAGCCCAACAGATTTCGAGTCTGTCTCCTTAACCACTCGGACATATCGACATCTTTGAACACCATTTTACGACTTTTAATATTTATTTGTTTATATTTATAGACTTTCACGTTAACTAATAGAAATGCTAAATTCAGCTTGAGAGGCCCATTTGTAGAGTATGTCTAAAGCCTATAATCAGCAAGTGCAACCTTGAGAGGCCCATTGGTAGTCTATTCAAAGCCCAAGCCCAAGCCCATACAATCGACTAGCACTGGGCTAACTGTTGCAACGTTCAATTCGTTTGTTTCCTTAGAATGCGTTGTTTTGCTTCCTTTTCATGTACTTCAACTTAAATTAGTATTGACCACAATTGTATTTTTTTTTTTCACACTTCTAATTTTCTGAATTAATTTAAGAAGATAAAAAATATTATCATGCATATTAATGATTAAATAATAAAATAAAAATATTTTAATTATTTTAATTTAATTTAATTAATTAATTATAGCGATCACAATTGTTAATTAGTGCATTTTAATTTTGGTCTGTTTAAATTTAAGCCTTACATTTCATGTTTAAGGTGATAGCATTTCGAAACAATATATTTTATAAATATTTTTTTGGTACAAAGTATTCATTTCTTTTTATAATAATTAATACCTTGATATTTTATATTAAACACAATTATGTTTAAAAAAAAAATTGTGAGACAGGGAGAATTCTGGTCTATAAATGTAAAGAAACAGGTGATAGGTTGGGATTCACATTTGATCACTTTGAGTATGAAAAGGTAATGCATTCACAAAGTCTAAATGCTCTCATCAACATCATTGCAACTTTTGAAAGTCTTTTCATCTTGGAAAGATTCCAAACGTATAACTTCCACTGAGAAATTGGGTTGTCATTGTAAATATAGAACTCATCACTGTCCTCACTGCTCGGAACCCTGTTTTCTTCATCTTTTTTCTTTCTCAAGTGCGCTTGGTTGGTGTTCAGAAAGAGACTACTGATACAACTTCTGAAGTTATCTCTTGTTCATTACAAAAGTGATTCATGCATGCATCTGGGACACACGACTAATGGCCACATTCTTTGCACCAGAAGTGTTAGGTATTTTTGTGAGGGAACATCTCAGTGTTATATGTTGGCTTGGATCCTATCTGTAAAAATCTCCTAATTGTTAGTATTTCTTAAAAATATTTAACCATCGATCATTTATATAATAATCAATTCGGTTGGATATGATCAAGGTGAAAGTGAAAGTAAAAGATCTAGTATTATAAATATTCTTATGTCAAAACCGATGATTTATATAATAATCTACTCGATTGAGTATGATTAAAAAAAAGTTAAAAATTTTATATTATAAATTCTTGTATTAAAAGTTTTTTCGATATAGGTTTAATGTTTATGGTGTAAGATTTAGGATTTCACGTAATCAAGTCTCGTTAAGACGTATAAGTAAAATTATTATTAAGTACTCATTATTACACCACAAGAAATTTCATAATTAGCTACAAAAATTTGTTACAAAATTTATTTTTCACTAATTTGTAGCTAATTAGCTATGGAATAGTGAAGAAATAAAGTTGTAGCTAATATGTAGTAAAATAGCTAGAAAATAATATTTTTGTAGTTATTCCCTCCCTAAGTAGAAAAATAATTTAGCTAGAAATTTTTTTATCACTAATCCCTAGCTATAAATATTAACTATGTTATTTTTTGAAGCTATTTTTTAGCTAAATTATATAACATATAATTATAGTTAAATTGTAGTAAATTTATAGCAAAAAAAATAATTATAAAATTATTTACAAATTATTTTTACCAAATTTACTATAATATATTAATTATATATATAAATTATTTGAAAATAATTATAATTTTTTTTAAATATCTAAAAAAATTGATAAATATTTAAAATTATTTTCTGCAAATTTTTTATAAATTTAAATTGGTAGGAAGTATTTAATAATTTAAATTAATAGAAAATTTTATAAATAATTTTTTTAGAAATTAATCTTTATAAAAAATATTATTATATTAAAATATTTATTTAATTAAATATTATTTTAAATATAAACATCTTTAATATAATTATAAAAAAATTAAAATTATTTTTTTTTAATAAAAATATTACGTTAATTTCTTTTTTCCAAAATTTCCATCCCGCTCCAACTTGGTCTCCTTCTTTCATTTTCAACTAAGAACTAAATTGTATCTCCTTCTTTCATTTTCAACTAAGATCTAAAGTGCATTTGTTTTCGCTACCGCTGCCGCCGCTCCCATTGTCGTCGCTCCCGCTACCTGTTGTCGCGCCGTTGCCGCTGCCAGTACAGGAATCAATTGGTTGAATCTCTTCAGAACAGGATACAAAATGAGGTTTGTGTCTATAATTCTCTTTCTAATTAGGTCATTTATCTCTGCTAATGATGCAGAAAATGCTGTTAGATGGTGGAATCCTGGCACACATTTTTGTGATTGTCTCTGCCGCAGCTGCCACCGCTGCCTCTGCCGCTCACAGTATAGTTTTGGATTAACTGCATTTTTGTGATTGTCCTCTATCCCTCTCTTCCTACGTGGTTTGTTTTGGGCCTAGTGTTACAATGCCCACGATTTTGGAATTCCACTCAAGATCAAAGGATGGTCCCTAACACATGAGCCCACAAGATGTTTTGATCATTGCCATGTGTTGTAATCTCAACAGTGTTTTCAGTACCTTTTCTATTTTTTTATTTAGTTTCCTTTTCAGATATTTCCTGGCTCCAGTGCTGGTGTGGTGATTCATGAGAGCAGATTTTGTTCATCCTTCACTTTGTTGCACACAAGAGCTGTAGTTGCTGAGTTTCCATCTGAGCTTCTGTCTATCCCTAGCCTTGTGGTTTTGAAACCACTAGAACAAATTCTTTCCCTCTATCCTGCCGTAGAAAGAAAGGTGTGTGGTTCCTTTTGTGTCTATTATAAATATGATTTAATTTTTTATCGAGTTTTGATGATGTTTAAGAGTGTTGCTGTAGTTTTTTCATATTTATAAGTAATACATCAAATCTTTGTTCCCTGTTTGTGCATGCTGTAGTCAAAGAAAATGAGCTTATATCAGTCAGACATGCACAACAGAAAAGAAAAAGCAGAAAAAAAACAGTAAAATATGACTATGGGGTGAATATGTATATGTTGTGGTCATGATGTGGTCATCTAGTAAAACTAGTCAAATTCATTGACTATAGGAGAGTGACAGAACATGCTTTGTGAAATTAAATGGATACTTGGTATTATTGTTAGGTAGTGTTAAATTTAAATTCATACTTCGAATGCTTG